GAATTTGAAGTTCGGCAGATTCGGTTCATCACTAGTGTTTAGCAGATGGGCTTTATAATCTTGGTTACAGTAAATGGTCAGAATCGGCTGAATCCTTATATTGTGATCAGTTGTTACACTGGTTAGTTTTTGAAGCATGAATGTCCTCTGAACCATAATCTCGTTATCAAACTTGATGCGTCAGTCAAAGATGTCTATAGTTGCCGTTTATTTCTTTATTCTTTGTTTGGAGATTAACCTAAATACTTTATCTCACAGTTGCATGCAGCCTTACCAAAGATACAGGTGCGAGAGTATTCGCCTCGAGATCGAACCGTGCCGAAACCGTGCGGCCAAAATTGGAAACGCGCGAAAGCGGGGATTCCGCCGTGCGTTGTCTGCTATGGGCGCACGCTCAGAAGCATGGATCTCGACGACGCAAGCCCGTTTTAGGCTGAGCTTGACATTCCTTATTAAATGTTTTACGTTTTTGTGCCGTTTCTTTTTACTAAAGGTTGTGTTGTATCGTTTGCCATGCATAGAAATTCAGCAAAGCAATTATTATTAAAGGGCCCATGAAACGAATTTTGGGCTGGTATAAATCACTTTAGATTGAGATTTTACTAATAGCACATCGTTCAGTGGGCCAAAGAAAAAAAGGTAAAAAGTCAAAAGCCTGACTTTCAGTGCGAAAATCTGAAAACACGGCGGACTATTTCGTACCTCCTCCCCTTCGTAAGCTCTTTGCCTTTTCACTGTGATACATCCACGGTTCCCAAAGCGCGTCACCGGGTCCAAATGCACGTCACATGATACCGGACCTCCCTTATTCCCTTCACTCCTAAGCTGACATCGTGGTGGAAGCTACGCGCTTGCCCGACCAATCATCCGCCTCCCTTTCATCAGATGACGTCATTCTCTGCACGTGGGTATGCGCGAGAGAGCGTGATCCCGTGGCAAAAGTGTGGCTGGCCCAATGAGCACGCAGCTTCCACAGCACTGTCAGCTTCGGGGTGAATGGGGTGGGGAAAGCAACTTATGTCTGAATTTTGATCGACGGGCTAATCTTCTAGGGAGATTAATGGCTGTGTCCGGGTACACATGCGATTTATGAGTTGAGGAGGAAAGCTAAACAGGAAAAAGTTGGGAAGGCGTTTCATGACCCCTTTAAGTCGGAAGATTCCATAATCTTAGTGTGTTGTTTTTTTATACAATCGCTGGTCTCTCATATTTTTGTTATTTCGCACAAACCGCGGCTTTCATAAAGCATTGAATGTTGAGTGGGCCTGTGGTTTTATTAGAAAATTAACCGGACTAATCGCTATCCTTCAATAGACTAATCAATCAATAAATCCGTATGTTGATTTATCCCCGGTCATATTGCATGAAAGACGTTAAAACTACACATTTTTTTACTGGTTTTACTATGTCATAAATGGCATATTGCATTCCCATTATAAACTTCACGTTGTGAGTCCTACATAAATATGAACACGGGAAGCCTTTTAAGATGAAGTATTTTGTTAAGTTATTATTTAAACAGTATAATCACCCTTGGCGAAATGATAAACGGTAAACCACGCTGAAGGTACCTGCCTGCAAAGTTTCAATGTCGAAATCAATGTCTAAACATGAAAAAAATGATATTTACGATGTCCCCGCAGAGCCCTAACACAGAGAGTTCAATGAAAACAAGTGGAACTTTGCGCCCCGCGCGTTTCGCGATCGCTCGTCGGATCGCGGCCATCTTGGTCTTGTTGGAAAGCCGCTTATTTTCCCCACGTCCCCATGCCATTCGTTATCGCGACAACATCGGGGAACGTCCGCATTCCGCGGGTTTCGAAAGCCCCAATTGCGATCTCTCATTGGCCTGCTAGCAAGGTGCCCGTACGTCAGAGCACGCGCGGCGCCTAGCGCCCCTGCTATTGGCCTAAACGCGCCCCTCCGCTCTTTTTCTCCTTTCCTCCTTTCCGTTCCCGCGCTGGCGAGAGGTGCGTCGTCTGCTCCTGGGCTCGTCTCCGCCCGTCTCCTTAGGCCTGTCTGCTTTGTTTCCTCCGTGGTCGAGCGCACGTTTTAGTTCCCGTTTGCGCGCTTGCGTTGAATATTGTTGGTTCGTTTTCCTACGAAGTCGCGCGTGTTTTGTTTTGTTTCGCTTCGAGTTCTTGAGATGCCGGACGACGCTCGGTTGAAATCGAGCACGCGGCAAGCGTTCGGAAGGAAGAGGAAGCGACCGTGGAACAAGAAGCCGAAGCTGTCTGCTGCAAGTGCGCCACCGCAATCGGCACCGCCGGATGCCTTGGATCTTCCGGAAACATCAGCCGGAGACATCGCGACTCCATGCAGCAGCGGCAGTTTGTCGAGCTTTGCGAGCGCGGTTCGTGTCGACACCGCATACTACTCCACGGCCGAGCAGGCGCAACGAGTCGCACGATCGGACGAATGCAAGCGTGCGCTATCGGAAAAGTCGGCGACCCGGCGCAAATTCGACCTTCTCGGCGTCACCACAGGAGGCCAGACGCGCGACGCTGGGACACAGTTCATTGTAGTGGACATGAAAGCTCTCAAAGCATGGAGAAGGACAATCCGCGTAAGGCCAACACTGCCCACCAGAGCAGCAGCAATGCAAAGCAGAGGTTCTCCAGGCAACACCAAACTGGAACAGCTGGGGACTACAGTCCTGGACAGCTGTGAGGGGCTCCCCTTTCAAGTGCTACACGAACAAAGGCCCTTTTCAGGGCCAAACAAAATCTGCTTTCGGAACGTGCAACCCTTGGTGCTTCCTCCCGTTGTCCCTTATAGAGTCTACTCATTCTTTTATAACATTATTTTACATTGCAGAGATTATTTCTCAGTTTTATATTATTTCTAAAGGTTCTTGTGAACGGATTGCAGAATTTTTCATCTCAATTTGTTCAGATAGAACTATGCTTCATATTGCTGAACATTATTGCATGGGATATCTTACTCAATTTTATGCAATGAGTGTCAAAACTTCAACTGCAATTTTCTCAGCTTCGCATTTTTTGTCTACATGCCTAGCCTTACGGTTGTTTTCATGAGATTATTCTTCGAGGATTTCTATAAACTTTATACCGTTGAATTCAGAAAGAAGTGAACTGCAGGGTGATGCTATTTTTGTATGACAGTATGGGCCCGAAATTTTATTATTAGTGATAATGTGACCTCGTTAAGCTTTGTAAATAGTGTACTTGACCTAATTAGACTAGTTTTATACAATGATCTATCTTTACAAAAATATAAATAGCATCATCTTGCATGACAGATCTTTAGCTACAAATCCATATAACTTATGCAAAAAAATTAGTATTAGAAAGTTCCTTAATGAGTCGTAAGAAATGACCTAATTAGGCTTCATTATTTTCTTCGTAACTCAAAAAGTGATTGAGATATTGCAGAACTAATTGTATATTTGAAAAGAGGAAGCCAAAACACATATACACACTAATTTTCATTATAATCCATTAATAAACAAAAAAGTCGATTTTAGAACCAGTGTCTTGCCTTAAAGCAGGCATATTTTTCTCCTTGTTGACTTTCTCCAGCCCCAGACTCAAACTAACCGGCAAAAAAAATGCAATTAAAGCATTACTTGAATAATCTGAAAGTTAATCGATGAACTGCTGAGTCCCGATATACGTTAGGTGAGGGCAGAGGGTGATCGGAAAGTCTCGGTGAAGGTCGCTAGCCTTCATCAGTAAAAGAGTATTACTGCGGCCGGTGCTGTCTGTGTCGTACTGCGCGTTGTTTGTTTGGGTTGCAAAGTCTACCGTGTTTGAATACAAGATTATTTAGCCAGAAATTTATAGTATTAGCCTCTTGACATCTGCGGCCCTCACCAAGAAAATTGAAGCGGGTGAACCCACACTACCGAGAAAAGCATTCATATTATAGGAACATTGCTGCGTTGCTTGGTTACACTCGTTTATTAGTCACGGCAGATATATTAGAACAGTTTGTTTCACTTGTTTCAGTTGTCCTGCCAACCGTGCAGTTTGCAGATCTTAACAAGAAGAGACACTCTCTTTTCATCGCAACGCAGTAGATTTGTTCAGACTTCAAAAAAGTTACCCACACTATGGCACGGAAAAAGGGCAGAGGAACTCAATTGTATGGTAATTTCCAATACAGCACTAACTTATCTTCATTCTAAATATTTATATTACTGCAAAAGCTAGACGTTAAAAAAAGCATAGAAACTGCGACTTCACAGCCCACAGTACCAATATTATGTTATCTGGGTTGGAATTTTTTTTTTAATTTTTTAATTCCCACGTTGATGAACCGATACATTCATTTTAAAAGAAACAAATATTTAACGTAAATATTTCAGTTCAGCCGGAGACAGGCATCAGTCGTGGTGATCCATGCTTTCCAACGTCTGCCTAGAGCAGACGACGCACCCACAGAACCGATTATATAAATTTGGGCCGCACGCTGGCAACACGATTCAATCTTCACTGAAGCACCGAACAGTGCTGCGTCCTTTTCCGCTAGAATTGTTTTCTCACCGATAGTATGCGACAGAATAAACGCAAGAATCTACGCCGTCTCGCGCGCGACCGTGGAGAGCCTATGGGGCGGCTGTTCCTCTATCCCCGCTTTGATGATGATGATAACGTGACCGTAGCGCCACCTCTAGGTCGATCTCGAGGCCAATAGCATTGCTAGCCGAGGACGAGAAGAAGGAACTCCTCCTATCAGGACCCTCTTTTGTGTACTCTATGTCGCTTCTTTCCCTCTAGGAGACTACCCCTTCACTTAAAATTCCTACAAAAGCGGCTTTGCCCCCTCTTCCACCCGTGCCTTTCACAGCACTGCGCGCCACTAGGGGAATAGAGTGTGGTATGTTGAACAAAAAAAAAAAGACTGTTCATGAGAAGCGGCAGGGCAGCACATACTGCCACCCCGACCAATTTCCGAGCGTTGGGATGGCATCGCCCGTACGGTTGTGGTCGGCGACCGAGGGGTTTGTCCAACTAGGACTTGGCTTGGCTCGGCAGGTGAAGCGGCTGGAGAAGTGGGACCACGAACGAATGGCAGACACGAGCGACGCGGGGCTGACGATGCGGCAGCGCAAGACCTCTGAGTCCGAAGGCCCGGCCAGCAACGGGGGCTTGTCTGCCTTCGGCTCGGCGGGCGAGGGTGGGGCCTTCGCGGGATTCACGAAGATGGAGATGCTCAACGACTGCGTGGACCGCAAGAGCCTCGTCCTGTGGAGGCGCCCCGCCATGACCGTGCGCTACTTTGTCAGCGAGCTGCTCGTTCTCACCTGGGAAATGGGCTTCAGGTGAGGGCCGACAACTCCCCCGTCATCCTTTCGGGCTGCCAAACTAAATAATGCGAGCTACCGGCCACTTTTTTCTTTTGGTTAGTTATGGGTGTATGCGCACAGTTGAATATAATGTGTAAAAGGCAGATGGTGTACACAAATGTCGTTGCATTGCTTTAGTGGAAAAAATGTGCCAATTGCACTTCAATCATTTTCTCCTGCCTTGGCCCCATTGTGTTGGCAGTATTGCTAAATAAAAAAATTAATAAATATAATGGGTACAATCACTAGCATCTATCCATCCATCTATTCGGGCTTTCGAGGCCGCTAAGGTTTCCTGACAGGAATTTGAGCTTTCTCCAGTGTGTTTCCCGGCCACCTTGCGTGCAGCCTGCATTGGTTTGACCTGACCGTGAAAACTGCGCTGCCAAAAATATTGGGCTATACTGTTGTAAATGAAAAGAGAAGATAAATTTAGAACTCAAAATAAATATGTGATAAGTAAAAAAAAAAGATAGCGCGGATTTTGTGTTGGAGACGAAAGGGCGACTTTTTTGAACCATTGTCTAGAGGAATCTTCCATACCAAACGCACAATAATAGACCAGAATGGACTGCAACTTTCTAAAGGATACAGAGTCTTTTTAGAAAAAACAATAAAAGAAAGGATTGAGCTGACAGGTTGTGAGCCTTGAGGTCGTCCGAGAGGCCGTCCTCTAGGCGGCGTCCTCGAGGTCATCCTAGAAGTCATCCTTGAGGTTGCCTAGGCGTCCTCTAGGCATCGCCCTAGATGTCATGAAAATAACAGTTTCACTGGTTCTCCATCTTCACATGAAGTGGAAGGGCTCTACAATTTTTCTCAGGAAAAGATTTTGTTACATTTTCTAAGGCTTCAATTTGTTAGGTAACATTGAAATATTTGCTGAAAAGTAATCTGAAATATAATTTCCTAAGAACACAATTGTTTTCCTTTAATAAACAATTGCTTTCTTTTTTTCACTCTTCCTCAAACAAAGCGAAATTCGAAGGAAACAAATGGATTGGCTCGTTTGGATTGACTCATTCCTCGGCTATAGGATTGGGAAGTTGGCTCGAATGGCGTGCCCTCTCTAACCAGGCTAGCTTGTCTTTCCCCTCTCATACTTACAGATTGTGGAGAAACAGGAGACATGTCATGGCGGCCCTCTTGGTGCTGCTTCTTTGCATGCTAGCCTACTGTTTCGAGGGATCTCATCAAAGGGTGAGTATCCAGCGGTGCTGTTCCGGTTGGGAGAAAGGCCTTTCAAATGACTGCCTATTACTTGAAATGTCACGTAGTAGCTTCTTAACATCAAACATTCTTTAGCTAGGTGTTGGGCATTTCATGAAACCCAAAAGTGAAGCCTGGATAAAAATGTGGGCACGAGGCTTGACATTGGTTGGTTGATGGGTGGGAGAGGCAGTGTGAGGTGCTCGGCACTGATTGGTTAACAGGAAGGTCGTGCGACCAGGGGTGGAGCGAGGAAAGGTGGGCATTGAAGCGAGGTGAGAGGAGGAGTGGGTTAGAAGGTTCTGGAAGGTCACCAGGTTTATCATTTCAAGTGTACACATGCCACACATTATATATGTGGTGAGGGCCGCTGTGAACATGGGAGTCTGGCTGAAGAGGCTAAACATGGTGCAAAATATTGATATAATGTTCGTGATGCTGGAAGATTTCATGTACGCAATGCAATTGCCTAGCAATTCGCCATACATTATTTCATCACAATTCGTTGGTTGCTGAGATTTTGTTATTAGTGGCGATTGACTTTTCAAGCCAATCATCTGTCCAAATTACTGGATTTTTTTTTTTTACATACTTTTTCGATTCTTTTTCTCCCCCTTTTGTTTACATTCTCTGTTTCGCAATATAGATGATGTTGCCTTTTCCATGCTGTAATGAATATGTCAAATGCTAGTGTCTTTACGTTTATGTTTGTCCTTCCCTGGGCTGCTATGGGGGGCAGAGGCTAGTCAAGCAGCGTGTCAGTTGCTTTTTTCTCTGCCTCCTTTCTCTGTTTCAGGGATCAATAAAGAATTTGAATTTGATTTTGAAATATCTAAATCTGTCTATACTTTACGAAGGGATAGGTAATTTAGAGGTATTTTTTGACCAACAGGTTGTTCTATAGTGTTATATTTTTCTTTTAATTAAATGACCCGAGTCTTTGAACAGAGATGTGACTCACAATTTACGCAAAAGCTGTTTCCAAGTTATGTTGTGTAAGATGTCTAAAAACATGTTTTAGAGCTTGTTTTAATGTGGCAAAAGCACAGGGTGGAGTATAAAATTGGGCAGCATGTGGGAGGTTCGCTTCCCTCGTGTCTCAGGATTAATTCCGAGCCCAAGTTACGCAAGTTTGTGATTTTCCCATTGTCTTTTTTGCAGTACATCACGTTTATAGAGAAGAAGGTGCTGTGGTGTGCCTACTGGGTGGGCCTGGGCGTGCTGTCGTCCGTGGGGCTGGGGACGGGCCTCCACACTTTTCTACTTTACCTGGTGAGTGTGGTTGGTGCACCTACTCTCGTCCGGCAGTTGTGGCGCACGGTACCGGCAGTCCACTGGAGCTGAACCTAAGCAAAGCACAGAATGATGTCATTGTAAGGTGGAGCAGCTGACAAGGCCCATTCACACAGGAGCATTTGCTTGCATTTTCTTTCGTCTCATTACGACACAGCCACGACTCTCTGGGACATCTATATTTCATACGTCGCGTGTAAAGCTGAATTGCTTGCCACACTTCGCACAAAGCCCAGACATCCCAGTTACGCACAACCGTAACTCGACGTAAGCATATGTAGGTTCCCATAGCATAGTGCAATGTAAACAAACATCACTGCGTGGACGGGCCTTTAATGCAATATCCAGTTTGCTTTTATCAAACAACTCCAGTTGGGAACGTAGCATTTTTCGTAATAGTTGCAGAAAAGATTGTTCATTTCCATCGTAAAGACGGGGAGTGAGGAGACGAAAAACTCTCGCCATATCCTGAAAAATAATAGTAGCAAAAACATAGCGGGGAATCATAGATAACTGCAAAGGTGACTGGGACATTCTTGCCCGCTTTACCTGTTACTTTTCCACAAACTGATTAATAACCAGCTAGCTTTTGTAAACGTAAAAAGAAGCTCAAGGTTTTTTTTTTGTTGTTTATTTTAGATCAAGTAACACATTTTTTTGGTGCTTGATGATCCTCAAAAAACAATCTCATTTTACGGCTGAATTTGGGTGCACTCAGTGCCGACTTCAACCGTGCTTAGCATCTAGATCTCTCGCAGAGGGGTTAGCCCGAGCGAGTGCTTGCCGACCACCCCACCTGTTCTTCCCCACACAGGGTCCGCACATAGCTGCAGTGACGTTGGCAGCCCACGAGTGTGGATCCGTAGACTTCCCAGAGCCCCCCTACCCTGACGAGTGAGTGGCTCTCACTTTAATCCTCTGGCGGTATTAGGGTTACCAACTCGTCCATGAAGGAATTCGGGACGGGACAGGACAAAAGGGGGGGGGGGGGGGGGGGGGGGGCTAAGGTAAGGGAAGGAAAGGGAAGGTAAAGAAAGGAAAGGGAAGGGAAGGGGAGGGAGGGGAACAAACAAACAAAGGGGTTTATACAGATGATGATGATGATGATAACAGGCTCCCGTCGCAATTTCCGGCTTGCCATTGCTTTTGTATGCTAAAGTGACTAAAGCCTCGCAGACTGCAACATTGTTCGTGAGATTCATGCGAACTTCGTGTTTCACAGCGTGGCGCGCATTGTCGGGCATACGTTGGATTACATAAAAGATTTCTAACTTGACCGTCTGGACCAAATCCGGGGCATATAGCTGTTTCAACATGGACGTTGCGGGACTGGACGCTTTATAAAAAGTTGGGACAGTTCCGCGAAATCCGAAACGGTTCGTAACCCTAGGCAGAATAGCCTTGCGGTGGCCACTGTGGCTGCCGATGGCTTAAAAATGCGCAGCGTGGATCGTTATATTCAGGATTTTTGCTTCGGGATTCTTTCTTTAGCATTCTTGTCGGCTAAAGTCGCACTCCTGTTGGCCACTCTGGGCATGCAGCACGTGACGGTAGGAAGCTTCTGGAGGCGACATAATGCCCCCAGAAGCTTCCCACCTCCAACTCTGCCGCTTTTACTGTCCGTCGCCCAACGGCACAAGTGTCGCGCTGGCGCACTCGCAGCGAAACATGCCGCATGCGCACGGTTCCACCATGTCCCCCGTTCTTTCGAGGAACTGTATTCATCTACTGGATATTAAAAACAAATAACTTTGGTGTTAATTGCACTCCTCGAGCGACACTGTTTGTTTTTGCGTAAGTGTTTCGTTCTTCGGGTTTCACCGGAGAGGATGAAAGAAACATACCCGCGTAACGGCCACGCAATCGTTCCAGGATCATCTGCCCAGAGGACTCTGGTCCTGGGAGTGGGGGCACCATAGGCATTTTGAAAGTGATGAGCAAAGTGAGGCTGGAGGCATTTATGTGGGTGAGTGACTTCCTCCCCTTTTAACACCTACTATATCCGAGGGTTCTCAAACTGGTTTCCCAGGAACCCCGGGATTCTCGAGTGCCCTTTTGTGTTCCCCGAATTCCTTAATTTCCTCGGCCGCTTCTGCCTCAAAAATGATTTTGCAGTTAAAGCACTATTTTAGCAGATCGGAACCACCCAATGACGTATAACTATGTGTTAAACACTCGCTAATGTCTACACTATTGTTTACAAGGTCTGTAGGCTTCTGCACTGCTTCACTGCATTAAAGGGGTCGTGAAGCTTTTTTTTTTTTTTTTTTCAATATTCTGAGCTATATGTCTTATTCAAGTTGCGTGGGATGAAAGAATAAAAGAAGAGATTAGTTTTGCATGATGTAACACCTACCTTATGGTGGTGATCCAACTGCGATGATATATATGAAGGGGATGCGAGTAGTATGCTGCGCAAAGATGCATGATAGTAAATTTTGTGAAAAAGTCAAATTCATCCAATTTTGTGACGTGTTCTTAGTAGTGCTAGGCCCAAGTAAGATTTCCTTGAAGATGTACTCGCGGTACATTAATAGTTGAAATAAATAAAACAGCCCGAGATATTTTGTATAATTTCTAAATGATTTATGACAATTTCGATGTTAAAATCTCATATTTAAGAGGCATACTCTAGTTGTGAACGAACAATAGATTTGTAAAAGAAGCAATTTAGTGGAGGTAGGGTCTGAGTACCGTATTTACTCGCACAATGAACATACTTTTTTTGCCAAAAAATTGACACATATTTGAGGGGGGGGTGTTCATTACACGGGGTAAAATTTTTGCATTTAGACACTTTGTGCAAATGTTATATTAGGTACCAAAATGACACGGCAAGGTACTGTGGCACCTCTCCAGTGATGGAGGCGCACCCACAGCTGGTTGAGAACGCACCACAATAACCATGCTTTATAAACGGCAAACCTTTTTCGGGCGCTTTCGGGGTACCTTTTGCCGAAGGAAAAGCGCCCTACGAAGCTCACTCAGCACAAAAAGCAACACCATTGTTCTTAGGCAATATATATTGCTAGTATCCGGCAGACACGCTCAGGTATATCTGCGACTACGCGTATAAATCCAACCTCCGACCCCCGAAGCCCGCTTGCGCGGGTCAAGTTTCGTTCACGGAGACAAGAACTCGGACAAAGTCCAACCGCCGACCCTGAATCCCGCTCGCACTGATCAGTGTTCCGCGGCAGTTTTTGACGCTTCCTGGGGTTCCGTGAGACTAAAAAGTTTGAGAACCCCTGGTTTAATGAATATAAGAAAATTACGGTGGACACATTTTCTTTTTAATTACCCCTTTAATGTTGAGACTGAGGGGTTTTTCGAGATCTAAAGTCTAAAAGACCCTGCTCTATATCAAGGCGGAACTATGGAAATGCGGAGATCCAGTCTGTGTCGCTTATTCGTTACATTATTTATAAAGCCTACCTCGATTAGTGATGAGCCTAGAAGCGTATTTCTAGTGTTCACTGGGCACTTGCAAGGGTGGTATGCAGCCAGCTGATAGCTGCTCACTATATTTGCAGGGGGCAGGTACAGCCCTAGGTGAACTGCCTCCTTACTTCATGGCAAAAGCTGGTGAGTACGCTCAGAAGAATTTGGCAGTCATTTTGCCAAAGGTGGCGGGCATTTGTTGTCGCACGTGTACTCCTGGAACGTTGTTGGAAAAGAATTGTTGGCCCTCATTTTTTTATTATTCGTTTCAACCTATTTTTTTTTTTTTTTTTCAAGGTGCTAGTATTCTTTATATTATTAGGCATAGATGGCATAGATTTTGACGTTATCATTATTCTCCTGTCTAGCCCCTTTGCTATACTTTTATAAAGATGTGCAGCAGAAACTGTGTTTCTTTATGAGTAATGGAAAAGCTTTTTTTACTCAACGTGAAATACCAACCATATCTGCATTCAATTTAAACTAATTATGAGAGAATTGGCTAGCTCATCCAGGGGTGGTGCAATTTGAAAAGTTCCATGAAATGCCAACTGCGCCGACCTAGAGTTCCCTAATTGTTTGTCAGGTCGTAATCAGTTGCTGAGACTGGATCTGGCTAATGTGCTGACATGAATTTTGTCCCTTGTCCGAAGACTTGCTCAGCGTGACTTTTTCTCGGCATTGCAGCCAGGCTTTCGGGCAACGAAGACCTCGAGGACCTGGAAGAGCTAGAAGAGCTCATGGAAAAGGAAAAGTCCAAGGACCTGGTAAGCTTGGCTTTCTGTTTGTGCCAGACATTTCCGCGTGGCACATACCGAAGGGCCACGACCCAGCGTTTCTGCCCTCTCTTGGTTCGCAGTCCTTCCTGGACAAGGCCAAGCTGGCCGTAGAGAAGCTGGTGGAGAGGGTGGGATTCCTCGGTATCCTGGCCTGTGCGTCGGTGAGTGTCCCCAGTCTCCTGCCTTTCCTCTCGGCGCCAGGGTCATCCGCTTTTCATTGCTTTAAACGTAAAACCTTCGAAGGTGCCTTGTTTTTGTCGCCACGTCCATGGAATGAGTTACACACACTCGAGCTGGGTGGGAGTAAACGAAAGTATTGTTGCAAGGCAGGTGGAGTGCCTTTACTCGACGAACCGTAGCTTATCGAGCAAAATGGGTTTCGTGAAGGTCGCAATCGAGCTCTAAGAGTTGGTTCCATAAAGGTAGGAAGCTTCTGGAGGCTACACGAGGCCACCAGCACCCATTTGCTCGAAGCCGGTTAACTTTAACTGCGGTAAAACGTTAACCGCATTTCCATACGAGGGGGAATTTTAGGTGACGTGACTGGCAGAGTAAGGACGACAGGGAAACATGGCAGTGCCCTTCGGAGCAAGCGTGGCTCGCTTTGTGGGGCACCGTCAAGTCTTTCGGTTCTAGCCATTCCTAAGCCTAAATGAACGCGGCAATCGTTGGCATGCAACGTGTTTTTCAGAAAATCCAACTTCCGAGTCGTCGCTCCCGTTGAGGCGAGCCCCTGCCGCTTTGCGTCCGCTTTGTTCTTCATCTCTTCCAATTTTGATTGCCGAAGCTTCCTTGAGTTGTGCCGAACGTGACCACCTTCGGACATCTTCTAGCAGCCGCCGGACTTTCTAAGCCTACTTCGTTTATAACGGCTTCGGTGGCGGTGCCACTCGCGAAAGAAGGCACACCCGTCATGCCCTCACCTCTGTCCGGCTCCGTAGAGTTCTTTTTCATGTTGCCAATTCTTGACATTTCTTTTTTTGTCGAATCTGTGCCACATGTGGAATTTTCCTGTTGGCTTTGACATCGCTCGGTCGCTTCGTTGACAAGATAGTGTCCCTCGAACGCTCTCGCGTTGCACGCAGCTGGCGACGAGCCAAGCTCACCCAATAGGAGGGCGCCTTCTATAGTCCGTTGCAACCTAAGAACGAAGGGCGAGGGTAAGACGGGCCGGGGAGGAGGAAGCAGACGGAACGCTGGAGAAGAGAGGGGGAAACCTCCTTCTCTCTTTAGCGTTCTGTCTGCTTCCTACTCCCCGGCCCGTCTTACCCTCGCACTTCGTTCGTAGGTTGCAAGGGACTATAGTCACACGCGCTCAATAGCAAATAGAATCGCACGTTTCGACTTTTTTTTGCCACGGTATTTTTACGCGACTAACAAGCAGAGCGAAATGAGGATGGTGGGAAATTGAAAATGAAAAGCTGGCCTTTCACAGGGGACCAAAGCGGCAGTGATCGCGCCCGTAGAACGAGAGCTGCGCGTCGCGGAAAAGCCGCTATTTCAGTGTCAGCTTGTTTGCAACTTCAGCCTGCTTAGATGTTATAAAATCATGTTACGGCTCAACATAGAAGCACCAGATGAGAAACTTGGATGGCAAGGAGGAAATTAGGTGTAGATTTCAAAAATTCAATTTTCAAAAAATTGATTTTTTGTTGATTTTTCTCGGAGCATTGCTCACGTTAAGGCTAGATGAAAAGATTATACATAAATTTTGAGCCCCGGCAAGGTTCAAACCTGGGTCGGTAGGGTGGCAGTTGGATACCGTAGCCACTGAGCTACTAGTAGCACGTCTGGTTTGGAAGGATAAATTCTTTCATTTTAGTGCAACCATGTTGGTAAGATCAACAAATTTGGGTGAAAGTACTAAAAAAAAAACGATAACATTTTTTAAAATAAAACTGAAAAACAAACAACAAATATAAATCAATAAAGTGACTAAAAATATAAAAAAACGAAACGTTGAAAAGAAATGTAATATATAAATACAACAAAGAAAAATAAAGAGGAAAGAACAAATTAAATATAAATATTAAAAATAAGAATAAATCTAGCACAAACGACGCACAGTGCGTGGTATGTGCGGGAGGCATTGTGTGCTCCCTGGTTTTTGTCAGGCGATCGAACCTGTATAACTTTTTACGCATCCCTTTATTTGTGTTATAAGCTGGTGTATAGATTTGACATCTCAAATGCTGCAAAACCTTCGGTCTAGTTACATGCAGTTCCAGGGCTCTCCGATAGAGGCTGCGGGTGCGTCATCTCGTCATAGGGCGTTACGAGGGGACGTAACACCCTCGAGTGCGCTCGGACGCAAATGTGTGCACCAGTCATTAGCCTCTCCGCTCGCCTGCTTCCGAGCGCCGCTCGAGTTCGGTAAAGAACCGGTCATGGAGATGGCGTTCCCCGTGCGTGCAGATTCCGAACCCGCTGTTTGACCTGGCGGGCATCACTTGCGGCCACTTCCTGGTGCCCTTCTGGACCTTCTTCGGGGCCACCCTTATCGGCAAGGCCATCATCAAGATGCACATCCAGAAGCTCTTCGTCATCATTGCCTTCAACGAGCACCATGTCGAGCTCTTGCTCAAGACCCTCAGGTGAGGGCAGCTAGTACCCTCTTTCCGTGTAGGCACCGGTGTTCCCCTCCGTGAGCATCACAATAGGTGTCACCGGGCACTGCAGTGGGTGTCGCTGGGCACCGCAGTAGGCGTCGCTGGGCACCCTGGGTAGCCCTCAGCCTGTAAGCGGAGGGTTTCACTGCATCTAACTTCCAGACCCGTGGTGGTCATGTCGAATGAATACAGAACGTTTTTTAATTTAATAAAAGAAATCTAGATACAAATACTCGAAAGTAACTCTCCTAACATGTTCCATGTGTTCTCAGGGATTCTAGGGCAAGCTATTATACAGTAGACTTTCATTATTTCAAACTCTAGGAAACCAGGAATTTTGTTTGAATTATCTGAAATTCATCTAAATATGATGCAAGATAACATTTTCATTTACCATATGAATGGCTGCACATACAAAGCATATATTTGATTATTTCCTTTACATAGGCCTACTGATCATAAGCATTATGAAAACATCTGTGAAATGTATGTCATAAGTATAGACCAACATGCAGCTCTGACGTCACGCTCCTGTGGTGGCGCTGTTGTCGCACGGCGCATGCGCAGAAGCTTCACCTCATGCGAATCTGGTTTCTGCGCTTGCACAGTGCCCACACCTGGTGTGGGCAAATGCGGGCTTGTTTGTAAACAGCGTGTCGGTCTATATTTATTCCTAAAAAATGTTGTTTATTGTGAACAGCTTAGACAGCAGATGATAACTTAAAATGAAGTTTGTTCATCCGGCCCAGAAGTAGTCTAATGTAAACTATTAAGCAACATGCAAAACCAACTCGTCGATGAAAACGGGCATTGCGCAGCAGTTTTTTTATAGCAACTTGCGCGGACGCTGTGACGTGGACCTATGCCATTCCGCCACAACAAAGCGTCCGTGCAAGTTGCTACGGGAATTTGTGTGGTGCCTGTTTTCATAGCTCATGTGTGCCCTGCTTGAGCTCCATTAAGCGCACTTCTTACCGCGCACCAGTGCACTGCGGAAAAGCAACACCCGGGGAATCAAGCTCCGTATGCGTCGCCTGCCTGCAGTGCACTAATGCTCAAAAAGAAGCGCACTCAAGGGGGCCGCGAGAACATGAAGTATGCATTACACGAAAACGCCGTCCGAATTTAGCAACCAAAATTTTGAAATTTGTTTGAATTAACCAGATGTATAAAATATTTGAGTTTGAATTATTGCAAGGGTACTAGGTAATCAGATTACTTATCAATTGGATAATGAACGATTAAAGAAAACCAAGTTCTTCTCACTTTTCCCCTCCAATATTAATGTTAAAAGGATCATAACTTTATGCCGCATACTCTGTATTACAGTATAGACCACTTACAACGTAACCGCTTATAGTGCAGGACCGGGTATAACGCGACTTTTTTAAACCACCGGCTCGCCTCCCATAGAACTCCTTGTAATTACATACCGCTTAAAATGCAGGCGCGCGAAGGGAAATACCGGTTATAGTGCGGTTTCTGCAACAGTCCGCCGACCGCGCCGACGCAGCGAGCACGCTTCCCTGTGCGACACTAGATAACGGCGCGAGCCGCAAACGGCGCTCGCGGGGCAAGGAGGTTGCTCGAAGAGGCGAAGAGAGAGGCTTCAGTTGCCATAGCGACGGAGGGACGCATGCACGTGTCGTTCACGTGCGTGCATACCTCCGCTGCATTGGAAACAACCGCAACGACAGACCAATCGCAGGTCGAGGAGAAGTGTTCGCGCGCGTTGCATGCCGGTCGCGGGCCGGCTGCTTCTGTCCGCAACGTTGGCGTCAGTTTTGGTAGAAGCTCATCGTAAAAGCGCTATCCTTGACTGTGAATTTTCGTTGTGTGTCGCTATGATAACCCAGCACGTACTAGAAGGGAAGATCCACCTACTCGTGCGGCGATGTCGTGGCGGCGCTCTCAAGACGGCAGTGTTTGTTTACTTCGACTACAGTGGTGCTTCTAAGCATTTATGTTTTTCGAACATCGCCCGGATTTCTTATTTGGAGCATTTCATGCCTGTGCTCAAGTTCAAGGTATCACTGGCGCGTACCGTATAAAGGATGCGAATTTTCACGCGTTTCATCACCGGAGAAAAGTGATTAGGGTTGGCAATCCTGAACGCTCGCAACGTCCGTCGGCAACCCGCGACGCCGTTAAAAGGCTGCGCCAGGCAAAAGTCGCTCATTTCCTTCAAAATGTGTGACACACCTGAGAGAGAAGTGTACTAGTTTGGTGAAATAAAGACTTTCCTCAAACTAAGCTTTATTTTTCACCTAATATAAAATAAATTGTTTTACAAAGGTAAGTTGTCTCATGGCATGTATTTTGGCCTGAAAAATTGATGTTTTGGTACGGAGGAATAGATTCTAAGTTAGAAGGGTAAAAAGAAACCGTAGACCGATTTTATCGCTGGGGAACATGAAGTGAGATTCTACTCAGTAACGGGGGAATCGATGGCAGCGTTGAGCAGTTTATATAAAAAACCACGTTGCAAGCTGGTCGTCTATCCAAAAGAGGCGAAACACCAAGTGTATTCAATAGACGCAAGTATTCATAGAAAAACTCTCCGTCCAATGTGACAACCATAGATAATTCTCAGAAATCATCGCTGTACACACTCTAACCTTAGCATCTCACTGACTCCCAGGGAATTCCACACAGTAGAAGAAAAGTTCAACATTGATGAAACTAATGACCGAATTAGGTGCGTTATGCAGGTGTAACTGCAGAAATTATGGGCGATGCATGCAGCCGTGAGTCAATGAAAACACCAAGGTCACATACAACTGAAGATCTTGCATTGTTTGGGTCGTGCAATTGTTTAGGGATCAGCAATAAGATTTGCCTTAGAGGAGAAAGATACAACCTTAGTTTTGGTGGGGTTTAAAACGAGCGAGTTTGTACAACACTACAGGCAAACGCATCAACATTGTTTTGTAATAGTTCACAGTCAGCACTTTCACGGATACTACGATAAATTTTCACGTCGTTGGCAAACTAGCATCTCTGAGTTACTGACACTGTCACTGGAACTCCGAGAGTAGCCCAAGCTAGATTCAACATCCAAAACAAAAATGCTATTTATAAAAAATAAAAAAATCACTGAACCAATTTTGAATAACCAATGTGACTGCGCAAAATATTGACTATTGTGCTAGATTGTGTACTATTTTTCTTGATATTATTAGCGCTTTTCTTTGGACGGATGTCGTAGCGGTCACAGCCGGCTTTAGTTTGCACTTGCTGCTCTTGAAGCTGTTCCAGCTGCTGAAGGATACTTAACTCGCAGCACGCGGCTATAAAGTATTCCGAGCAGAAGTGAAAATGTTTTACGTGACACTAGTTCTCTCAGCACACAGCTTGCGCAAAAGCACCTTGACGTGGCTAGCCTCAATTGCTGCCAGGGAACACATTTTGTTTTTCTCTCACGAAAACAAGGATAAAAAAGAAGCTTTTTTCCGGCACTATTTCTACAATCTATCGCGGAGCATAGATTGCTACCCGTTGCAAAGGAACTTTCAACCTTGAAGCTGCGAAAAAATAATCTTGATCGCTGGCGCCCGGAAAGCCACTTCGTGGCTGCTGGAGTCGCTTGTCTGCCTGCACATTCGTGACATACGCGGGTAGGGAAAAATAGGGATTTTTCATTGTTGCCAGTAGAGAGTTGCCTCCTGGAACCCTCGTGGCCGACGTAACTTGAAAATTCAATAACTTCATGGAAAATTTTTATTTTTATAAAATGTTTTGGTTATTCATTGTCGGAATTCGCGTACCGCCGCCAATTCGCCATTTCCCATGTGGTTCGTCAACAACCCAAGTCCATCCTGGTTCTTTCACGGGAGCGGGATTCTGCTCCCCGTTTATTGGTACATAAAACACAACGCTCAATCTAAACTACAAATACACGCGACATTACACAAATGTTTACAAACTCATGTTAAGCCCAAAGCTAAACACAAAGAGGGCCCCCAGGCCTCGTGTCCCGCGATTACCCTAGATCCGGTCGCCACACACTTGCCTGGGCTCGGTAGCGTCCGTAGTTCTAAAAGGCTCTTCGCCCCCTGGTCCATTGAGTATATCTCGATCGATGGGCGAGAAGGTTTCTCCTTGCCCGCCTGGGGCACCTGCAGCACCATCCAGTGGCTAGGAGAGAAAGTGGCACGTCGGGAGCCGTATTCGAGATGCAGATTGACCCCACGGCGACGCGACCATGTGATCGTTTCTGAGGCGAGGCAACTATGTCAGAGTGGTTTGATGGCTGCCTGCGTGAATGCACAGTGCGCCATACCGTTGAAAAAGGGTGATTGATGTGGTCTGCAAATTTCCAGCCAAATCGAAGTCGACCAAAAAATTGGCGGAGTTCCACTTTAAAAGCTGCGCTAAAAAAAAGTGATTCAAAAATATTAATTTAGATTTATTTGATTTATACGAAAATTAACTTAAAGCAGGCTGGTAAAAATGAAATGAAAAATACAAAATAAACATGTAGAGACAGAGGCAGACAGTACAGTTCTTTCAACTACGTACCATATTTACTCGCAGAATGAACACACTTTTTTCCTGAAAAATCGATGCAAAGTTGGGGGGGGGGGGGGGGGGGGCATTCATTACGCGCAAAGTAAAACTTTTGCGTCTGTATTTATTTACTCGCATAATGAACGACCTTTTATCCTGATCTGAAAAATCGAGGTAACTTCTTATCTCTTTGCGCGCGGCGCGCGCGACCGGGTAACCAAACTGCCCTGTGCAAAAAAAAAAGAAGGAAAAGCTCCTCTTTGTCTTTTTTTCTCTTAGTTCCGTGGGTTTTTTTTTTTTTTTTGCGGCTTTTTGTAAGCTGTTTTGTTTGCTTAGGCGTTGCTGAGGCGTTGCTGAGGCGAGGGCTTCTCCGCTTATCTTTCTTATCTCCTTGCCGCCTGTGCGACCCCAAAATCCAAACTGAGCTGTAACAAAAAAAAACAAAAAAAAAAAGGTTTTTTTTTTTTTTTTGCTTTGGTTGGATTTTTTTAAAAATTTTTTTAACCCCTTTTGCATGGCGTTTTCTTCGCCCACGCTGCCCATGCATTCCCGACCTCGCTGCACCAATATAGAAAAGTGCATTCATTTCACACGCCGGGGTCAAGGTTTTGAAGTCCGAGTTGGAGGTGCGTTTAATACGTGAGTGAAAAAAGAAGTCAAAATTTTGAGAGCCGACTTGGGGGGTGCGTTCATTAGCCGAGTGCGTTCATGGTGCGAGTAAATAGGATAGCAACCAACATTTAATGATGCCACCGTTAGTGCATCAGCCCTTCCTTCCCTGACCCTAATTTCCCTCGGAAAATGAAGAAAACTTTTGGGGAAAAAAAAAGAAGAAACCCGGGAGAAAGAAGAGTCCGCAGTCAGCTCACTTCGATTCCGTAATGCTCCTTTTTCTTTACCTATTTTCTTTTTTTCTCTTTCCTTAACAGCAACATTACCTTGACAGCTCCTTTACATTCTTCCTTTTTTCTCTTTTTAAATGGACTCTTCCTTCTCCCATGTTTCTTACTTTTTTTCCAAAAGTTTTTTTCTTTGTCCGAGGAATTTTAGTGTCAGGGAAGGGAAGGGGCTGGCACATTTGGGGTGGCATCATCAAATGTTGGTTACTAGTTTTTGCATTATGATTTTCTTACGTTGGTCCGCTTACGTAGCTGACTGACGAAGGGGAAGGTTGAAAATAAAGCCAAACATTCTGGTTTGCACAGAGAAGCACTGCCTTTTGGTCGTGTTCATTAGGTATAAATATTACTTGATTTTTGTTTTTTTATATATATATATACAAGACAAACATTCACATAGCAAAAAATCATAAACAAGTAGTAAAAAAAAAGATTCAAAATTATTTTTGCAGGGAAAGTTTGATTGAAATCTTTATTGTAAAACAAGTGTGACATAAATCATGATTTAAATCACGATTTACATCATCTTGATTTTGTTCTCCAGTCTGCAAGGAACCCAGTTTGAGAGCCCACGGCACAGGTGATTCATTGTCGTGTGGTGTTTCCTAGGTACATCCCGTATGTGGGCAAGTTCCTGCAAGCCCCGTTCAAGGAGTTCCTTGCCAAGCAGAAGGCCAAGCTGCACCGCAAAGTGGGCGCAGAAGTGCCGCAGGTGAGAGCCTGTCCATCGTGTCTGGCAGCCTCAATGTCTCAAAAATCTTTTCCTTTTTTTTTGGGGGGGGGGGGGGGGGGGGGGAGAAGAGGGAAGGAAGGGGGAGGGAAGAGGAGAGGAGAGAAGGAAAAGGGGGGAAGTTCTTGATTTATTTTGTTTTTATTTTTTTGCATTGGTGATCATTCAAAACGAAGGGTTAAGTCAACACAGTCCACTCCAGCCCAATCGCACAACTATGGGGTGCAATTGCACTACCACACAGCATATCTAAACCAGCAGACGGCGGGACTGAGCCCGAGATCTCCGGGCTCTGCAGCAGGAGCTTTTGAAGTGCACCTGAAGTGCACTACATTTCGTTTCACCTGAAGTCAGAGCTGAGGGGGGCCAGTCAAGCAGCGCGAGACGGGCTACCTCATGGTATTCGTCTTCTTTCCACGGATTTATTGTCCCTGGCTAAACCAATGAAACTCTGTGGATCCATCCTGACTGCGGACTTTTAGACTGTGCACGTGTGTTTTGTATCTTTAGTCATTAAGTGCGCCATGACTTAGGTGGAACGAAGTATAGTGCGCTAGGCCAATAATCCTGGTCGTGCTACTTGGCATGCACGCTCGACCAATGGAGACGAAAGTGCTCGATTGAACCTGAAGTCCTGGTTTTGGTTTCTAAGAAATTTTTAGTGTTATAGATAACTTCATAACCTTTTTTCTTGGAAATTACTCTTAGCATACATACTTAAACAAAACAACTGCCTGTCTCTTGTATTTTCCAAAGGCCCTCTAAATGTATAGCATTTATAGGTCCTCTGTGTTATTCTGTCACCCGATGTCACGTAGTCAAGTGAGTCTGAGACGGGGGCATTACCACGTCGCGTGACGTCAAGATGTCCCTTGACATTACCCGACCATCAGAAAAGCATGTGGTCAGGTTACTGTGTTGTGATGTTCAGAGCGCCGAATTAGAACTGAACCGAACCGAAATCTTCGCCACCATCTTTAAACTCGGCCAGAACGGTTGTAAGAAAATATAACAGTAACCGATTCAAAACGGGTCCTTGTATTTTTTTTTATCGTTTTTAGTATTACCAAATGAATATTTAAGAGTAAAAAATTGGCAGCCGTATTTCTATGTATTGATCAAATCGTCATATACAACATTGCAATGCGTGAGAAATTGTGGGGTTTCGTGGCACTGTTGTATTGGCACTAGGGATGCCACGAACCCCCCAAGGTTCGGGTTTTAAAGGTTCGAAATTTTCTAACCTCGCTAAGGTTTGAATTTTAAAAGTACGCAACTTTAGAACCCCGCTGAAGTTTGATTTCGAATAATTTGAAAATGTTGCGGTTTCTGAAAGTTTCTGAAAGAAAGACCTCACATCGCCTGAAATCTATTGCGCTCGGCTTCAACACCAACGTTGTATTTTCCTGCAAGTTCAAATTAGCTTCTATTTGTAGAAAGGTCAACAACCCCGGTCCAGCGCCCCCATGCCAGAAAAAGCACCAGACCAATTATGTAACCTGCTGCAAAGAGTGCGTGTATTCGATTCCCATGTCCTGCGGTGCTAAATACATCGGACAGACAGGCCGATGCCTAAACGATCGGGTGAGGGAACATGCAAACGAGATCAAGAAAGCCGCCTCCGACACTTCGGAGATTTGTTACCACCCGATTGCCAAACACACCTCTGAGTGCAGCGAACCCTGTTCGGCCGACCTTCCCTCGACCACCAGGATTGGAGGTCACGCCTCAAGATACGGACGAGAGATCATGGAGGCCTTCGCCATGCACTACAGTCGCAGCAACTTCGGATCCCCGTCCATAGACTTATCCAGGAGGGAGATAAACTTCCTGGGGCCAGAGCTGACGTCCCTCGTTTCAGCGGCTCCGAGCGATTAGATATCTACCCCACGGGATCGTCCCTCATTTCCCTGGCTCTACACTCTCTCCCATCGCTTTCCCACTTTCCAGTGTAGCGTCTTTCACCCTCCCCTCCTTCACCTATATATGCAAACTTCGGGTCAATAAATGTTGTTGCTAGTTGGAAGTCTTCGTTGTCCGTCCCCCCTTTCTATGTATCTTCCTCATGTCTAATTGAGTTGGAACATATCAAATTTTTTGACAGGTGGTTTAAAATATTTGAATATTTAGAATTCATTTAAGATTCAAGTTCGAAAAATTTGAATATTTCCAATTTTTTCTAGGTACAAGTTAGGAAAGTTAGAAAGTTTTGATTTTAAGTTCCAAGTCTGAATTCCACAGATGAAAGTCAAATTCCGCAGTTTTAAACTAAGTTTTTACTGCCGAGCTGGTAAGGGCTAGTTTCTCCAGTTTTGTGTTCGTCACCAAATGAATGTTGACACAAAACTCAGGACAGCCACGGCTAGCGACGGCGGCAGCCTTGCCAGCCTTTCCACTCTGGTTTTCACTGGAGTGGAAAGGCGTCTTTTAGGCTTCTTGGCGTCGTCCTAGGGGTCGTCCTTGACATCGTCCGATAGGTTGTCCTCGAGGTCGTCCTAAAAGTCGTTTTTGAGGTTGTACTCGAGGTCGTCCTAGGAGTCGTTTTTGAGGTTGTCCTCGAGGTCATCCTAAAGTCATTTTTGAGGTTGTCCTCGAGGTTGTCCTAAAGTCATTTTTGAGGTTGTCCTCGAGGTCGTCTTAAAGTCATTTTTGAGGTTGTCCTCAAGGTCGTCCTAAAAGTCATTTTTGAGGTTGTCCTCGAGGTCGTCCTAAAAGTCGTTTTTGAGGTTGTACTCGAGGTCGTCCTAGGAGTCGTCCCCGAGGTCATCCTAGACGTCTTCCCTAAGCTCGTCCCAGGCGTCGTCTTGGAGGTTGTCCCTGATGTCATCCTAGGCGTTGTCCTAAAGTCGTTCTTGAGGTCATCCTAAACGTCGTCCTCTAGGCGTCGTCCAAGAAGTCGTCCTTGAGGTCGTCCCACCATAGTACAGCCTCGCTGGTCTTCCTTCTTCACCAGAGTGGAAAGGCTGAAAGTTTATGAATTCATCTAAAAAAATCGCAAAATGTGCCACAAATTTTACAAAAAACGTTGCCCAGACTATTATGAACTTACTCCGGCTCACTTGCACCCTCACGTTTTGTTTGTTAATACTACTTCCTTCTCGGTGCTGTGGTACTGACAGTACTGTGTTGTGAACATACTGTGTTGTAAGGGTTCTTCTGTCCCGCATCTTTGGCACAAACCAGAAAGCGTAGCCCCTGTAGCGTCTACTTTCGGTTCGTTTCTGAACTCCGCAACTCCCAGCAGCCGAATGATCATCGACTACCGAGAAGCATACATTGTTAAAACTACTACAGCCCCGGAAACAACTTTGTTCGCAAAAACGCTCTGGCCAGAAAACGCGTTTTTGTGATTCCAGACTCACGCCGCTCCTCATGATGCTGGACCAGGCAAGAATAGTTTGTCTCTCAAATAGATGGCTTGCACTGAGCACAAACCTTCTGCAGCATGCATTTTGCGACACTGGATTTTATTTTCTCAGCAAGAACAAATTGCAGTTACCACCAGCATATAATGGGATTATGTTACATACAAACCTTGTTAAACAGTTCAGTTTTTTTGAGAAATGTGATGTTCACAACAGTAGCAAAAGTAGATGTCCAAATTGTAAAGTTAGCAGTCTCGCTATGACAGACGGCAGCCTAATAGAATGTTAGAGCGCATGACTGTAAAGCAGAAAGTTGTAAAGTGTGGGCCCAAAACGAGTGCACATAAAACCAAACAGAACGTTAGCCTCCCGATGTGGTATTTTGCAAAGTTTCAAGCTTGTGCAAGCTGATGCCTAAATGGGATTTATGTTAGGATTATAAGAATCGTCATCTCTCCTTCACACTATTTTTGTGTAATTAGGAATATCATTACATTTCTACATATTTATTTTTGCGGCATTGTGTTTCGGATTCTTTTGAAGAATAGCACTTATTATCTCTCTTTCTGCACATTTTGTGTATTTGCCTTCAGATCTATCATGTGAGCACAAAGTCCTTTTCGGCATACCCCAAGATATGGAGTTTCACACTGTTAAACAGCTAACGAAAAAGCATGTTTCCGCAAACTTAATGTACCCCTAAAAAAAAAAATAAAAGAATTATAAGCAGTTTGGTTGGGACATGCATGTCAAAAGTAAATTTTAAGCAAAAAAAAAAAATTTTTAGAGCAATATTGATGGCGAGAGATTTATTTTAAATTCTGTGCGCAAAGTCCATGACGTCACGAGTCATTCCGGAATTACCATCTCGGTCGTGAAAGCGAAGTCCACCTCTCCTTCACGCGCCCGAAATGTCGAGAGAGAAAACAAGTGGAAAGGAGGTGACTGCCAACTAAATCGCGTCTCACGCCAACAATATTGCTCTAAAAAAAAATTTTTTTGCGTTTAATTAACTTTTTGACACGCATGTCCCAACCGGACTGTTTAAAAATAACATTTTTTTTTTTCTTTTCAGGGGCCCTTTAAACAGCTGGCATATTTTTGAGTAGCGTCCCCCCGTGTCGGTCTCTAGCGGTTATGTGAACTTCAGTGCAGCTAAATTTATTGATGATAATAAAAATATATTTAATTACTGACCGATGATTTGACAATATAAATGAAGGGCCGATCACCTTAAAGATACATACATCATAAGTAAATGGACGCTCAAATTATCTGGAAGATGCTCTGCAAATATTTTCAGGCATTCTTATCATCGATAGGCTCGTATGTAAGCGATTTGGAAGTGCCTTAATGTCTTAAAAAATATTTTATTTTAAAGCTGATTTAAATAACTATGTTTCCCTGACACACACAACTTCTCAAACATAGAGAAGTCTGTTATTGCCTCTTATATGTTATGAATAGCAATTTAACGTGTCTGTGGACTGGGCAAAAAACAAAGTACACAGGGGTGCGTGGCGGAACTATGATGATTACGCACGCAGACCGTCGGAAACTGACTAATCGTCAATTAGCAAGGGCGATGCTTAATTGCAAATTGAATTGACCGGCATCTTGTCGAGAATAAACCTTAAAGGGCAAATCCGCTCAATTTCGAAAATTTCGAGATTGTGGCCGATTTTGCTTTGGGAAGCACTCAAAAACAATCCCCAATTCTTTGTTTCGCGAAAAATAAAATATTTTTCGTGCAATTTTACTCTAGCCATGATCACAAACCGAAAGTGAAACGGTGGCAAAGACGGACAACATTGTATCTTCGGCATCACTAAGCATGTAGTCCCACGTGATATACACCAACTCATGTTTACAAACAAACCGGAGCGTCCCTAGCGGACGCCACCGGCGCCGCGCATGCGTGATGGGGGTGTGGGCAAGAAGCCCGCCGTCGCCCATAAGCAAACCATTGAAATGCAATGTTGTCGGCGTCGGTGTGAGTCCCCCTGCTTTTTTTTGCGTTCGAATTGTTGATTCTACGTCTTCCTTGCGATGTCTGACTACTTGAGTGGCGTCAGCGAAATTACCCAGGCTCGTTACACCGCGAAACTTCGCGTGAATAATGTGACATGCTGGCGATTCATTCCGCGTGGACGCCGCAGTGTATACGCTAAAACCTGATCCGCATGACGAGATTTCACTCGCAATTTTCAGTCGCGACGCCGCTCGGGCTGCAAAAGCGTGAACCGTAGCTGAGATAATCGACGTCGATACTGAAAATCGCAAGCAGAATCGGACCAAGTCAATTAGGCATACCAAGTCAGTGATGATCACTCGTAACAATGATCAACATCTGCTTGTATTTACTGTTTACATCGAGCCTGGTTACCAACCTTCAAACTTAAGTCTTTTGAGACCTGCGCTTACTTCGTATAGCAAGTACCGGGCCAACGTTTAATCCACGGGCCGGCGTCGTGTAAGAGAGCAGACGACAAGCAGAAATGTTTGAAAGAGCAGACGACAGTTCGAACGATCAGGCGGCCGTTTGAACTTGAAGACGCACTGAACGTAGTCAGCAGGTGGTCCGCACAACTTGATGGTTTTTAGGCGTTCATGTTGGAATAAAACAAATAAATCTGATGACCACAAGTATCCGTGAATTTAACTCGAAGTGCTTCCCGCCAAAGCAATCGTTGTCCGACGGCGTCTGCTTTTCCCTTTCCCGGCACATATCCAGATTTTCGGACCAACCGAGCACGTGAAAACTGACCTTCGAACGTTTCCCGCCTCTTTTGTTACGGCCCCAGTCCCGGCGTTTTGACGAGAAGGCAGGTTTTTGGCTGGTTCCCTTCAAAACAACGCAAGAATACACGTCTGGCATGGGGACTTCTGCCCACAGCCCCAGACCGGAAGTGCGTCCGACGCGCCACCACCGCGCCGTGACGTCACAGAGATGAGTTGGTGTATACAAGGGTTCACGTGATCTATCACGCGGACATGCGCTTCGCAGTCATCGTCGCGTAGTCTGCAAAGCACGTGCAATCGCACGTCAATACGCACTGAACACACGCCGCGCTTGACAAGGCGATGGGCCTATCAGTAGGGTATCAATAGTCGAGCGCCGAGCCAGCCGAGCGCGTCGTTCACGTCTCTCACGGCGCTGACGCCACCCGTGCTCCCCCCCCCCCCCCCCCCCCCCCAAAAAAAAAAAGAAATTGAAAAAAAAATTTGTACATGCTTGATGACGTCACGGACGTGCCGGGAGAAGGAATTTGGAGGAAGCGGAAATGCAGCCAGGCAGTGTTGTCTGGCCCACACGCCTCATCCAAAACCAGCGGATTCGTGCTTGTCAAACTTTGACAGCGATTTTAATGAACTTCTAGGCGGAATTCCTTCGTAATATTTGCCATGTGGTCTTTGTAGATGATAACAAACGCAACTGTAGAGTTTTGCACTACTAGAAAAGAAGCGGAGTGGCCCTTTAACAACCAGGCTATGTCAGTTTATGCTTAATAAGAGAATGTTCACTTGGGCATGGCCAGATTTGATCTGAATTTGAAGGTGGAATAGATTAGAGTGAACAATTTTGATCACTTCTCTTGCATGATTCTTTGCCTGCATCATGGTGCTAAGTGCAAACATTGTTTGTTAGGAAAACAAGCATTCCGATTGCTGCTCAGTCGTTCTGTAAAAAGTAGACTGAAAGTGCTTCTCCTAAACTCCAATAATTTTGCAAATATTATAGCTTTTAGCTCAGTTGCGATGTCATCATATATATTGTGAAACATATTTTTTAAACTATATTTCACAATATAATCGGCGACGGGGTGCCCATTCCATGATTTTATGCTCAGTAATTAATTCCTTAGTTCAAGAGCACAACTGCGATGAAACATTTAATACTGCGACGCAAAGTTGTATGAATTGCAGGTTATTTAATCGACCTACCCCACTTCATGACCACCTTTCGATTCAGGTAAAATATATGCGATTGACTTAAACGAATGGATGTTGAGCCGCATAAACACACCATTTTGTATGTTAATCTAGATTTCCTCTTACTGTTGCATCGAAATTAAGCGACGCAATTTCTTATTTTTGGTGGCTCAAAATAAAAGTGGATTGTATGAACGATAAAAAGCTATACATATGCAGTTACTCGTTTCACGGTGGAAATAGTGCCTATAGCCAAAACAACTTGGAAAATGTTTTCTCAATTTAGCAGTGCAAAACTGGTTTGAACCAGTTCGAACCATTATTTTTGCTCCCTGGAACTGAACGGAGGGGCGTGAGCCCAAACTTGAACCAACCAGATCATAGTTTTGATTCGACACTGGTGATGTTGGCTGTCATATGACATGATGTCACAGTACCGCAAATGCTATGTCATGGGACGTTGCAGTGCCACATAACAAACAATGATCCAAGAGTTTCCTCTCCTGGGACTCGTCACTGTTCTAGTGCCACGGCGGACACCAACCGTTGTGATCACCGTGAAGTCATCAGTGTGATGTCATCAGTGCGACGTCGCCATCGAGGCTACATCTCGGGCGCAGACACAAAAGCCCTACGAGCTGACCCTATAAATGCTATGCTTTTAAAATGTGGCAGTGCTTTATTTTAACTTTAACCTCTGATTCCAAGTGCCTCGTATACGGGAGCAAATTATTATTATTTTTTCTTTTATTAGTAGGTTATACAAAGCAAAGTGCCCTCGTATTGGAGCCGTTTCCCTGAATTTTTGCGTCATTGTGTCGATGGTTGTGTTGCAGGAGGGCTCCCTGCTGTCCTGGCTGTTTGAGAAGCTCGTGATGGCCATGGTGGCTTATTTTGTGCTCTCCATCATCAACTCCATGGCCCAGAACTACCACCGCAGACTCTCCAAAGGCCAGAAGGGCCCCCAGGGGCCGGCCATCCTCCACAAGGTGGCCACCAGTTGAGGACCGGCCGTGGTCACGGCGGAACGTGCGGCCTGCGAGGTGGTGCTGTTGTCGGACTTTGGACTCTGTTGTCGCTGCTTTCGTGGATGGGGGGGGGTTGCTCGTGCTATACTCCATTTCCCGATAACGTGGCGAACTGTGGAGGCTGCAGCCTTCGCGACACAATAAGAGCGTGTGAGCAAGGCACGCAACAACACTTCATGGTCGAGGCCACAAAGACCCTGTTACCGTCACGGCAAAAAGTAATTCTAGGATTTTCTCTTTTTAACGACAATTGAATTTGCGCGATTCTATCTTTATTGAGAATATATTAACAGTAAGAAAGAAATATAAAACTGACGCTGCATTCATGTCCGCTTCCGATTTCTTTTTCCTGTGGCGTTGTGGATATTGGCGACTGCAGACATGTAATCGACCACTTCCGCTCAAAACATTGCCCTGGCACTAGCACTCGCCACAGACTCACGGGTAAGTTGAACGTATCGCTGTCTCATGAACTGTTCCCGAAGAGCTCGCTACTCTAGGCGACGGCGATGTTGTGGCGGTGGTCGTTCATCCGAAGTTTGTTGGTTTTGCAGCGGACGACTCTTGGTGAGCAGACGACAGCCAGTTCCTCCGAGCCTCGCATTTGGTTCAGTGACACGCACACTCTCGCGACATTGTGTCATGTGCCTTGCTCCGACGCTCTTATTGGGTCGTGGGGGCCGTAGCCTCCACAGTTCGCCAAGTTATCGTGAAGCGGAGTATCGTAGCGGCATTTTAGTGTCCTCCGAACTTTGAAGGAATCTTTTTTTTTTTTGAAAAGAACCTACTATGCTTTGCTCATTCTCAACAACCCTCCTCTTTTTTTTCTTAGGTCTAAATTTTGTTTGGGAGGAACAGGAGAATGGTTTTGAACGATACATTGGAGGGAGTTTTGTTCACTGCATTTTCTCTTACATTTTTTTGTTTTTGGAAGTGGACATTGTTTTTCTTTTTGTCATACATTTGTTTTATTTTGACTTCAAGATGAACAGAAACTTTTCCTTTTTTTCTTTTACCATCTTTGTACATAGTGTACTTTAACAAATAGAGAAACTGTTGTGCATCACAACACGGTTATGTCTCCTGCTTTGAGTGTCTGTCCATGTGCCTCGTTCCTACGTTTTGCTTCTCACCCAGACTTCACATTGCTTCGGACTGTTGCGTTGCGTGCCTATAATTCAGCTTTCAAGGCCTTGTTCCGGTTTGCATGTTGCGTGCCGGGACGCCTGCCCGTCTGTTATCGGTGCAGCTGTTGATTACGTCTGACCCTGTTCTCCTAGAATAAACTGCTCCAGAAGATAGTGGCCTAAACATAATCTAAAGTGGATGGACTGTTGTGATGAAGACGTTGGCACTCCGGGTAGGCAGAAAAACGGTCCATTGGCTTCTTGTCAAGAATTTTACCGAATAGGTTGCACCTCCGTGCAAAGTTTTAAAACAGCTCGTGCATAATTTCATTTATTTGGGATGCCACTGTAAAGTGTTTTGCCTGAAACAAGTGCATGATGAAGTCTAAGTGTTTGTAATGGCGCAGCCCATGCGGTTATGACATTGCCTTCGACGGAATGTTGGGCGAGCCATTCTTCATAATGACCGTGTGGAAAGTTCGTAGCTCTCCTGCACGAAACAAGTTGCCACATTGGCGGTGCCACCATGTTTGCACTACATGTTGCATCTGCCTCACCTCACGGAGGTCCAGAATGGTTTGCAGCTGCCGCTCACACTGGCAGTTTTGCGAGCTGTCTAGCTCGTGCCGTCCCAGAGACTGCCGTCTCATTGCTAGCTTGGAGTTCTGCTGTTAAAACTGAGGGAACACTTCAAAAACTACAGGAATGATTTCTTTTTCTAATGATGTAGTTTTTTTTTTTTTTTTTTTGCAAGAGTTGTTTGGGACATGATGGCCTCTCCTACCCTGCCCTTTCCTATCACATTCCCTTGTACCTTAGAGAGGAGGGGGCTTCGGTAAAGGCATACGCCGAGAACTTGGGGAGGAGGAGACGAGTGTGCGGGGACATTAGAATGTCAAGTTCTGATTGGAATGATTAGGGGGTAGACCTAAAGCTAGCTGCCTTTGTTTCCACTGCACCCGTCGAATGCATTGAAACGCAGAACTCCGTTGTCTGGCTTTTGCATTCGAATGTGTCGGGTGTAGTGGAGACAAGGGCAGCCAGCTTTAGGTCTACCCACTAATCACTCTGATCAGAACTCGGCGTTCTGACATCCCCGTGCACTCTCGTCTCCTTCTCTCCCTCAGTTTCTCGGCACATTCCGGCGTTCCGAATCGCATGCAAAAGTTGTTCCGCCGGAAGCTGCAAGAGAAGAACGGGGAAAAAAGCAGACTACTGCAACTTGGGGCATTCCCTCTAGACACTTGTTTGTATGGAGTGCAGAGAAATGCACTCCTGACTTGTAAAAACAAAAACAAAAAATATATTTAATAAAAGAGAAATATACACCTTGACAACAGTGTTCATATATGTATTGCACAAAGGTAATGCGGAGTGCATGTTCGTTCTGCCTCTTGCACAGGGGACGCCATGATGTCAGAATGCCGAGCCTTCATTGGCTGCATGGTAAGTAGACCTCGAGGCGTCTAGCATTGAGGTCTACCCACTGTCTTTTCAATCAAGGACAATCGGAGCTCGACGTAATTCTTACGTCACAACTCCTGCTCAAGATGCAGACGACTTGCTCTCCGCTTAGATGGTGCATTCTTGGAATGCTACTGCAGAAGAAGATAACATGCGATAAAACATTCGTCTTAACGTAACAAACGTGCTCTAAGCATATAACGCTCAATAGTAAACGGTGGCGAAGGTAAGCTTCTGCGTGGCGCGAAGTGCCTCCTTGAACTCTAGGAACTGTCCCATGTGGACCGGGGCGAAGCGTTCGACCTTAAACTCCTTGAGCTTCTTGGCACCTTCCGGGTCTTCGTGCATCTCCAGCAGGGCCTCCAGCACAGCCGCCTTAACATCGGCGTCAAGGTCCTTCCGCACTGCGATCGGGTACGGAGGCAGAATGCCCCAGGACTCGATCACGTGGATCTTGTCCCGGTAGCAGGGATTTCGGTCCAGGAACAACGCCAGACAGTTGGCGTCGACGGCCGCCGCGTCCACCTGCTTGTTGAGCACCATGTAGATGGAGTCGATGTGCGACTTGGCCTGGAGCTTGAGGCTGAAGAAGTTGGCCGTTTCTCCTCGTCTCTTAAGTTCCTGCAAGGTCACCTGGTGACCGCTGAAGGACTCGGGTCCCGTGAAGGCCCACTTGCAGCCTCGGAGCTTCTCAAACGTGGTGACATTCGAAGACACCAGATCGGAGTTGATGATGAGGTCCGAATAGTGACCCGGGCTGTCGCCGCCGAGCCGGTGCTTATGGACCGTGGACGCCGGTAAGAGTTCCAGGTTGGACTTGCCGCTGTCGGTAAGGCGTACGAAGGCGATGGCGCTCATGAAGGCGATATCGACCTCCTTTTGGACGAACGGGTCCGGCCGGTCCGCCGGAGGACCGTACCACCGGGACTCGTAAAGCAGCGACGTAGCGAGGTCGAGTTTTCGCTCCAAGTAGTGAAGAATGGACTCGTAGAATTCGACGGGTATTCCTGGGCTGAGGTACGTCGCGGCACGGAGGCTGTTTTGTGGAGCCATGTTCAACGAAGAGGGACCGAGAGACTTGTTATCGGAGTGTCAACACAACATCCGTACCGTTCGTCCGCTAGTACGATGGTACGATTTCACTACAGTGCTTAGTTGCCTAGTGGCTTCGTCTGGCTTCGTTCGTTGTAAAAGCAGTCAGAGACGATGATGAATTATCCGCAGGTGAAAACGTAGCGCTGCGGTTGCAAGAGCATTGTAGGGCTTCCATCGTAAACCGGAGACACGGAAAAATAAAAAAACGGACAAAACAACAACAAGTCAAACAACAATAAAAAAAACGGACAAAACAACAAATTGAGACTTGTTGTTGTTTTGTCCGTTTTTTTATTTTTTCCGTGTCTCCGGTTTACGATGGAAGTTCTTCACCAGCTCGCCTGTGCTTTTACCCTTTCTTTATTGTAGGGCTGCGTTGATGTTTATAAAACAAGGCATTGTCCTATGGACAGACGGGACAGACGTATATTTATTTTCATCTAAAAATTTCTTTGATGCATTCTTTTTAATTTTATCAATGCAAAAGTTAGAATTAAGAATATATTAAAATATAAATTTTTGTATGAATGAATGGATAAGTTCCTAGGGCTAAATGGTTAACAAATTTAACGGAACATTTACAAAATAAAAACTCCTGCCTCAACTCGTGCTTGTTCATCCTCATTTTAACACTGGGAGGAATGGGGGCTAAAGCCTAAAGCACTGGGCTCCGTAAAAATTAACAAGGTTGGTAAAAAAAATGGTTCTACAATAAATGAAAACACAGAAACTAGATGGCGCAAGCTGCCACTTATTTCAAATACTATTTTATGGATTTTTTGCCATTTATCTATTCATTGGGCTATTAGTTAAAATGGCGCGGTCTATGGTGGTAGGGTAGGTCGTGCGCATATTCAATAATATTTTCTCGCTACCCCCTTGCATTGACGTGAATCACCAAAACTTCATCCCCTGATTACACTGTGAGTAGGTTGAAGTTACATGTTCCTACCCAACTTTTGAAACTCGAAGAAACGCCGGCGCTCTGTGTCCGCGATGATCAGCGTCGTCTGCTGTTTAAAATGACCCACCGAAGTCATCCGACAGTTCTGAACACGGCTTCCCACTGAGAGACCGATGCCGATGAGCAATTTTCGCCTCGTGTCTTTCTTTGTTCTTCTTATGTAGGCAACGAAGAATATGGCCTGCGTTTTGGCCAAACACAGACCGTTGTGCCTAAAGCTGGCTGGGCTTCACAAGGCGTTCAACATCAGTGGTGTCACCTTTGCAACACGTGGTAAATTCTTCCGTGTTCCTTCATGTACTGTCATGTTATTTGTTCCTTCGTGTGTCTGATGTTTGACTGCGATACTGGTCGTTGTCACATATTGTTTTAAAGACTTTAATGATCCTGCTTCATCGGATTGGACTAAACCTTGTTGATTTTCCCATTCTGTCTCGAAGGACCTGACACCAAAACCTACGACTTGATTGTTGTTGGAGGAGGATCGGGGGGCTTGGCGTGTGCCAAGGAAGGTAAATATAAATATTTTTTTTTTTTTTTTTAGAAATCCACCTTCTGTGCTCGCTCACATCATCTTCAAATATTCATATCCCATTCATTTATTCATTCATACTGTCGGCCATGCAGGGCTCTTACAGGGTGAAATAAAAATGAGCGATGCTATATGCACTACGTAGTGCACTTTGGACGGAAATTGCTATATGCACTACGCTGAGAGCTCGTGCCGCTCGGGCCACCCTTTTTCGAACTGCGCGTGTATCACTGGGGAGCTCGTTAACCCAGCCCCCCGCCTGCGTTCACGCCGCTTCGCGGCGACAGTATGCGGCTGCTAATTAGAAAAGTTAACCAGTACACGCCGCTTCGCGGCGTCCAGCCGGCAACCCAAGCCCCGCTGTCCCCGATCTGCGAAGTTTCGTCGACAACATTCGGTGTTCTTTTTTTTTTTTTTAGTGTTGATCGCAAAAAACAAATATAAATATCGCCAAATGCCTCGTCAAAATAATGTTCAAGAAAAATGAAAAAAAAAAAGGCAGCTTCAACGCGATTCGAACCTGCGTCCACTTGCGTACGAGGCGGACACGCTAACCTCTCTACGCTATGCGACCGGTTGGAAAACACGTTGTGAACATTCATTTTATACGAGACAAACGCAGTGCATATAGCAATTTCCGGCCGAGCTGCACTCCGGAGTGCATATAGCATTACTCAATAAAAATACATAATGAGCACATACAGGTCTCTGGTACAAGATCAGAATTTTCCCGTTACAAGAGATACAGTATAGTAAAATACGGAACAAGAAACAAAAACAAGTATACTTAAATTACACTCTAAATGTACATCACTCAAAGATCAGGAAGAATGAAATGAACACATCTCCAGAAGTTATGATACTAAGGGTATTGAAATGACGTGACACAAAGTCATGTGACGTCATTCTCCTCGCTGAATTTAGCGGGGAATTGAATTGGTGTATAGGTCTGTGACATCCCATAATACAATGCGTTTAATGTAATGAGTAGCACATAAAACAGTTGTTTCAATATTTTTAAGAAATGAACTTAGTGAGGCTGATGAAACAGTGTCATTCGGTAGCACGCTCCATTCGTTTATGGCTCTAGGAAAGAAACTGAATTTAAAACAATCATTTCATACAGACGGACTTGGATTGTACATCGTGTGGCGCGGTGCCTTGATGATTCATTGGAGCGAATTTTGAAATAGTCTGAATAATTTATTTTTACTTCATTATGAATAGTCTGGAAAAAAAAATTTATGCAGTCATATTTTGTTTTAGATTAAAAATTGGGAGCTTTGCAAGTTCACATAGTTCAATGGGAGAATAAGCACAACTATATTTGTTAAATATGAATCTGGAGGCTAGTCGCTAAATTTTTTCCAATTTAGCACACTTTGTCAAGGTATGTGTGTCCTACGCGATTTTTGCATACTCAATTATAGGTCTTATGAGGATCTTGTATAAAAGAGCTTCTATTTCGTTTGTAGCACTAGAGAGGTTTCATCTGAGGCTTCATAGCTTTGACGCACACATTGTCAGTGTGTCTATTCCATTGTAGGTCAGAGATAAATGTCAAACCTAGAAACTTTGTTCCATGACCCTAGAAAGTTCTAGAGTGGAGCGCTTAGGTGCCCGTTTCCGGTTTGAGCGGCGTCGGCGTAAGCACGCAGTGCATTTTGGGAAGTGTCCCATAATGCAATGCGCAGGACTCGTGACGTCACCAGGGTCACGTGACCTCACAAGGGTCACTTGACGTCACCACAGTCACGGGAGTCACGTGAGTCACGAGGGTCATGTGACGTCACCAGGCTCACGTGACTCACGAGGCTCACGTGACTCACGAGGCTCACGTGACGTCAACGAGGAGCAAGGAGGACAGGAGGAGGAGGGGGGCATACCGCTCCTTGTGTACCCTTCCCTCCTCCTCCTCAAGAGCTTCGCTTTATTTCGACTTTACAGGAAGTTGTAAACGTCTTCCACTTTTTGGCTATCTATGCTATAGTCGTAATTTAAAACATTTTTCTTTCTAATTATTATCATAAAAGCAGGTTTTTTTCAGGTTTAACTTCACCTGATCTTCCGGTGCGTTTATCTTACTGTATATCACGCAGTCGTCTGCGAAGAGTCTTATAGGTACTGTAATGTCATTGGGCGAACCGTTTATAAAAATCAAAAATAAAAGGGGACCGAAAACACTTCCCTGTGGCATTCCTGATGAGACCGGTGAGAGGCTAGATCTCTACTCTTCTATCTCCACGTATTGCTCTCTCAAGGAAAGATAAGAAAAAAACCACTTCGTCACATTGGGATATCGAAAAATGACGTCGATTCTATGTAACACTTTTGAATGCGATACCTTATCAAACGCATTCGCAGTCCAGGATTACTATATCAGTTTGACTTCCATGATTTATCGTGTGCGCTAGATCGTGTACAGTTTCATCCAATTGTGTTGCTGAAAGCCCTCTGCGGAAAGCATGCTGGTATTGTAATAAGACAGCATAATTGTCAAGATATGCGAACATATGTTTAGACACAGTATGTTTCAAAAGTTTGGAACTGGAACTTGTAAGGGAAATTGGTCGATAGTTGCTGACATCTGAAACACTGCCACTTTTATGAATAGGTATTATCTTCGCTCGTTTCCATGTGCTGGGAAAAGATTTCTTTTTCTTTTTTTTATAATGTTATTTAGAACTGTGATTGGCAAAAAGAGCAAGAAAAAGTGCAGAGTTTAATTTTGGTTCATTCTGCTTGCCTTACTTGTAGATGTTAAAGGGATACTGAACCGAAATTTCGAGTTCACAAAACAAGGCTGGACGGATAGGCAGGACGCTGCAAAACCCAAAAACATCACTCATGCAGCGATATCTTTAACAGATGTCAGCTTGATTGCACCCTTCTTTTCCAAAAGTACGGCCATCCGTTTGAGATATCGATCTATGAGCGATGTTTTGGAGTTTGTTGTGTCCCATTCAACGCTTCTGCGGCCTTATTTTGCGAACTCCAAATTTTGGTTCAGTATCCCTTTAAAGCAGTCAGCTTCCGTAAGGACAGCCTCAACTTTCTTGCCATTTGAGCAGTTGAGTGACATAGTGGAAGTATATGTTTTTTTGGTCGCCCCATCTCACATGTTGTGTGAAGCTAAAACACCATCCACGTGGCTCTTGAGGTACTTTTTAAATGCATTCGAGGAAGATCAGTTTGCTATCAATAGCAATTTCTGTCGCCATCAGCCTCTAACACTAGCACAAATCAAAGTTGAACGCTAGTTTTTTTTTTTTTTAATTCAGGGGGATTGTGGCATTTCACAGAGCCTCGGAAAAATGCATTGCTTTCAAGGACCGCAGTGTGTCTGGTGTAAACCTTTTCAGGGGGGTAGTGCAGACTTCACGTGTAGGTAAACAAAAATACCCGGAACCATGTGGGACGTAACACTAAGGCTTATGTGGGCATAGCATATTTGTTAGTCTTTTCTGTTAAATCTAATGTTGAAGGTTAATAAAAGGACATGAGTAAAAATGTTCTTTCTTCGAGACTGCGCCGGGACCCGACGACGGAGGCAGCTGATGGTCGCTGATGGAAGAGTAAACCAGACAGGACTCCGCGGATAGGGGGAAGAAAAAAAACACGTCTATTTACAAGCCAAGCTAATTTCCAAATCCCTGCAAATGGTCCCACCACGTCCTCTCTTCCTCTTCTTCTCTTCTCCAAATGTCCCCTGCCCCAGCTCGCACGAGCGTCGCCAGTTCACCCACACACCGGGGCACACGTGCAAACGCAAACACGCAAAGAAACGAGCCTGTTCCCGTGTCCCTTCACGGTGATGGCGGGCCGATTCTCACAACATGCTATTTCAGATTGTTGCTAACAGCCATTTTTAATCATTCAACTTAAACCGACTAGAACAGTTTTCGTGATTGGTTGAACTGGTTACCAGACTCCTAGCATGGTCTTGGTAACCGAGACCATTCTGGGTCTGGAACATAGACATCTTAGACAAAAATCTCTCTGGGTGGACAATTAACAAAGGACCACCTCTGTAGAAAAGGTTGTTCTTGGCAGACAAAGAAGACAAGAGCTGCTTCCTTATGCGATTCCGTCATCCCTAAAGAAGAAACCAAGCTGGTTTCAAAACTTCGGGACACTTTTTTGACGCTTTGGTTGGAGTATTTTCTTTTTATTACTGCATTTTGTGTTTGTCTCGAAGCATTGCTTAGGACAAACCAGTGGCAGGCTCATGTTAGTTTCAGCTGCTTTGGGGCTTCAACATGACCGTCCGCGTCATTAACAAGGCAGGATGTTGATACAACTAGTAGTCTTTCCCCAATACGACATGTGTTTGTTTGCCCACCAAACGTAGTCAGATGCTTTTGTTTCCTCACGACCTCAATCAGTGATGGCGTGTGCATGGCTGCCTCATCGTATGTTCCCCGCATAGTCTCTCCAATGCTCTTCGATTGGCGTGCCCCTCCCTGCGTTCCGATCCACCAAAGACGCTTTTTGGAACATTTGTTTGTCCTATTCTTTTAAAATCGTGTCAACATGACGCAAAAAAAAAAACGGAAAGTGAAAAAATCGCCTGGCTTAGATGTTCCACCAGGGGCAATGGAGGTACAATTGCACTTGGTGGTAGGGTTGATGGGATGGGTCTTGCTAATGTTGGTTGCACCGTGGAAGAGAGGGCACTATAGGATGGAAAGGGGGAAGGGGAGGGAGTGTTAGCACACCGCTTACACTCCCCTCTCCCCTCCCTCCTACTGTGCAACCAACTTGAGCAAGCGGGGTTGTGGAGGGTTCCGACATAAAGTTATCACTTTAAAATGAATAGCCGGGTGAACTCGCTCCTGCCGCTCAAAGGAGTCCGACCCGCTGAGCCGGTAGTTCAAACCTGTGCTGGTGCTCAGCCCAGGCGCTCGGTCTGAGTGCGGCCGTGCTGGACTTCGTGGAGCCTTCCCCGCGTGGCAGCTTCTGGGGCCTGGGGGGCACATGCGTCAATGTGGGCTGCATCCCCAAGAAGCTGTTCCACCAGGGGGCGCTGCTGGGGGAGGCCCTCGAGGACGCCCGCCATTTTGGCTGGGGGCTCGCCGACCCGAAGCCCGGCCACAACTGGGCCACGCTGAGGGACGCCGTTCAGGGACACGTGCGCTCCCTCAACTGGGGACACCGGGTCCAGCTCAAGAAGAAGTGGGTGGCCCGTACCTGACGTAGCATTTTGGCAGATCATTTCTAGAGCAGACGTTAAGGCTGGTTCAGACATTGGAAGTTGACTGCGATCGACTGTGCCACGGTCGCTTGTTACAGCTTACAACAATATTAAAGCCCTCGATGCTTGTCTTACAAGGGGTGTCCCAGAGCCCCTCCAATCTGCGCATATATTTTACGCATCATCCTTTCGCCACGAGCTTGAAATAATTCTGGCAATGTTATACGGCACCATTTCTAATAGATATTGCATAGATTTGATTTTGTAAATACTGTGAAACCTTCAGTTTGGTTGTGCACAGATTGAAAGGGTTCCAAAGCTACCTGACGGGTGGCACCATATGTCAGCGTGTTCTCCCGTCGTAAGCCATCTCAAGTGGCCATAGCACGGTCAGTCACAGTTGAATGCAAATGCAGCTTTGCATTCCCAGCTTCTACATTGCCAAGATTGTAAGTTTGGAAAGAGATGCGACTTCTGTCTCTGCACTGGGATTTGAATGCTCTCGCGGCCTCAGTGGCTTACGAGTACTCGGGACTTAGGTTCTGCAACAGCCAAGCTTACAAAAAATGACAAATCCTGAGTGCGGCCGCTCCATGTAGCGATGCTCAAGTACTGGTTAGTTGGATTAATTCCCTGAAAACTTTGTTGTTTATTATGAAAGGCTGTCCCTTTCGTTTCGCTCGCCTTCATTTTCATACTTTGCAACTTCGCTAATGGAAACTTGTTAAAATTGATTACTTCCTTATTGTATGTGCCAGAAACAAAACATACTAAATCATAATGTGGTGATTCTTTTTCTCTATCTTAACTCAGTGAGGTCTTGACCTTGCCCTCATTCCAGACTGTTTGATTATCTTCCATTCCATTTCGCTTTCTCTCGTCTTTGTCCAAGGTGTAGTCTTCTTTTGCTGGTTCTTCTATTCATGCATGAAGCAAGCGAAGCTGTTACATGAACATACCTTTAGTTCATCTTAGTTTTTGTAGCTTTTTTAACTTTTTATCATTTCTTCTCAAAAGTCGTGCATTAGTTTTTGGCTCAGGGAGATCAGCAAGCTTCAATTTTCTCTGAAATGCGTGCCCATTGTCGGACACACCAGAAGTTCACAAACTGCCATACATCCGTCTTCCGCTCAGGAAAGTGGACTACTTCAATGCCCTGGGCACGTTCATCAACAAATCCAGCCTTAGTGCCAAGGCTCCAGATGGCACAGAAGTGAGTAGCCTCAGCAGAAAGAGCCGGCTTTGATCACTCTCATTTCTATTGTTCTGCATTGTTGCCTTTGCATTGCAGAAATTTAATTCTCGGGCCTCTAGTTAGGGGCAGACGAGTTGGACTGATCATTAGGAAAAGGTTTTTTCTTCCGACATCCGCGAAATGTGTTGTTGACTGTGAGACTTTCACGGTTGCAGCAAGCCCTGGCTAGCTATGCTTCATTGTGGCGCTGCCTTGCATGTTTGTTTTTTTGTGAATTCATTCCTGCCATTGTACAAAGCTTTTTCCTTTTTTTTTTGTTTCGTTGATCATTTCAAGTTTAGTTTGATTATCTAACTGAAATGCTATTGTGCAACTCGTGCCTTATGTTCTGCCTGAACAGCAAATTCTGTCAGCGAGCAACTTCGTTGTCGCCGTCGGAGGACGTCCAACGTTGCCGATTGATGTGCCTGGAGCATTGGAACATGCCATCACTTCGGACGATCTCTTCTCTCTCGAGAAACCACCTGGAAAAACGTGAGCCTTAAGGCTCATCCGACGTTGGGTGGCACGTGCTTGACTGTGACCCGTTTCCTTACCTTCTCTGTTCTCTTCCAGACTTGTGGTGGGTGGAAGCTGTATCCTTTCTTTGTTCGTGAGACCATGTAATCTCCCAGTGTTGGGAGCAGTGTCGGGACCAACTCCAGAGACAAGTTCCAGCGCATGATTGCACTTGCCTTTGAAATGGTGTGCAGTATTGTGGGTGAATCCAATTGTCCAGAGTTTAAAGGAATAAATGTGGCTCCTCTACAGTCGCAAAAGTAAAACACCTTTCCGTGATGTTATTGTAACGAGCTTTCGAACTTCTTTCTCACTTCTCTGACGAAAACAGGAAATGAGATAAATTTAAGTTTTCTCGGAATGTTGTCTGTAGGTTTAAGAGTAAGTACATTCTAGCATTTTAGTATGTCTTTGCAGTGATAGTAGAGCTGTAAGGCAAGCACTTCAAGTTTGGAACGCGTCCTACCCGAGTGAGCGAGGAATCGTGTCAGAGCTGTGAACGCATGCCTGTAGCCTTGAACTCGCTGCAATACTTGATTTCGGGTGTAAACTTTTGCTGGCACATTGAATGAAGTACAATTAGATAGGCTTTTTTTTTTTTTTTTCAGCATTGAAAAGTTCAGGAGAATTTCAGACGTGCTACAAGCTTCAAAACTTCTATTGTAGTTTTACAGTGAAGTTTCAGGCTTATAAGAATACTTTATAAGGTCCACTAGTTTTTAAAAGATTTATTTGAGTGTCTCATTAGCTATTATTATACATACAGATATCGGATGATATCTGTGTGGCACAGAAACAAAGAGAGAGTATGAAAATTGAAGCGGGAGACCTTTTAAATTGTTTTTTCTTGGATGTTCTCGAAATCTGTTTCAAACCTAATGTTGCTCCTTAATCCGAGGCTGTTAGACGTTGCATTGGAGTGTGCGGGCTTCCTCAACGGCCTCGGCTTCGACGTCAGCGTCATGGTGCGGTCCATTTGCCTGCGTGGGTTTGACCAGGTAGGCTCTTACTCATTGGCTGGGATATAAGACATGCAGTATGTGTGAAAAAAAAAAATTCAGATAAATTCAAGATATAGACAGGCTGACTGACTGACTGCATTGTTACTTAAAGGTCTCTTTTGTGGTGTGGACATAGCATGCTAAAATTTCTGAGCTCAGCATAAGCTTTACGAACCTTCACAAGTTATAAATACGACAAGTGCAGCTTTGTCAGATCTCAAATTTCTTGCAAATTTTTATACAAAACATTGTTTTAGTTACCCATTCGGTTTTGTACGACCTATGAATTGAAGGTTAAATGTGGAGTGGGGGGGGGGGGGGGGGGGCTGTTACGTTGGCTTCCATCTACGACAGAGAGAAGGTAAACTTTTGCAGTGTTTTTTGCAATCCATCTTCTCGTCACTAGATGAATGAAATCTTCTTAATGGGGGAGTTTACCGACTATAGTAGTTAACGCTATTGGAAGCAGGACAAAGAGAGAGGAGGAAAACAGCACACGAATGGCAGCGGCACACGAGTAGAACAAAAGCCAAGCTGCGTAAGTTCTAGGGCTTGTTCCAGCTGCACAACAAATGCGGTCAAAACAAGATCAGCTTTTGGTAGCTCAAGCAATATGTTCTAGTGTGGCCAGGAGTTCATGCTTAAGCGTAAAACATGATTGCTAATGAAGGCTGGTTCACGCATGCTCGTTTGAGCGTAACTGAGTGGGTTGCAACAGCTCACGACTGTTTGCAACGAGAGAGAACACTGGCGCCACCTGTCGGGGAGCCCCAGAACATTTTGGATCTGCGCATATTTACTAATTTTTTGTGCATCACTCTTTCACCGGGGGTTTGAAATAATCTTGACAATGTTTTGAGGGAGCATTTTTCATGGATAGTGCATAGATTTGACCTGGCAGACAGTACTGCAAAGCCTTCAATCTAGTTATATGCAAATCGGAGTTGTTCCAGGGCTACCTGGCAGATGGCGCCAGCATGTTTCCTCGTTGTAAGCGGTCGCACGGGCGGTCACTACGCACTCGGCTGCATTCTAATGAAAATGTATGATCCCGCCTTGGTGGTGCATTTTGACACACTTGCAAACAGTGTTTGGCATCTGTCGCTTTAGTTGGACAAGGACCTTAGAGTTGGGTGTCCTGGGAACTGTCCTTGTCGGAAACAAACAACTCACTGCTCGGTTCTTTCTTGGAGACTGCGCCGAATTTAAGGCTGATGTCGCGCAGTAAAACAAAGTATACATATTCAGCTACAACAATGCAGGTTCGGCTCTCTAAATAATGACTATAGCTGCTTAATGGGAGGTTGTTAATAATACCGCAATACCATATAGAAGATGGAGAAAGACGCTTGCGATATAAAATTTCTCCAGTGCAATAAGATTCTTAAAATGCCATTCTGCGACCGCTATTACGTGTACCGTAATACCCCAAGTTACAGCTTACCTAAAATCAAGAGTAAATCTTATGAAAACAGAAAGTTAGTTATTGTTCAATGTACAACCAAGAAAAGTAAAGAAAATTTAAAAAAATCTTGTAGCAAAAGAATGTGAAAGAGTGTTTACGCTTCATTCGCTCACCCTCAAAAACTAAATGAGCAGTCACTATCACTGTCAAACAAAATGTCGACCACTTCGTCACGTAGGTCCTGCGACCTTTCAAGCTTGTTACCGTAGCGGGGGGGCTATGAATAGCATTTATCGCCTGCCTAACTGTTCTCGTCTCCGCCAAGGTCACCATTGGCCTGGGCAGTGCAAATACTAGAGGGGTTATCGTTTGGTATTTTGGAAAAAGATACAGAATCGTGCCATAAGTTGGAGCGGGTTATCTTTAGCAGGTGGGGCATCTCTGAGAATATTGTGGCAGACTCGCAGTTGCTACAAGAAAATCGTCAATATTTCCTTCCGAATATTTCTGGAGTCTGCTCTTTTATTTGATCTAGGCACTCTTCCGTTCCAATATTGCGCTATTGAAAATGAATTTTGTGCCACTGCCTCTCCACCCCAGCAAATGTCCAAGCTGGTGACGAGCCACATGGAGTCGGTGGGTACGCGCTTCCTCTGGACCTGCCTGCCCAAGGAGGTCAAGAAGTGTCCGGACGGCAGGCTGCAGGTGTCCTGGACGGACTCCCAAGGCAGCATGCAGGAGGATGTCTTTGACACTGTCATGTTTGCCATTGGTGAGGCCTCTTTCGCTCGACGTCTATCTTTTAGCTTATTTGAAACGTGGAACTTGCACTCACGCTCTTCTTATAGTGTCAAAGTGGCTCACAGGCAGCGAGTTTCCTTAGGGGTGGAAGCTTTGCCCAAGACTTCTTGACGCTGATCTTCGCTCCCTGTGGATTCATACGTATCGGGGCCTCTTAGATTGGGGATAGGTGCTGACTCTGGTTGAATTTATGCGCGGCTTATTTTGAACATATCGCATCACGTCTAACTCAAAACAGCAGTTGGTGCGTTTTGGTTGCTTCCGCAGTGGACGCTAATTAATGCGATGTATACGCTGGGAACATCTGCCGCGTATAAAAAACGTGGCCACGTGCAAGAAAAATATACACACATTGTTTCGTAGTCGTCGTGGGTTTGGTTTTCGATTACAAGCTATTTATTTACATATTAACGGGAGTCCTAATTATGTGGGCTGGCCCGATGAGCGCCAAGTCGGAGCTGCCGACCCGAGCTTTCCGCATTCGTCGTATATTTTGCGTCGCAGTGCCCGTGGATCGTGCATGCTCCCACCTCACGTGCTTTATGAGGCAGGCATCGTTACGGAGCGCCAGTTGCGTAGCGATGCCTGCAGGCATCGCTATGCAACTGGTGCTCCGTAACGATGCCCATAGCTACGGCTTTCATAATGTATGTATTCGGGAAGTTTTAGTGGGCCGATAAGCATATGCCCTCTGGTTTGTCGGGCTGTACTACCCATGCTAAGGACTCTCTCAAGGTTTGTAGGATGTTTAATCATGCCTACATCTAATTAGGGTGTTTTCTTGGTGTGCCCAAAGGGAGACAAGCCAAGACAAAAGGACTCAACCTAGAAGGAGTAGGGGTGAGGCTGAACCCCAGGAACCACAAGGTGGTGGCCAGTGACCTGGAACAGTCTTCGGTCAGCAACATCTACGCCATCGGAGACGTGCTCGACGTGAGTCCCTGTTCTCAACTTTTCTGTTGCACGGTTTCCTTTATAGCATATCCCGTGCCGCGACGGATTACAGCCATGCAAGGCTTGCACGATTACGATCTGCTGCTGCCATTGTCTCAGCATTTCGTCTTCGCTTTCTGGCTAGGTAGCAGCGCTTCGAACTTACACTCGGAAGCTCTTTTTTTCAGCACATAAAATGCGGCTTGGTGCCTAAGACGAAAAGCGTAGGCATTCGCTCATGCATTTTGGCAAGCTTGTTTGTGTGTGCCGACACCTGGAAGGGTGGCTGACTGAATCTGCGGCACAAGAACCGTAAACAACACCAGCGACTTGTGAGCTTACCGAAAAACAGTTGCGACGTCTGTGGCAAAAAAATGTGTATGTCTTGCACCGTGCTGCGCAGGGATGTAGACCACAGGCATAACATACTCCTTTTCCTATTTGGTGCTCCGTCTGGCGAGATATTCATGTGATGGGTGCAGGAGACTAAAGGGCAAGACAGCACTGCTCTTTTACTCTTCCCTTTTAAATGAAGGCAGTTGCGTGACCTCATTGCCAAGTAGAATACTGTAGATATGCAAATATAGCTACCGAATAAAATTGTACTAATATTTTCTTTGCAATAGGGTGCATTTGAGTCTATGGTGTCCGTTGACGTAACAGTGCTCCGCACGCTTCGTGGCCTCGTGTAAGTTTGGGCAGTCAGTGCAGTCCTGACCGTATTACGGGGATGCAGGGCAGACCAGAGCTCACTCCGGTGGCCATACGGGCGGGCAAGCTCCTGGCACGGCGCCTCGCTGGTGTCACCGATGAGCGGATGGACTATGACAAGGTACAGTGATACAGTTATTTCACGCCTCTTTGGAGCTGCTTTCACCTCAAAAACGTAGGAAAGAAGTTTGCCTCCTAATAAAGCGTTACTAATTTCCTAATAAGCCTCAAGCATGCACGCTCAGCAGAAAAGAACACAGTGGAGGGCAACAAGCACGTGCTAGAGATCGGGCATTCGAAAGAGTTGCCCTTCCATTTTCATTCCGTCAGTCACAATAGAGAATTTCATTTTTTTTTTAACCCCACCTTCTCCGCCTGCTCGCAATAGACACTTGTTAAACTCTACTTCCAGGTGGCCACAACAGTGTTCACCCCACTGGAGTACGGCTGCGTCGGACTGTCGGAAGAGGCGGCCCTGGAAACGCACGGGGCCGACGACGTTGATGTCCTGCACGCATTCTACAAGCCTCTGGAGTACACCGTGCCCCAGAGAGACGCCTCCCATTGCTACATGAAGGTACCTCCCGTTGCTTGTTAAGGAAATTCCAATCAATCGAATGATAGGTTCGTTTAGTTTGATAGTTTGATGGCCTGCAACGCGAACGTGTCTCTCGGCGTCTCTTTCAGGCCGTAACCCTGCGCTCCGGTTCACAGCCCGTGTTGGGCCTCCACATGACGGGCCCTCATGCCGGGGAAGTGATCCAGGGCTACGCAGCTGCGCTCAAGTAAGGCCGGTGCACATGAGGCCCGGGGATGTGAGGGGTGGGGGTCTCCCTTGCCACCTGCCTTCCCCCCTTCCCTCGGTCTGGTTGCTAACACCTTTGCTCGCAGGGCCGCTCGGATAGCCGCCGTATCCTTCTGGGTCGACTTCCCCCACACGCCGCGCCTCTCGGGTTTTCACAATTTTTTTTTGTGCCTGCTGTGCAGAAGTTGCCCTTTGTGTTGCATATTTTTCTGCACAAATGCATGTGTCGCATATTGCCGTGATTTCCAGCTTGCATCCACAAGCACTGTCGGCAAGCTTTGAATGTTGACTTCCGTCAGATCCAACAACTGGGATCCGTAGGCTGGTGCCACTGAGCCTGGAAAGCATCTCCGATTCTTGTCATTGAGCATCCTGTACTGCTTGTGCATTAAAAATTCTCCCTTGGTAGCAACAGATTACATCACAGGAGCCGCCCCGTCATGCCGTCGGACGTCGTGATCCTGGCAGTTGGTCGTAGAAGTGCCAGTGAAGAAAAAGAGGAGCGGTAATTGTTACCGTCATTGCGACGTCCCAAGTTGTGGCTGCTAGGTTTTCGTGGACTGTTAAGCTGAGGAGCGACTTGCAGCGCAGAACAGGGGTCTGCCATCTCTTTACTTCCGATGCTTTATTACCGCCAGGACCGTGACATCCGACAGCAGGGCACGAATGTGATGTCATTGGGCGGAAATCCGGGAACCGAAATTGAGGGCACGACAAATGCACTGATCGGAGACGTGTTCCAGGTAAAATACCGCTTCCCTGCCTTGGAAGCAATGAGCCAGCTTTCTTTCTGGAAAGCGTTTTGTGCAATGCTGTGCTCTTCAACTACTTTATTTTGGCGAAGATGATGATTAGCAGAGGGTACAAACATGACCAGCAGTGATGTTTTCTGGTTATTGGAGGTGAGCTCGAGTAAAAGGATCATAAGGAGCTAAACTCGGGTCGCAAAAAGCGTAGCAGACGCAGCCGTCCTATGTGTCCTAACTCCTTACTGCAGCTCTTTCTTGTTTGGTGTTCTTTTCCTTCCTTTTTATTTTTTTTTTCAGCTTAAATTTTTATGTGCATTTTTCACCGGGTTTAATAAGGTGGCATCTGAATTTTGTGAACTGGTCAATGACGTCTGTTTGACGTAATAAAATGAAGCATAACAGGCATACTTCTAGCACACATTGCCCCGTGCTGGTGATTGCAAACCTTGAAAACAGCACTTTAGCAAACAACATTTTTTTCCTGAACTATGCAAAGTCTGCAAAGACCGCTTTATATTTTATTTTTGCACTCTTGGTTTGACGTCTGCTCAACCACAAGGACTTTTTTTTTCTTTTTTTTTTTTTTCTGTGTGCAGCCCATTAAATTATGAAGGCAGTTCTTAGTACAATTCTCTGTGTCCTTAATGTTTTGGCCTACATTTATGTCCCTAAAGAATAGGGATGTCGCGAACCACCCTAGGTTTGGTTTCGAAAGGTTTCAATTATTTCCAAAGTGAACTGAGGTTCGAATTCGAAATTTTTCTATATTTTCGTACTGACAGGTTCGAATTAGAAAATATTCACAATTTTCGATCACAGTGAAGTTTCGAATTCGAAAAGTTAGAAGCTTTCACGGTTTCGAAAATTTCGGGTTCAAATATTTCGGATATTTTTTTACTTGAGGTTTGATAAATTGGAAGATTTCGAACTTTCCTAACTTGAAATTTGAGATATTCGAAAATTTATAATTTCCTGGAATCTGAAATTCAAAGATTTCGAAATTCTTTGGATATAAAATTAGAAAAATTCGAACGCTTCAAATTTTTATAGACAAAAAGTTCAAAAATTTCTAAGGTTTCGAACTTCTTTCTACATAAAGTTTGAAACGTTCGAAGGTTTCGATTTTCTCTTAACGCTTATTCGAAAAGAAAACTTTGAAGATTTCGAATTTCTTTTAGGTCCAAGTTTTCGAAGTTCGAAGTCCGGTTTTCATGTTCCTTCACAGTTTCAGTTTTAAATAATGTTTTCGCGACTCACTGGTTTTCACAAAATCACGTTTAGAAAAGTTTGCGTGTGATATTTAGACTCCGCCAAGTTGGATAAGGCAGTTAAATGAGACGACAAGTGTCCCGGATGTGCTGGAATATTTGCCGGTGCAGAGTGACGTGTGACCATCGATCAGCAATTGTGACTGCCAGCCGGGGAGGTCTTTAACGTGCACAGTAGTGATCACACGAACGCACTGTTTTACGGTACTCATGCAGTTAGAAACGGCCAGGGGTGGGCAGGAGGTTGAGGCTTAGAAAAACCTTGAAGCGATCTGGCAAACTACCTTGCCACGCTTTTGCAGTCTGGTAGTAATCCGATTGAACGCCGCCCGAGGGATGCTGGCATATAGTAAATTAAGTTTGTAATTGTCCTGGAAGTTTATTTTCCGAGACGGAAGAAACGCCTCGCAAAAAGCACAGAAGCCGACACAACTCGAGTTCGAGGAGTGTTCTACCATACAAGTGGCGTCGGAAGAAGAAAAACGGAGGGGGGCATATGTATAGCCTGCTGCCGCTCTTCACTGCATAAAAGATTGCATAGATGGTCATTGTCGGAAACTCGTTGTCAGAAGGCACTACTTGTGACATGCTTATAGTGGTTCGGAAGTTCAAAGCTATGTCTTTTCGACCTAAATAACTGTGCCATTTATAAAAAAAATAAAATAAATAAAAATAAACATAACAATAAATGCGGGGATAAAAAGCTGGAGAAAAAAAAAACTATCAAGAATACGCCGGAAGTGTTGTATTCTTGCATATTCAGAGGCTCAGAACTTCGAAACAGGTTTCTCCTACCAAAATGTGTACAAGCTAAAAGAAACACGTCCCAAGAACGTGAAGCAGAAAAACAAATGTCTTTTTTTTTAATGACGTGCTGAACTTGAACAATATTAGATATCTTCTCCTATGAGTTAATTTATTCCTTAAAGTAAAAAAACAATGAATGCATTATTTTGTATTCTGCAGATGGCAATAATATATGTATGCTGTCTGTAGTGTTAATTTAAATCCAATACCTCAATCAGCTTAGACAAAAAAAAAAAAAAAGTTTAGGGCATAATTGCCTGTAGATACATGTTTGGGCATTTCTTTGAAACTCATTTTGAATAACAATAATCACATCTTAAGACGACACTTACCTAGGCTATATATACTGTCGAGGCCGGTTATAACGAAGTCAACAGGAATCGGAAATCACTTCGCTATATCCGCTATTTCGCTATAACCGACTTTGGTTATAACGAAGTGCAAAAGGGAATGGGAAGTCGTGATCGCTTCACTGCAGCCGCTATTTCGTTATAACCGACTTCGTTATAACCGGTCTGGACAGTAGATCACTCTTAAGAAGTTACACGCCTTTTCCATAAATAGCTTCGGCTAAAGCGCGCTTCAAGTATGGCACAAGCGACAATCGTCCAAAAACCGTCGTCCTTCATCGTCCCTTCAGGAATTTATTTCTTTAAAACTAAGAAAACCAGAACATTGAAATAAAGTGCATTGTCTTTCGTAAGGAACGCAGCTCCGCATGTAAAAATTCGAGAAAAAGAATTACGAATGTACCTCACTACTTGAATTCAAATGAAACTGTCCGCCGGTCTTTCGAAGTTCGACGAACGTCGAACTTTTAACATTTCAGGATTCAAAAGTTTGTACCTTTTAGAATTCTCTTGATAAATAGGTTCGTAAGTTCGAAAATTATTGATTTTCTTAGCGTAGGAAATTTGAAAAGCTTCGAACTTTTTAGATCAAAAAGTTCTAAAGTTTGAAAATCATTGAATCTTTTTTGGTCTGTCAAGTTTAAAAGTTCGACAAGCATAGAATTTTGCGGCCTAACAAGTTCGAAAGTTAGAAAAGGGTCGAATTTTTTAGCGTAATAAGTTCGACGGTTCGAAAAGCGTCAAACTTCTTAGTTTAACAAGTTCGAAAATTCGACTTCCATCGAATTTTACGATATAGAAAGTTTGAAATCTTTCGAACCTTTCTAATTGCTTGATTTGATCATCGAAACTTCGGTTCGAAAAAAGTTCGCAACATCCCTACTAAAGAATGTAATTTCCGTTATGTACCCACCATACATAAGGCAAATTGTGTTGTGTTCTGGCTACGGAAGAGTTGTATGCCGTGCAACGTAAGCACATTTTTGGGCGCTGGAACTTTTTCTTTTCATGCTCCCATTTTGTAATCAGGCTGCAGAGCTAGGCTTTCAGTAAAGATTTATGGTAGTTTGTCTATATTTTGTTTTACCTTACAAATTTAACGATCATAGTTGGACTACACTTCGGTTCACCCTGGATGTACCACAGTGAAAGAAAGCTGCATCTGTAAGCTCCTTGCTCAAGGACATACTTTGGCTGCACAAACTCTCACACAACAGGAGCAGCTGCCAGAGCGATGAGCTTGGGCTTCTAGCCTCTATTGTGGAACATCTTGAGATACATTAGAGTATAGTATCCGTTTCTTAGCATAGCATTTGCTGCTGTTCTGAAGTTTCCTTCTGAATGATCCTTTTTGACCTTGCTCTGAGATGATGCTTTTTTTGCTTCCACCACTTACATGCAGTACTTTCACCACAGGTGCAACTTAACCAGAAAGGTCCTGGAAGAAACAGTTGGCATTCACCCCACTGTGGCTGAAGAAATGGTCAAACTGCACATAACCAAGCGGTCCGGCGAAGACCCAACGGTCACGGGCTGCTGAGGCTAATAGGGACATCTGCGCCAACACTTGCAGGAGGCACAGGCCAACTGTGCAGTCCCAGTTGTACTGTGCGCCTGCTCGGCGGGGATGTTCCGGCACCGTTTCTGCTAGTCTGTATATTGGGGGACAGGTCCTATGATGTTGAGCCTTGAAAGCCCATCAGGGCTAGGGTTTGACTGAAGTTGCCTGTCCCAAGAACGAACATATTCTGCACTCATATATTGCAGCCTGTTGAGTAGATGGTTTTATAAAATAAATGTTGTTTTATAAAACATTTTGTTTTAGTTATTATTTCTGTATTGAGCCATGTTGCAAAGTTGATTGAAAAATCTTTGATGAAGCCTTATTTGCTTCGAAGAGTATGTTTTGTTGCTTTTGAACAGATGTAATCTAATGAATTTTTTTTTTTTTTTTAATTTCTGTAGAAAGTTAAGGACTTCTTTTTTTTTTGTGTGTGTTTTGTTTATTCTTCTGTGGTTTAGAGAGATGATTTGAGTTTCACACTTGGCGCGCAGTTATGCAGACGACACTATACCATCATGCACTCGGTTTTGTTTGTTTATGTATATTCCTGAACACTTCAGGTCACTGTTTTCAGCAGTTTGTTTTAATTTATTGAGTGAATAAATTGTCCCCATAAATTAATTATATGGTGTGCATATTCTTAATCTTTTTATTATTAGTTTTTGCTTAAAGTATCATCCGAAAGTGCCGTTTATGTGTCGCTGTCATTGTGGCCATTTTCTGCACTTAATTCCGTTGTATGCATTTGACATTTTAACGTCGTATGAAACTGAATTTTTACGAAAAATGCGTAAGTTTGTCGAATTATCTGCACTGGGAGAATAACCGGTGGATGCCGCGATGTGTTTTTTCAGGGGGACGCTTCCTATGACGTTTTAGTTTTTAAATCTGCCGTTTTCTCGATGAGATCAGCTGATTTTGCGCTCGCGCGTACCGTGCCCGACGCGAGAAGTTTAAAAGCCTTACGCGCGCTTACAGCCTTAATCTCGCGAATCTTTTGCCCATACTGTTACAGCGCGCAAGCGGAAAATGGCCAGCAGCTCCTGCAAGGTCGAGCCGGCGACGGTGCCCTCGGAGAACAAGGCACCTGCGGACCACCTCCGAGATATCAAGAACATCGTCCTGAAGAACAAGAGTGGCTTGTTTTCCTCCAACATATTCTGTGACGAAGCGTTGGAGGCTATGCGAGAAAAGATTCAGAGCACCAGTCACAGTAAGAGTTTCTTATCGACGATTTGATAATAGCGCGGAGGGCTCACGGCGAACACATAGGGGCGCTTGTTTACTGCCTTTACTGTAACAGACGAAACGAGCCTAGATTTTTGCGCTGATATATTAGTGCTACGTGCATGCCAACTAGCGCAACTTGCAGCCTTTAGGGTGCACCGATTTAATGAGTTCAATCGGGATATTTGCAGACGCAGTCGACTTTGGTGGAGCAGGACGATGACATGTAATTTTCGCAAGGCTCCCCATTATGTAGTGTAGATGGTTGAGCGTGTTGGTTTCTAATTTACGACAAGGAAAGAGGGACATTGAAGACAAGACAGACAAGACGCTCTTCATTTATTTACTATCTACGAAAAGACCCATTTATGTGTGTATGGTGTGTCGAATCGTGGCCTGGGTGTCGGGGCGCTTCAAGGAGATTTTCACCTAACCTAAAGTTTGTACTAATCTTTAGTTTTTGTCGCTCTGTTCGCAACTAACGTAGCCCGTAACTAACGTAACGTAACAGTGCTCCGTTTGTGTATTTCTTCCTGTTCGTGTCCTGTTTTTGCGCAGTTTTACCCTTTTAAAATAGGCTGTGTCTACAGTGCCGTCCGACGGCACTCCAATCGCGCCTACAGGTGCCCTTCGAAAGAGTCCGACAGCGTGTGTATCACTGGGGTGAATGTTAACAAAAGCAAAAAGTAAGCCCGCACTGGGGATCAAACCCGGGATCGCTTGCTTATGAGGCAGACATCTTACCACTATGCTACACTCCGCTCTCTCGCATAAGTCTCATAGAAAACTTTGTTTTATACAAGACTTTCAGACGGCTCTTGAACGCGTGAGTGGACTACCGTCGGACGGCACTTGAATGCTCTGCAAAAGTGCCGTCGGACGGTACTCTAGACACTACATTCAAATAATGTAGCCGCAATATGTAATGTGCGAGGAGGTTGCTGCTCGGCACAGGTAACCTCAGAACGCTAGCGATGGCTTCCAATGTACAAGTCTGTTCATAATCTAATGTAGAAATATGTTCATAGTCTTCTAAGATAGATGTCTGTTCGTAGTACAGTAAAACCTCGTTATAACAAAATGGGATATAACAAACTAATGGATATAACAAACCTATCATAATTCCCCTTGCTTGCTAATAGGGAAGAAATGGACATTGGCTATAACAAACTAATGGTTATAACGAAATAATTACGATCGCTCCTTCAACTTTGTTATAACGAGGTTTTACTGTATTCTAAAGTAGAAGTCTGGTCATAGTGAACCGTCCTGACAGGTGTGTATGGGAGATTGACTAAACAGAGTGACAACCATGGAAGCCTGACATATGCTTCCTTTGTCTATCGTCAATGGAAGTTTTACTTAAAACTGGCTTTTTGCATCTTGAGATTCAATACCTGAAGTCAGTGCCCCAAAAACACTAACTTTTGATGCCCTTTTGCAGATAGTTCAATTACACATTCCGTGTCAGTGACACTTGACTGTGAGTGCAAGGCCTAAACAGGTGGCTGTTCTGAAAGAGTCTCACGTGATTTCTCGTTGCGGTTCAGATGATCTTGCCGTGAAGCAAATCTTCACGGCCACCCCAACTACAAAGAAAAACGCTGGCAGCGAGAAAGATAGTGCCAAGGATGCCGCCAAAGATGCTGCAAAGGATGCTGTCGTTCTCGGAGATTCGTCGGATGAGGAGTGCAACATACTGTAAGCTGGCTTTGTTTCTCTTTATCTCTTTTCTGTTTAGTGGAGGCGGTTCTTGCCAACACAATTGCTTGCTCTCCCGTAAGATATTCATGCTCGACCGGAAGTGCTACCATGGTCCTTAGATCACCTGGTTTGGAATCTTTCTGTCATGCTAAGGGAAAGCTCCCCCTAGGGACAGGCTGAAGCACCCCACTGCCGATGTTAGGAGTCGACCAATCAAATTGCTTGGAGGGTCTAAAGTGGGTGGGTGTTTAGAGAGGCCACCGTAAAGAAAGTTGCCGCATGCTTCTCCTCTTTCATAGAGCCCCTCCCAAACCCCATGGATCCATCGAAAAAATGGGCAATTGGAAATGTCATCTGGACTTGAGACCTAGGGGTCATATTACTTCGAAATAATTGAAATACCATGTAAAAAGTGCTACATCTGTTCAAAATAAATAAATATATGTATATATACAGCAGTGATGTGATTGCTGCGCCAATTGCGCCAAACTGCACCAAGGGGCGAACCCTGCTACATCTTGCTACATTTTGCCAAAATATGGGTAATCTGCGCCAAGCCTGCGCCAAAAGACCAATTTTGGTCGTCTTTCAAAACCGAAACTAAACTGAGTACCCTAATTGCGCATGCATGAGCTAGGTAGCGCAAGCGGCCGCACAACAAAAAGTACCCTGTATTTATCGTCCATCCGGTCTTGCATAGTTTTTCCCGCCACCTCTCGTTTCACGCTCTCGTCGTTCATCGTTCATGTCGTTCATGTGTCTCGTCTCGCGTCTTTTTAAAAACAATTTCAACGATAGACGCGGACGTGTGATGGCGCTTCCGTGCTTCAGTCGTACAAAGCGCTCCAAGTACATTTTTGATCTTGACTCGCGATGTCTTGTTTCGTCCTGACTCGCTCAGGTTCTTTTTTTCTGTGTGTTTAGCTTGTACCTCGCCTGCTGGGCTGGCAAGCACTTGCCGCTGGACTGTTTTTTTGTCGTGTACTGGACAATTACATTTTGCATACAATTTTAGGAACCAGTTGGCGACGGAGCGGAGTGGCATGGTGTCTGTTTCGATCGAACAGCCACCTCCGCTCGCGCGACGAAGCACGTGCAAATGCAAGCCTGCCGAAGTTGCCCTCATGTGCATGCGAACATGACTTTACGACAGAGGCACCAGCCGGGACACTTGCAACCAATTGTTTTACGTTTGCTTTTGACAAAAATCTGGCACGTCCGGAACCAGTAAAACGGTGGCAAGTGGTTTTTCGAAATTGCTCGGCAATGGCCACAGCACAGTTCACTTGTGGGATGTCTCAATGTCTCTTTGGAGACATTGAAAGTGGGAATTCATTACTAGCCAAAGGCAAAGCGAGGCTTGCAGCAGCCTTGTAGAAAGTTTCGAAAAGCAAAAAGAAAAGCACCCGCTAGTCTTAATGCACTTTTGTCTTGTGTACAATTTCGCATTGCAGTGCAGTAGTTACGTGTTTCATCAGTCGGAGACAGCTTCCATTTATTATATTATATAACTACGGAAGTCAACCTAATGCTGTGATATTTAGTACTAAGCTGGTCATTTTCAAATAAATTTTAATATGTGCTGTTTGGTTATTTATCTATAACGGTAGATATATATGTATAATTTAACTGGAGCATTGCAAAATGTGTCATGCCATTGCAATTTCAGTTACATGTTGAAAGACTCCCAGGTGGTCGAACTTGACCATAATTTGTTTATTGCGGCGAGCAAAGTGTCCTTCGTTCGTCCAGCACTTGAAAACAATTATGTTTATTTTTCTAAGAATAACTGCTCCAAAAGCCACTTTTGCTGCTCCGAAACACTCTTTTGGCTGCTCCAAAAGCAACTTTTGTTGCTCCAAAACACTGTTTTACCTGCTCCAAAGGCCACTTTTGCTGCTCCAAAACACCGTTATGGCTGCTCCAAAATGTGCTCCAAAACGGCTTAGGCCAATCACATCACTGATACAGGTATATATAAAACTTTAATTTTTTTTTTTTTTACTTTTTTATGGTGGTGACAGATTTTACTGGGGTGGAAACTGCCAAAATTTTCAGACCAGTAAGTAGTTTATCTAAGGACTGTAGTAGTACTCTTTGAACTCACCTTGAGCTAAACCTTCTTTGCCTGCATCCAAAGAAAAATGTTTTGATAACTGTTCCAGGTCCAAACCAGGTGTTATGGAGACATCTTTGGATTGCTCGCCAAGGTCTCCAGGACAGCTGTCGCCCATCAAGCACTCCCGCAAGACTCAGCAGATACTCAAGTAAGACTAGGTTTCAAATAACCTCTCATTTAAAAGGCGCTCACATTCTTTTCTTTTGTCATTGGACCAATCCATGCCAAAACTAAAAAGAGGGGAAAATATGAGGTCCTGAAATGACCGAATGCAACCCATCTGTACGTGATATTACACAAAAGAAGTTCACAAGTAGAGATCATACAGAGACACACCAAGATATCTTTCAAATTATCGCTGTTTGACTAGAATAGATGTCTCTAACCGATTGAGGTGTGAGGGTGAGCGAGATACAAATAGTAGTTCTTTTTCTGCTGTGAAAGATGAATGTTTGTTTCATGTCTGATCAGTCTTCAGGGCATCTCATGTAACTCCGTGACAAGTGTACATCAGCTACTGCCAGTGTTGTGGCTGTACAGCAGACACGCTAAGGAGAGGAAGCTTTGCGAGTCTTGAGTCAATATCTGCAGAGGCGTGGCCTTTCTTAGGCATGCATTGTAATGAAACAATGATATGAGGTCCCTCAAGACCAGGATGTTTTGAGCTTCATGGTTTAGGGTAGAACTGCTACTTCCCCAAGCTATTTGCACTTCTCGTGCCAGTTGAAACGTGGTGGCACATAGCAGTGAAGCATTTTGGTTCCGAACTAGGCTGCTAGTTTTGCAGTATTTGCGAGACCATATCTATGCGCTATCTTCGAGAAATGATTGCTTATAACACTGTCAGATGTAATTCACTCTTTAAAAAACACTAAAACAAAGCACAAGTTTTTTTCTTTGCTTTTTTTTTTTTGTAAAGGGCATAAATGGGACACATATATTTTAAGAATATCTTTTCAATGGAAAAACAAAACAAGAAGTTTTGCGCAATAATTAAGTTGTTAGAAGCAGTTTAGGTGGAGGTCACGGACCATTGTAAGCCCCACCCATTACTACTAGATTGGGTTGGCAGCTCGGCCGAACATGTACAGAAGCCTATTGTTTCCCTTTCGGGACATCCGGCGCGTCTAGTCTGGAGGTCTGCTACCACCTTCTAGTCTTGCGAGCAGACTCATGGCAGCTTCCGGCATCGTCTGCTATGCTACCACTGTCTATCGTTGTCTGCAATGCCCAGACATGGACTTGAAAGCTGCGTGGCGACATCCGTTTTTGCCTTCATCTGCCTGCTATTTTGCCTCAGTCTAAAAACTTCTGCAATGCTTGCCAGATGCGACCATGAAATCGCCGTTCTAGCATTCTATCATGCACGAGCCACGCTGCAATACAAGCGTCTGTCGATGTGCAGTAAAAAGCTACCGACAGGACTAAAAAGATCAACAAAATAAATATGCGGTCCTTCCAGCTTTTTTGTTCTTCTTGTTAGTTATATTTTTTATGTCCCTTTAAAAGGGCACGTAAGTGGATTCTGAGGTAGTCTATTTGTGGTGATAACGCAGTCTACAGGCATCCAAAAAAACTAAAAATTACACTCACGGGTGGCCGAAAACAAGCATCTACAAACACCACTTGAGTGCTCCTTTAGAGGAGCTGTGCCACGATTTTAACGTTGAAAGAATTGGCATCTTCTACTTATGACATTGTTCATCTTGTCACAAAGGACAGAAAACACACCTTCCATCGAAACGTTGAGATAGGCAAAAATTAGAATATTCTCCGACCTGCAGCCGCGAGCGGCGGCCATGAGAAACACGCGGCATGATGTCAATGGGGGTCTTGTAGAAAGATAGCAACTTGTGCGAATACCTGCTCGATAAAAGGTAACTTTTCTATAAATATTATCGTTTTAACATGAATATAAATGCGTCAAAAACCTGGTATCGTTGACAAAACTTTTTTTATACGGAGTTTTAGTGGCGCCATCTACCCTATGTCCACAAAACCGTCATCTCTATCTGCTACTGCGAACAGCCACCAGAAGCCGGAGGGGGAGGGGGACAGAGCCGGGCAGGTATGGCCGCACCCGGTTGAGACTTCCCTCCTTTCACCATATTGTTCGCACTGTGCCCGCCAGCACATGGTCACGCGGTCGCGAGCGGATGAGTTCTCGCTGCTCACTGATGGCTCTAGGGAGAGAGCGTTACCAGAACTCCGCGTGACCCCCATTGACAGTGGCGTAGGCAAGGAGGGGGGGGGGGGTCGAAACTCCCTTCTCTGAAAATGCTGAACCTAACCCCCCCCCCCCCCCCCCCCCCCGCGGGTTTGCTGCTTGCTCCCCTGCTCACGCAGTCGGTTTTGCACGGGGCATGGAGCAAAGCGGGTGTGCGAACTATACTTATATGCGTTCGGGAAAAGTGTTTGTGGGGTAGAGAATGCTCACATAAATAAAATAGGGAGTATTTCTTTATTCATGTTTATTTGATGGGATGTGGAACTTGATCTCAGATATATAGAGAATGGATATCTCGAATTGGGGTGAAGGATGGCGATTTTAAGGCCAAGTATAACAAACTCTCTTCACTAAAATACACAGTTCAATCTAACCAAAGCGAATGTAATAAAACAAACACGTGGTTATAATATAAAACAATGTCAGTGATGTGTTAAATGATTTGTAAAAACAACTGCACTCTAAGCAACGGGTGGCGCTGCACTCACACGCGCCTTGAGTACTGATCAGAATTATGTGCTTTCGACTAGAAATTACCACGAATAATAAAGTAAGTGTGACTAGTTATTTCAGAAAGCAATTTACAGGCTCTCTTGGTCATTTTATTTATGCCAAGCACCTACACATTAAGATGCAGCCGCCTGAGTTCACGGAAAAGGATATGCAGGACGCCCTCTGCTTGAACTTCATTGTCGCAGTGAGCATTTAAAAACGCTAGACCGAGCAGTTGCTCATTCGAAGTGGGCGCTCTCAGGTATGTTTTCAACCGTCGTAGCAGAGGTCGTATTGAAGAGAACAAGCGCTCAGCTCCCGCCTTTGTTACGCGCAGAATCACTAGGATCTCGAAGGGACGATGGACATTTGGGAATTGGCGGCCTGCGAGAACTACAGGGTGTGCTTCTCTAGCCATCATAATCATCGTTTGTGACGTCACGGGTAGGACAGACTGGGACAGACCGCGCAGTTCTTGGATCCCTCGGCTCGTCAGCTTGCTTCATGCGCTGTTAAGGTAATGCGCGGCAAAGCCTGTTTCACGCGTTGTGTTTATTTGGTGAAGTGATATTTGTAGTAGGACATTTTACCAAAGCTTTAAACCGCATGTGGCACGCATAGTCGTGCCAACAAACACTTTTGGAGCCGAGGTGTCGAAGTGGTCGGATGGTGGTGTGCTGTTTTCTATCCCGTACAAAAACTTGAATGAAGAAAATAGAATATCCAGCGCTTGGTCGCACTACAGCGTCTAACGTGGCGAACAGGGTGTCTTTTCTATTTTGATTCGGACGAAACAAAACTTGGAAAGGAAGATCTCATCAAATTGAAAAAAGGAAAGCGAAATGTGAGAACTTCTCGCGTGTGTAGTGAACACTTCAGTGAAAGCGACTCCGTGTATCCTCTTGGTTCCAATGTGTCCTGTGAGTATTGGTCTTTTATTAGTTCCGAGTTGATTCCTTTTCTTTTAATTTTTAACAAACATTTCCTCAAAATAACTGGCAGGAAGAAGTGGAAGCTGGCTTCCGTAGTCGTTTCGTCTAAATCCCTGCTTATTCACCCGGCCGACCCGAAACGTGCGAGAGTTAATCGTGATCGAAGTAATCTAGTAAGTTGGTGACACTTCAGCGTCCTAGGAAATGGGGAATATACCTGCTATAAATTACTACCGTTTGTACGTTCCCTTTTTGCAAACCCAAATGCGCATAATGCGTGATGCGCTCCTCGGCGGGCGATTTTAAATTTGTAAACAATTCTTTGTAAAAATAGGATAGGACAAATTAATCAATAGGCCGAATTTGCCGAGCCATGATCGACAATTTAAGAATTTATGAAAATGTCTGCCTTTCCTTCGAGCAGAAGTTGCGATGGGACAAACTTCTTTGCTGCGTTTTCGATTCGGGAGGAGCTAAGTGTCAGTTGCTGACAAGCATTTGCTCGGCAGCAACTGTCGAGTCACGCCTGTATAGAAGCGTCGGTATCGGCAAGCTCAATGCAGCTAAAACAAGTGTGCGGCGCTTTCCAGCGCAGCTGTGCGCACGTGCACAGCTAAGAAGACACAACGTCAATTGCTCTGGTGAATGCAAAACTTTTTTCTAGAACAGCCTCCACAGATCCGAAAAAGACAACACAAGAGTCAGAGAGGCTCTGAATAGCCCTGACGCACGCCGCGCAAGCTGTAATGTAATGCTCCAGGATTGTTTTTTAATATTTTAAAGTTTTTCTAATAAAAAAGCAACTTCGAGGCGCTGTTATTTATTGGAAAGATTACTCACAAAAACGTTATACGCATTTCTTTAATAAATAATCCGATTTAATCTGCATAGTTGCAAACTAATATAGCCACTCCGTGCTTTGACATAGCGCATCGTCTGCTCGCATCCTACCAGCTGCGTCGTAGGAGGGCGTCCGCGAGGTGGCGCAACGAAAAACATCTCGTCGCCAATAGGGCCTCCGGACAGAGGGCGACCACGTCTAGCGCGTACGTGACGGGCGTTTCACGTTTCTCCGTCTTGCATTTGGAAGCCCACATGAGCAGCTCGCATTGGAGTTCACGAACTGAAACCAGGCCTGAATAGATCTCCAAAAACTCTTCAGCACCGCGAGCTGCCCCACTTTCCAAGATCTTTGCAGGCAGAAGCAACGAAAGTAATTGCAACGTATGCCGGTGCATTTTAAATCTCCCATGTAATTGTGTGATCAGGTAATCCACGAAAGGAAGGAACACAGAGCGCTTAAAATGCTCTTGCGTGCTTCTAGCGGGAATGTTACAGTGGTGACGTTGCTGACTTGTACGCGGCATCTGAATTTCAGCTTCCGCTGTCTCGGCCATTTTAATGGCGGCTTGGAATATGGCCTAGTGTTTGTGGGTGGACGTTTGCTCTGATTTTTCAGCATAAAAACAATTTTTTTTTTTTTTTTTTTGCTGTGTAACGTTTTATGACAGTACAGCTATCCTTTTGTTTTGTCTGGCCGGCACGCGTTGGGTAACGCAGTGCTACCTCAAAAAGCGGAGGGAGTTGTTTGCTGTGAGGAAGCTTTTAAAGTTGGTGGGCCGCAACTACGACGACAGTAGAACAGGGAGTTCAAATGAAGCCTGCAACGTTTAAAAAAATAACGACGCAGCTTCACCCGCCTTATCTTAACAGCGCCTCCCTAACCTTTGCGTGAGCGCCCCCTTTGAAACCCTCCCGAAATAAAATTCTGGCTACGCCACTGCCCATTGACGTCACAGTGCACATGACTCGGAAGATGGTTAAGGAGTTGAAAGGTGCCGAAAACCTCAATTTTTGTCCATTTTTAAAATAAAAACTAGGACATGCAGGCAAAAGCGGTTTTTTGTTTTTTACTTGAGAAAGGTCAAGACACCAATTCCCAAATTATTTAAGCAAAGCACTAAAACTGTTGCACAGCTCCTTTAATGTGAAAGAATACTGCATAAAAAAATTATAAAATATACACGCACCGGAAGTGTGCCAGGGCTGCCGCCCAGTTTTTGGTCAAGCAAGGGCAAACGTTAACGTGGACAGATGAGCTCTTCCTACCCCACCCCTTTTTTCTGTCAGTTTTTTTCTCGTTAATTCAGTTGAACGGTATTGTCACACCCCAGTCGCAGGCACAAATGATTTTATGTTTTATAAGCTGAATTGTATTAGTAATTGTGTTTCAGATTTGAACATAAATAACCTCTGATTTGTGAACAAAAAGTTAGGGTGCAAACAAGCTGGTGATGGTGAAACATTATAAAAAAAATGTGCTGCAAATTGCTGGGCAGTCGTGGTGCACGTGGAACGTGTGGCATCTACGCTCTTGGCGTTCTTCATAAGTTAGTTTAATGACTCGCTTAATGCACGGCATGTACACTGTATAGCAATTCCTGGAATGCAGATACCAACGCTAACCCGGGTTTTAGAAACGTGTGACAGGGAGTCAAATTCCTGCCTGCTGGATGCGGAGCGGATGCCCCACAGGGCTTTCCCGCCAAATAGACCCTCGACTCACGGCGGTGTGTCGAGACATGCTGGAAAGGCACTCGCTTAATAATCTAAATGGTCTGGGTTCGATTCCCGCCTGCTGCAAACGCTTTTGTATTGCGATGGCTTCTTCCCCCCCCCCAACTGAAAACCAATCGGTGTCGAGCCTTGTGGCCACGCTTTTGTCCGGGCTTCACTTTTAGACTTGACGAAGTGCCTAACGCCTAGCCAAAGAATGTTTCACATCAATAGACCAAATCCCCCTCACAGTGGAGAACGAGGGATGGCACGACACCGAAGCCTCGACGAACAGAGTGCAGAGCTGACATTTATTTCAAAAAGTCCTGTTTATGGATTGAGTAGAATGACTGTATACACACTTGGATCAATGTAAGATTGCCTCAAAAATGTAAGATTGCCTCAGAATAGTTGCTTGGTCATATTTGCTTTGAGCCTTCCAACGGACCGTTTATAAGGGAACACTTTCAAAACTGCCCCATCAGCAAGCAAACTAGGTTCCCATTTGACGTTTACTGTTAGCATCCAGCGGAAACTGGACATCAGTTGTGTTTTGCGGGGGAATATTGCATGATGCATGCTCCCTGTCTGCACCTCACAGCCCAGAGTCTGTGGCTGCTCGGAACACTTGTGTTGCTCATTGCAGGAAGCTGGAATCGTTGGCGAAACTGGACGACGAGCCCCTCTGGTGCCTCTCGGACGACTCGTCGGACCTGTTCTGCCTCGACGACGACGTCCCCACAGCCCAGGAGAAAGACCTGGTGCTCATGGTGCAGTCTCCAAGCAGGGTGCTCAAGTTCACCATTGCACCGGTGAGAACCCCCGTCTGAGGAGGCAGTGCCACGGCCCGCTGCGTTTGGTCATGCAGGTTCAAAGCGGGCCCCCCCACCCATGCAGGGTTTACGGATCTTCTGCGCGGCACATTGGAGCTGGGAGATACATACTGCCAGCTCTGGTATCATATCATCTCTGAAATGCTTGAAGGGATGCTGCAACAAAATTCTAGAGCCTATTTTATTGTTCAAATGTCAACCACCTTCTGGCCACACCACAAAGACACCAATTTTTTGCTAAAAGAAACGTCAAAACGTTGCTTAAAACTAACAAACCAAACGTCTTTACATCACTCTCCACATTAGAGCAAGCAACGCCGCTCCACAGAAGTACGGCGGCAAACTGTGTTTGCACGAGGCCCGTCAAACTTGTCCGAACTGGATTTTTTTTTTCTCCCGCGCCCATTCGAATTTTGCGGGGACCGGGGAAGAAAAACTAGAATGGCCACGTCGTAACGCATGGGACACCATCAAGTGGCGAAGCTCACAATCGGGCCACTCCACGTGTAGCCTTGGCCGTGAAGAAAAACCAGAGGTCACGAACAGCGATGCGTTTCGGGAGATCTGGCACCTTCAGTGCATTCTTGACGTCTGGGTTTCCTTCACGTCCAAGACTTCATGAGGGCAAGTGTTTGAGTTGCTGCTTCCCGCTCCCTGCAGTAATTAAATGGGCGCAGAAGAAAAGGTAAGTTCAGTTCGGCCAAGTTCAACGGCGCTCGTGCGCACGCAGCATGCCGCCATACTAGCGCAGAGCGGCGCTGCTTTTTTTATGTGGAGTGGGACAAAACGACATTCGGTTCATTTATTTAACATAATGTTTTGGTATCTTTTTGAGCAAAAAAATTGGTTTCATCGTGCTGTGGCCAGAACGTGGTTGACATTTGGACAATAAAATAGGTGCTAGAATTTCGTTGCAGCACTCTTTTAAAGGAATTCTGAACCGAAATTTAGATTTCGCGAAATAAGGCCTCAAAAGCGTTGAATGGGATACTACAAACTCCAAAACATCACTCGTAGTGCACCAATATCTCAAGCGGACGGCCGTATCTTTGAGAAAGAAGGGTGCAATCAAGCGAGGAATGTGACGTCATGATTCTCTTTGAACGTTTGAGAATGAGGAGAGGCGGCCTCGCTTCTCTTCTCATTTCGGTTCACCTGCTCGAGTTGGCTCGAGGGGACGAAGCGAAGAGGGAAGGGTATGGAGAATCGCAGCGTCACATGTCTTGTTGGCCTCGTCGGCCGTGTTGAATTGCGCAATTCTTTTCCAAAAACACGGCCATCCGTTAGAGATATCTCTGTATAATTTACTATGTTTTTGGGTTTTGCAGCGTCCCGCCTATCGCTCCAGCCTTGTTTTGTCAGCTCCAAATTTCAGTTCAGCATCCCTCTAAGAGATTTGAAATGCTGCTGGTGTAACTTTGCTGAATCATTGAGCTGAAAAGTAGTGCTCTCCCATCCTGATTTATAGTTGTGCCCTCAACTTATGAGACTTGTCTCTCCTGTTTGTTTGGGGTACTGTAGACTCTGTATTGTCTCCTTTTAAGGTGTACAGACTTTTAGTAGTAGTCATCTAGGCTCTAGTAGTGTGTGTAGGGATGTAGATTTGGTGACTTGGTTCAGCTTGATATCCAAATTTATTTTACTCTTTCTGGTATTTTCTAAATTAAAATAAAAGCATGCTACCATCATTTATGATTATTAATTAACGTACTTAGCTGCATTTTAAACTTGTGCCACTACTACTTTCTACTGCTTTGGTATCCAAATTGCTTACCTATTCAGTAGTAGGCATTAATAAGTATCCCAGCATTGGCAAAAATTACAGCATCCAGCAGCAAAGTATATACCTATATTAGTTGGATACACTTGATTTTCGTTTTCATGTTTGTGGTGAAAGCTATTCATTGTTGGTAAAACCAGTTAATTGAGGGGGGGGGGGGACACTACCCAGAAAAAGACATTTATGCAATATAAAAATGCCAAATTTACATCTGCCAACATCTAGAGCAGGGGTGGCCAAGCTGCAGCTCGCGAGCTGCATGCGGCTCTTCGCGTGTTAAAGTGCGACTCGCGGCTCCCTCTCCTACGCTCCCTCCTCTCCCACTCCCCCGCCTCCCTCCCGGTCCAGAACCACACGAGCACTTCCCCAAAAAGATAAATGGAACGCGTTTTAAATCGAAGTACAGGTTGCGGTTTTGTAGTCTTGTGCTACTGCTACCTTACGTACAGTTGAACTGCTTTGGACTCTGATAGATTGAAAGGAGTTGTTTCGTTTATTGTACTGGACAGAAGTGTGCACCCCGCCCCTCCGTGGCTCTTGGAAGTTTCGTGGTTTTGTTTGCAGCTCTTAGGCCGATTCAACCTGGCCACCCCTGATCTAGAGAGTATTCCCAGAAAGTTTCATATGTTTACACTGCATTCTTTTTTTTTATACTTTTTTTTTTAGTCCATTGATGCTAAAGAACACTTTAGCATCAGCAAAGTATAAACATATTTCAGTTGGATACACTCAAGCACTTTGGACGTGTTTTTCTCCATTCCACATTTTGGCATAAATTTCACTTAATAAATTTATTGTTTCAGTATGAAACTATCGAGAGATTTAACTTTTGCGGCTTATATACCGAAATTTTATTGAGCTGGTTACTATGAACTCAGATTTTGCATGTTCATGTTCCTTTATTATGAAACATAATAATTTGCAAAACTTAGTAAATGTTAAAAAATTATATTTTTAATTAATTTTTTTTAGCTCAAAAATGCATGTTTTGTGAAATTTATTTTTATAGTGACCGGCATCAGGTATTCCAGTATGCATTTCACCAGAAAAATATGTGGTTTTCAATGCCATTTCTTAACAATAGATTCATTGAGCAGATTCCATGCCAAGCTATGCATTACTTCGTTCTGGGGTTATGGTACCTCATAAAATTGGTTCACAGGGCTGAATTTTTGCATGCTTTCCTTTTATATGACTACAAACACCAGCTGCAAATTTCACGTCAATTGTGTGAGCTGTTTTCTGCGACTGCCTGTTATTATATACGGTACTCCTAACACAACTGTGGTATTGGAGGTGGTAGTACTCTTAGGGTCTCATTGATCTCTCGCTGATCATCATTTTGAGGTTGATCAAGGATACACTTTCAAGGGCCTGTTACATTGCTTGTAGGTAACATCAGTGTTCACATAAAGCTGCGCTGTAAACAGCCACTTTCAACTTATTTCCCTTTGCCTCGCATTTCAGTCTGCACAGTTTGGAGACATCTTTGCACAACTTGCCAAGGAGTTTGACGTTGCCCCATCACAGATCATCCTCACCTGGAAGGAAGGCCCCATCCAGGCTGAGGACACTCCCTCGTTGCTGGGGATTACGCCAGCCGACATTCTGGGTGAACTTTTTTTTTTTTTTTTTTCACCTGTCTCGGCCCTGTTTGCTCAGGGACTCCAGCAGGGATCTTTGGGAAACGTGTTAGACTATCTCCGCTTCAGTCTGACTTGGCGAATAATGAAAGCTACGTCCCTGGCAAGCCAGTAGGAGCGAGGTTTGTGACAGCGTACCGTTGGAGTGCTCATTTGTGTCGAGCTGTTGCATGCTTCGCTTCATTGCCGTGATTGGTGCGCGGGGATTGTAAGGTTTTCAGTTTGCTAAGTTAGGCTGAAACAGAGTAGACAAACTGCTGCTCCGCCCCCAGGGTCCGAGCGAAGTACCCACTCCTGTCCAGTGGCCTTGCTTGGAATCACTCTTTGAGCGCCTTTCCTACCTAGCAATGCTGAAAATTGCCTCTGGGGCGTTAAGGCTCTTTTTTAGCCTCTGGAGTGCAAGTTTCAAGCTCTGGGTTTTCTTTCCCATGAAATACGAGGTATTGCTCAGAAAGCATGTGATACTGTCCCTGCCTCGTTTCTTTGTCAGAAAGTAAGGTCATTTACTCAAACTACATACTTGAAATATGTAGTATCAACAAGCACATTTCATGTGGCAGCACTGGCACTATTCGCGACTCCAACTAACTGTAGGTGGCGCCACTCATTTTCCAAGGTGGCAGTTTTAGTGAGGATCGGAGATGCGTGCCGCTGTTGAGCCTGTCTAGTGTGCTGACTTCTCTGAGCAACACAAATTATTTCTGGCAATACGAGGAAGCTAGGGTGGTAAGAGCGCAGGTCACCTCTTTACCCTGAAAACAAGAATGGTGTTTGGCGTAAAATTAACGCAAGGATGCACATTTTAATTCTGTAGCGAAACCGAAACTAACCTCTAGTTTGGATTTAATTTCTTGATATAGGTTTTCATTTTGGGATTCTTTCATAACTCAAGATGTGTCTCACATCTTAATTATTTAGTTAGAGAAGTTGTTCACGGAAACTTTATTTTGTGACATACCTGTTCGATCCAGGCTGTTTGTAGTTGTTGAAGAAATCAGTGCTGATATTTGTGCGTTCTCGCTGCCTTTTCTCGCTCGGATAATTGTCATGGGAAATAATGAACTGCGGGCCCTTTTAATGGCTTTTGGGTATTTATATGATTAATTGGTTTAACATTCTTCCCAGCAGATTAATAATATAGTTCAAATTTTTACAATGTGTCCACAAAATGTATAAATTAATAAACACTGTTCTCACTGCAACAATCCAAAGACGGAGTTTGAGTCAGACAGCTGAAGTGTGTGTGAGCTTTTTTTTTATAGCAACGCGGTCACGCACAGGACTTTATATTCCATCCAGTGTTTGACTGTTTGTCGAGCTTGATAACGATGTCAGAGTTTTTCATATGCTAAATAGAAAACAAACTGATACCTTTCTGGAAATACTATTATGGTTAAACTGTGTTTTTGTTCTGATCGTAGCGTTAATTGAGGGTATACATTGCCGCTATTTGTATTAATAATAATATTAAAATTTAGATATTTTAATACACAATTTTTCAAGCTCTAATATAATTTGTTGCTTATAATCTAATTTGAAACGCGCGAACAAATATGACAATCAAAAGTGTGCTAAGTATCATCACTAGTGTCAATTGCAGCAACTTTAATTACTGAGTAATAAAATAAAAATAGTCAAAAATAAATGAAAACATTCTAGCTAATCTGAGAAATTCATGTAAAATTACATTATTGTAGGTAAAGTATATTTTGCTATCAATGTCGCGACTTTTAAGGATCGGCAATACGTCCCAAGTCGCCGCCTATATCCTTGCAAACCAAAAGCCCCCCCCCCCCCCCCCCCTCAAAAAAAAAAAAAATATTTTGTAATTTTTAATTTTTTCATGACATTGAGTTGCTTTCATTTTTACGCTCCGTCGTTTTGCCAATCTCAGCCTTTCAAGTTCGAAGGAACGCCTACCTGCTTGCACGTCTGCTCACTGCAGCACATTTCGTTGGCGTTGGAAGCCGGGGAAACACTAGTGAGTTTTAGTATTGCGTACACGAGCGAACGCAAGCGCTGTGTGTTTGTGTTAGCTTTGCTTGTTCCACACTGTGCATGCGTGGCGATTAGGCGCACGCACAACGTGTCGCACACAACTTAACGCAAACGCACATTGCTTGCGTTTGCTTCTATGTGCAATACTAAAACTTTCCAGTAGGGTACAATCCCATACCTGCTGTAGCACTACGTTGGGACAGTGAAGAGTGTTGTTTGCATTGGGAAATGACATTTCGTGAGCCAGGATCGCGAGCAGTTCCGCCGTGCCCTCTGAGCAGGAGAATGGGGGGACCCTCACTAGAGCGCTTCCCGTTTCTGCCGCGGGAGGGCGAGCGTCGAGCTGGAGACGCGAATAGGCTTGCTGACCTCCACCTAAATGAACAAATGTAGGACCAAGTGGCTCTGGGAAGAACCTCCAACTTGCTGAACTTTTTAGCATCTGCTGCAGAATGCAGGTCAAGGCAACACTTTGTGCATCCTGCATTGTACAGAAGGCCACTTGGTGTAGCTCAAGCGATATTTTATAAATCCTAGCTCCTGTTTCAAAGAAACCTGAGAATGCTTTTAGACTTGGCTATCTTGTACTCAGAACTGCAATGTACTTTTGGATTGGGATATTTTGAGGTTTTATATTTCATGTTGCAAAACAACAAAACCCTCTTCAACCCCCTTTTTTTCTTTTTTTCTTTTTTTTTTTTTCAGTATAGATTTATGTTTATGTCTTCCTTTTAGAGTTGGAAACTCAATTACTCAAAATTGTCTAATGGCTTCTTTAATTTCACAGATACTGCACTTTTCTTGCCGTGGATAGGACAATTTAGTGCTGCATATTTTATTACAGTGGCCAGTGGATTTTCCACAGCTTGTCAGTTTTTACCGGAACAGAGAACGGACTGGCTTTCCAGAACTGGTCTGCCCTTCTTTTGGTGCTTGTTGCCCTTTTCCTTTTTGGGGATGCTTTTTAAGCCTGTGCTACTGCTTGCGGTAAAGTGCTCGCTGACTTTGATCTAATGCAATGCAGAGTGCATCGTGAGGAAGTGTGCTCCAGCAAAACCGGTTGCTCCAGTGCACAAGAAGAATGCCATGACCGTCAAGTTTCAGTGTTCCAACAAGAGGATGACGGAGAGCATCGAGGTGTCCAAGGCGAGTGTGCTCGTTTGAGCGCCCTATAAACAAGCTTTTCTCAAACATTTTAGTCTGAGGAAATTGCTTACCTCAGCTTGTTTTGCACTTGAATTGCGGAATAAGTGGAACAGGAATGCTCTAAAAGTTGCCAGAGCTACCTACTTTTTTATTTTGCCCCCTCTATTTAAATTATGGTATTACTAATCACTCGTAAGGCAGTCTAACTTTTCTCGTTTGTCTCGGGTAACACAAACTTGAAAGCACAACATTGTTTGTATGAGGCAGAGCGCTAGTTGGCTGTGTTGGGGTGGGAAAGATACGAGGGAGTAGGGAGGGCGATACATAATACCCCGACGCTGCAAGGAACGCTGCTTGTAGATGTGACATTGCATATTGTTTGATGTTTCCAGTAGTATTGGTTTTCTGGACTGTAAGTCAGGTTCAGAGATTGTTTCACCGGTTGCACTGAAGCTAAAGGAAAGCTTCATGTAGGAATACCCGAATCTACATAATTGGGGGTCCTCGGGAAATCTTGCGGGCCCTCGAGGGAATTACGATACGGTGCGGGTGACAGAGGTGGCAGTTGATTTGTAGCACTCTGAAAAAGTTTTGCTTGGTTTCCACACTGCTCAGACCACTTCATTCGCGTTTTGTGCACCTGCATGCACTAAATGTAAGGCCTCAGTTTTTTTTTTGCGTAGCTGTTGCACTCGAAGTAAGAGATCTCACGAAGCCTCTCATTTGTCGGCCAACTCCCGCAGGACGAACCCCTGCTGGAGGGAGCCCAAGCTTTTGCGGAGAAGGCATCGCTCGAGTTGTCGAAGCTCGTGCTGAAGTTCGACGGAGACAAGGTGGACCCTCGCATGACGCCGGATCAGCTCGGCATCGAAGACGGAGACTGTGTAGATGTGTTGGTGCGGTCCTGAGGAGCGTGCTTCTCCTTAGTGGCGTTTAACACAAAGGACAGAAAACATTGCTATAGGAACAACACCTTCGCCTACCACCTTACAATTGGTTTCAGGTTGTCTAATGAAATCTTTCTTTTTGGTAGCCCTCATTTCTAATTGCCTCAAAAGAGTGTAAAGATGCAGCTTGGAGCTTGGCGAACTTTAGCACCCCCAAAGGCTTGCCAAGCGTCGGCCTTTACGTGCATGCAAGCAGTCCTTTTCCGGTGGCTGTTTAAACACTTGTACCTAGATGTGCTTTTTAACAGATTACTACTTAAGCATTATTAAAGTTTGTGCCAATTTCATGGATGCCACAATGGTACTTTTACTGCATTTGCATTATCGTTTGCATGAGAAGTTGCACGGCAAACTGTTCCTGTAATGGCACCCTGTTTGCTCCCAATTTTTACTGCACATAAACATGCGAGATGTATGCAGTGCAATCAACTTATAAAGATGTATTGCTTATAACAATCAGTTTCTAGGGTTTCTAATCTAGAAACGATCAAATTCTAGTCCAGATACAACGATAATCGGTTATAATGATTGAAATTTCGGGTTTTCTCGCTATCGTTATAAGTGGATTGCAGTGTATATAGCAATTACCAGGAAACCTCGGAATACATGTTTGTGTCACTGGTAGCCTATGTAAAACTAAGAATAACTTCCGTATAGACCATTCCATTTAGCGCTCTCTGGGCGGCACCGTTTTGTTTTAAAAGCAGCGCCCTCTCCATTCATCCAAGAAATTCAGTGGGTTCGGCGGGGTAAAATGAGAGAGAGGGCACGCACCCGACTTTGCTAGCAGACGACAAAACGGGAGGTTGCCATTCTCCATCTTTGGGCTGTATCGGCGGGCTGTACGGAACATCGAACTCTCGCTCGTGGCTGCCGTTGTGAAGTGGTTCTCGTTCTTAGAATAGTTATGGCTACTCCAAAATCGGCCTAGAGCTCTCTGTTGTTCTACTTCGGTAAATGATCAACTGACATATCTTTTCTCCGTTACTTAAATAGCAGTTGAGTCAGCCGGCAGTGCTACCCTCAATTATTGCATGTAATGCGGCAGGAGAGCACGTTTTTATTTATTATTTCAGACACCCACTTATGATCGCTAAAGGCCTACACCAGTACGAACTTTGTACAGGCCAGTCTGACAGTTTTCTCTTTTTTTTTATTTGCACGTAGATAACAGCGCAATTGGACTCTGTTAGTCTTCTTATCTAGCATAGTAATACACAATAACTGGCATACCAAAATCTGCACATCTGCGATTGAAATTTCCAAAATGATGCGACTTTAAACAGAGTGTACGCCAGCCGGATGCTAGGTACTGCCCACTCGGCGGAGCAGACGACATTCGGGTGAGAGGGGGAGGGCATTTTTTTTTCTCTTTTTACCCTCTCTGCTATGACCCTAATGGAACGGTCTATAGGCTGCCAGTTGTCTGTTGTTTGTGCATACAAACACTGCCAGTATGTGCATTTGTGCCTGGACAATTCGTCCGCTCTAGCACTTGGCCGAGGTTTGTTACGTTGCAAACTCTTCCTCAACAGTCGACACCTCGCCGAGTTTGTTCGGGACGCTTCGAGGAAGTACTTTTTGCGTTGTTTGCACAAAATTAAACTTGTACATTGCACAATTTTTGCCAAATGCTTTCACTGTCCTTCTTGAGCAACATTGCCTAACAGGAAAAACAACTGTGGCAAATAGAATGCCGATTAAGATATGGGATTTCTTCAATGTTTTCCCCAGCGTTGGTGCAGAGTGGGCCTCGGAAGCCCCACTCTGCATCTCCTGCTGCAGCGGTGGGTTCGTCGTGGCACTGTTTGGAGCTCTGCCAAGTGCCAGTTGCATCATGCTGCAGTCGCCAAGGAGATGAAAACAACGGGGAGATCTTTCGGTTGTTGCGTCTCCAGCACGAGATTTTCAGGTTCTATATGCTTAGGTGTCTCGTGAGCTTTGAGCATGCAGGCCCAGCCAAAGCGTAGCGGAAGGCACGGAGCGCACGTTGAAGGCCGGGCGTCTGAGAGCCACCCTGCCTTTCTTGTTCTCTCGGCAACCGTAATAACAGCCATTTTACAAACTGGAGGCGGAAGTGCCTTTAGGACTGCTGCCAAATGAGCATAGTTTTACCAGTGTCGACAGTCGGCTGTAAAGTTACCCAACAATGGGAGAAACTATTGCCAAGCTGCAAGTCGTGCCTGTGGAGTCGCGATTGGCCCAATCTTGTACGCCTTGTATGCCAGGTTTCAGTGCCAGGTTCTGGTGAAGCGAGAGCTTCGCTGGAACCCCCTTGTGACCACGTGCTTGCACAGCGCAATCAATATGGTGAAAGAAGGAAAGTGCCAAAATCCCGGTCCGGCCATGTCTGTCTGGCTCTGCCCCCGTCCCCCGTCTGGCTTCTGGTGACTGTTCGTGGTAGCAGATAGAGCTGGCGGTTTTGTCGACCTCGGACAGATGGCACCACTAAAACTCCGTATAATAAAAGTTTTGTCGATGATACCAGGTTTTTGCCGCATTTATATTTATGTTGGAACGACAAGATTTATAGAAAGATCACCTTTCATCGAGCAGTTATTTGCACAACCTCCTATATTTTTACAGGCCCCTTACTGAAATCACGCCGCGTGGTTCTCATGGCCGCCGCTCGCGGCAGCAGGTCGGGAAATATTCTCATTTTTGCCTCGCGATTACGTGGTGGAATCGCAACATTTTGAAGGAAGGAGGTGTGTTTTCTGTCATTTGTGACAAGATAAACAATGTCAAAAGTAGAAGATGCAAATTCTTTCAATTATGGTGCCTGGAGCACGTCTTCGAGAGGGGTGTTTAGCGTCCCATCCCGCTTATACATCAAAAGTGGTCCCGAAGCGGCAACAAATGACGTCGCAGTGGCTGGAGTGTCGTGCTGTTGCGATCCTGGTGGTTGGTCGTTGGCATGCTGGCGAAAAGCACGGGCGAACGCGAGTGTCGCTGTCGTCACGGCGTCCCAGGCATATACGGCTCTGGTCCCAGGCATCCAAACTTCCTGCAGCTGTAGCTTCCGTGGACTGCCACACTGGAGAGCGACCTGCTGCGGAACAGGTATTTGCCACATCCCCCACAGCTGTTGGGACACCGTCAGGATCGCAACCGGCAACATGACACTGACATCATCAGTGGAATTGAGAAAAATGCATTCAAACACTGAACTTGTTTTCAATATGTTGAACAATGTATTGAAAATATTTTATATCAACGTAACTATTTGGCGTATGGTTACCAAATTTAGTGTAAAGGTGTATAATTTGTTCCTAAAACCAAAAACCTGAAATTGAAGAATAAATTAAAAAAAGAAACTTGAAATTTATGTTTGTCTCCTCTTAAAAAATACACCAAAAAACATGACTTTTTTTTTTTTTTTGCAAACGACCATTGGGAAATTTACGGCCTACTAATGCTCCAACATTCTACTTATATAATAAAAGCACTTCCATGGCTAAAAAAAAACTAAAGGGCCTCAACTATTGTTTTTTCCTCAACCTTTTCTAACCATAGTTTGGAAATTTTTTTGTTGCTCTCAACCTACATCAGTAAAACCTAACCAGGCAGTGTACACCTAAATGCAGTGTACACCTAAAAAAAGTCCTCATTGAACAGCCAACACATTTCCTCTTTACAAATCTGCTTTATTATTAATCATCTCTCCCTTACACACAAATCTAATTGCTAGAGATTTTCCCCCTCTTTAAACTGTACAGAAAGGTTTATGAAAAAGGACGACAGTGCATAATAAGAGGTATAAATAGGCGACGGGGGCTGCCCTCGACTACTAGCACACTTCTCTCTCTGTACAAGTGACGCTAATTACAATGCGTGGTCGAAAAATGGTGGCAGTCTAGCGGAACCATCGCCGAGTCTTGCCGGCCGCCGCCACGGTGGTTAGAATCTGGTGGTCGGTGCCGTGTGACAACCGTCAGGTGGAGACCGCTCCCAGGGTGAGCACGTCGAAGCAGATGCCACACACCCGCACGGGCTTGTTCAGGCCGAACTTGAGAATCGGAATGTCCTTCTCCGAGCACTTGGCGCACAGGATGCGCCCACAGTGGCGGCTGCAAGGTGCAAAAACCGGCGTTGGTGTCGGCCGAGGATGTGGAAATACTTGGCAGACGTCCACTTGTGCGGTAGCGAGTTTTTGTAGCGTGAGCTACACTGGCGGAGGTTGAGCAGTTTCGCGTGGCTCGTATAATGAGACGTGCTCCGTGCTGCTCGAGCACCGAGCACGTCTCATGACATGCTCCGTGCTTGTGCATGACGTGAATGACGTCTCACTGAGACGCTACGTCACGTCTCAGTGACGTCGCACGGCGCACAGCTGGCGGAGCGGAGCCGCCGTCGCCGCGGGCTCCGCCGCTACCGCGCGTGCCTCGCCGGTCTGTGCAAGTGCGAGGAACAGTGACGTTACACAGCGCACAGCTGGCGTGCCAGAGCCTCTGCCGCCACCACGCGCCTTGCCGGTCTTCGCATTCCAGAGGAGTGACGTCGTCATAGCTGCGGCAGATGCACTGGTGCCGCCGCGTGCCCAGCCGTGTGCCTCCGTTGCGCAGCAGCCAAGCAGTAGCCACGTCTGACGCTGCACCGAAGCTGCTTGACAGCGAGTCTCATTTTGTGCGCATAAGCTCACACTACGTATATCCTGGCATAGCCGAGCTAAGCCACCGCAATTTTTTTTTCAAGCGGAACGTGTTTAAGGGGGGACACTGGCTAGAGGTCAAACTTTTGAACTACTCAAGTGATCAAAATGAAATTTTGAGGGGAGATTTAGTTTCAGACGTAGGTGTACTGTGCAAACTTTCAGCTCCCTAGGACCACTTTACATACCCGCATAAGATGATGTGTCACTCTTCATTAAGAAATCTATGATATTCAAATGAAGCTAATAAGCATCACTTTCACTGCTTGAATATAATGTGGGGGATATGGGACCTCGGGCTATCTAATTTTAATAACTTAAATGTAAATATTTCAGAAAGAGTTATTACCTCAAAATATGAGATGCATATCTGTCCTATGTAAATTTTTGAAAACTTACTTTTTTATCACTGAGGACTTCAACTTAAAACAAAATAAAGTCCCGATTCCCCCAGTAAATTTCAGTTCAGAAACATGTTGATTGTGGTATCAGAATACCTTCACCTTCGAACGAAAGATTCCTTCGTATGAATTTTGCAGCAAAAAGTGGAACTGAGAAAAATGCATTCCAACATTTAACTCCTTTACTTTGTTACTGGCTCACAATGTGTTGAAAATAATTTATATCAACGTAACTATTTGGCGTATGGTTATCAAATTTGGTGTAAGGGTGTATAATAAGTTTATAAAACTGAAAACCTTAAAATTGAAAAATGAATTTAAAAAAAAAAATTTAAAATTTAGGCTTATGTCCCTCCTTAAGGGATCCCCAAGGAAAGTGCAACAAAATTCCACGGAACCAGTTACGAAATGTGTAACATAGTACTTCAAAAAAAATTCTGTACCAAAAAAAAAAAAAAAAAAAAAAAAAAAAAAAGGTCAGTTGAGAAGAAAAAACAAACTTCTAAACGTGCCTCAACGGGAATCGAACCCACGACCCCATGATTGTGAACTCGACCTTCTACCACTGCGCCAATTGATGGCTAGATGTGAATCTAGTTTGCTTTTCCTCTACCAAGGTGGTCTTTACTAACTGTATGAATGCAAATGTTGAGGCATTTGCCGCTCGAAGAGTTTATGGAAAGCCACATGAAATCCAAGATATGCCCACCATAAAATAAGAAAGGACAGAGTTTAAAATAAAATAACTCCCCCCCCCCCCCCCCCCCCCCCCCCCCAAAAAAGAAAAAACAACTGCCCTGTCCATTAAAAATTTTGAAGAATGCCTCGAAAACACATTAGGTGTGTACCGACTTCATCCGTAGGATCGAAGTAAATCGAGCACATAGTTCTAGGGTTCCATTAAACCAGCTTGCATATATTGTTGTCTCTGGATACCCTATACTAGTTGTCACTCGAAGAATTCCAACTATCGAGCGTGTCGCAGTGTACCGCTTTGAGTGAATGTTCAATTTATGCTGACTGGATTTATGGCCCATCTTTGGAAATGCATCATTAAATTGGGCCACAGGTTTTGTAACAGTTGCTAAAACTCCTCCCACAGTGAGGAGGAGTGGTAAACCAGTGAAGAGCTAGAAGGCACAAACAACAAATCACTAGTGCGAGCAGAATGGTTTTTAGCTGGTTGCCTGAATTATACAGGATGTTAGATTTTAATTAAAACAGATTTATGAGAGAAAAAACAGAAAGCAGTAAAAGGTACACTAATGTGGCCTGTGGTGAGTTAAACGACCAGGGGGACATGACATAGTATGTAGCCAAGAAAGATTTGTGTTCCTAGCAATCGAAGTTTGAGAACCTCCACTGCAGCCAATTCGGCCACCTCGTACTGCAAATGCCTCGTGACAACTCCCTTCGGTGGAAGGAAGGGGCATCGCTGCTCACCAGTGGTGCTTCCTGGTCTTGATGCCAAACTTGTTTCCACACTCGAGGCAGATGTCTCCGTCCGTCCACGGTGGCTCCTTCGGCAGGAAGTCTAGAAAAATAAAAAAATAGACAGCGAAATTGCGCCATTTAGAGGCAGGTGCACGGCACGCGAATCTGCCCAATGATACTTGCCTAAAGATGTAAACAGGCTATACAGTGAAACATGTTATTTTGATGACACATTACTGGATATAATTGCCGAAGAATGGTCCGCGTCAAAATCTCGGTGTTATTCCGGTATTGTATCAACTTTAAGAATTGCCTATAATACGAGTATATTAAGGATTTATTCGGGCCGAAATCTCGAGGTAAAAACTCGTTAAGGTAGCATCCGAGCCAAAGGCATCCCAAAAAATACTTCGAGAATAAAATATGCCGCAATTCCCGGTCCCAGATAACCCGATCCCGCAACGAAACTTCAGACCCCGTCAACTTCACCGATTCAACTTCACCATCACAGCAGCGAGCTTGGCTGGGATAGCGGCGCTAAGGTGCCTGTGACGCATCTTTGACCGGTGCATCTGGCGTCCCACGCCGCCTGCGCATCCAAGGTGGTCCCGAAGCGACAACCAATGACGTCGAAGGAGCCAGTGTGTCGAGTTCACCGGAAGCCGCGTGGTTGTAGAAGTTCCGACAAAAGTAGGATCGAGTGAATGCGAGTGTCGCCGCATCTAAACTCCCGGCCGTCGATGCTTCCCAGGACGGTCAAGCGGTGTCGTACGAGGAGAGCGGGACTCACCGAGGAGCCGCACCAGCAGCTGCTTGGTTGCCACCTGGTAGTTGAAGATGTTGACGCCAGCCTGGTTGCAGCTGCCCAGGCAGGACCCCGCCCGCACCAACGAGCGGCACAGGTTGCCGTTGCCATTCATGTAGGCCAGCAGCAGCGCTGCACACACACAAATCGACGCGGTCTTCGCTGGTTCTCGGAGAGGTCTTCCATTATTAAACGAAGCTTGATAGGGAAATGAACGCTACAACAGGGAGATTGCGCTACCGTTCCGAAGCGTGCCTCCGAGGCACACTCTAGCCACTAGAGTCTGCGAAAGTGAGGTACTGAAGCTCCTACGTACTGGACGCAATGGCAGCATAACGAAAACATCGCATGGAAAAAACCGCTATACGAGGCAATCTGGGAAAAAACGAATGAAAGCAATGGTCCATTTAATGGCTCTGTTACGACAGTAAAGTAGTGGGAGCCCTTTTTTTTTTTTTCTCGCCGTAATTTTTGCAACTAGGGCAGAGGGGTCATATTTACGACCATTACATTTAAAGAATTCTAAAGCACTTAAATTTGCCTCTCTCAAGTCTACCGTAACATCCCGAAAGATGTCCCACTCCTCCAAGGATAACGCGCCCTATTTTTGGCACGATTTACTATCCTTTCAAATACTCAGAAAAATAGCCTATCTCCAGAAATTACGGGGCTCTGAACCCTGGGGGACCTCGGCAGAATTGGTGTTATTCAGCCACAGCGGGAGATAAGCAAACATTACAAACTGGGAAGGACAGTTTTCTATGCTCCATTGCCCCTCAATGTGAAAACAAGCTTTGCAGATTGTAAAATATAAAAGTAGCACTTCTTTTTTTAATTTTCTCGATTGCCCACAGAAAGTTAGCACACGCCTCATTCTCACCCAATTTGCTCTCGCTTTTAGGTGGGCTATCTTGGGAAATTACGGTAGATGATAAAAGTATTCACACATCCTTAGAAGTTTGCAAAGTTTGCTAAAGTTAGGGGTTCATGAACATTAAAGGGTTTTGCAGTTCCAGTCGCTGGTGCCCCTTGTCTCGCCAGTTGGCATTGCGTTAGTTCTAACTGTCGATGCAGTTGCCTTCCTCGTTTGGAGAACGTAGCATGGGGGCTACATCTATCATTATGACGGCAACAGTTGGAAAAACTAACGGGAGTTCCCCTCGACATCTGGCTTGTTGATGGGGTACTGCGGCATGCACTCCAGGAAGAGTTCGAAGATGGCTGCTGCATTCTCCTTCCCATGCTGGCACAGCACATGCAGCGGATTCTGGCCCCTGCAGTGAAGAATGTGTCCAAGGAAGTTGCACACTGTGAGACTACTGTTGCACAGGTTGCACAGGGCATCCCCTGGAGACTGGTCTCTCATGAATTGAGAAGTACAGTCTTCAATAATGTGAAATACCCAATCGATGGTGCAGTTTCAGGCGGCTGTGCAGGATTTGCTTTGGGCAAAAACATACTGCTTGGGGTGGGGGAATAAATTAGCCTTTGTTCTAGGGCCAACGGGTGCTTCGCACCACCACATAAACTGCCTAAGCTAATGGGTCGTTCACATTATTGGAGACTGTACTAGTACCACAATTTGCTTGGATGTATAAAGATTCAGTCAAAATCTAACGAGTTTGCGAAGTTTTGATGCCTCCACCAGCGTTCTGTCAACAAATCTAGCGATAATATCACAGCAATTTGAAGGAGGTAGTATAGTGAGCAACACCTTGGCAAGTCAGTTCTAGAGAAAAATTGGAAAGCAAGTTGGAACAGAATGTGAACGTAAAATTCTAATGGAAGAAATTTTTTTCCTGCATTCTAGTCCTTTCCAGAATAGCACAAATCATGCAGAAAACATGATCTCCTTCTCGTATAAAAAGACATTTGTAATGCACAACAATACCACTCTGCTGTCATTGAGGAAATGTTCGATATGTCATATATCACCCAATTCCACTTTACTTCCCAAGTAACAAAAGGTATCACTGTGGTCACTAGATCACTAGCTCCTTAAAATTAACTTCCCATTTCCAGTGCAGTCATCCTATGAGTGTACATGATGCTGCCTTTCTCACTGCCCGTCTAGCAAAGAAAATATGAAACGGGAAAAAAGCTGTAGCAAGCAAACTTACCTCATGTTGACAGCTTCAGCATTGATGCTGCACTCAGTCAGCAATACCCTGCAGGTGGCAAGGTGTCCCTTCTGGCACGCAACATGAAGTGCTGGGGGGGAACAAGTGGCATGGTCAAGATCTCCAAACCATAACAACAAACAAAATGTAGAGCCCTTCCACTTCATGTGAAGATGGAGGATCAGCGAAGCCGTTATCTTTACTACGTCTAGGACGACGCCTAGAGGACGACATCTAGGACGACCTCAAGGATATGACTTTTCGGACGATGCCTAGAGAAATTCAGCCTTTCCACTCTGGTTTCCACGAAAGTGGAAAGGCTGGAAAGGTTGCCGCCATCTATGAGCGATGGCGGCAACCAGACAACCGGCAAGTCTGTTGTCTGGTTGCCACCATTGCTCATAGATGGCGGTAGCTGTCTGGAGTTTTGTGTAGACACGCCACTTATCCGCGGATGCAATACTGGGGAAACTAGCCCTTAACAGCTTCACTGTAAAAATAACGCAAACAGAACAATAAAAAATGATGCCGAAATCGCCACCGTTGCTACGCTGGGGTTTCGACTCGACGAAGCATGGGAATTTTAACCTCGCAACGGTCCACATACGATTCTGTTCGGAAAGACAGTTTGTTCTTCCGGACGTCGGCGGTTTCTGATGCAGCAGCCACAGCTTCCCTCGATTGCCGTCTACGGTTCGCATGCAGTTGTCTTCGAAGATCTAATCTTTCCAACTGAGATGTCGGCGGTTTCGCGCAAATGGCGTCGTCGCTGCGCTTCAGCTTTATGCTATCGCGTACGTTATGCCACGGCCGCTCAATCGCTTTTTTTCCCACTCCCACGGCACGTCATTTCAAGCACGCGAGAAGACTTTTTTCCTCTTGTAAGAGAGAAAGGTGACAATAACGAGCGAACGAACGGAGAGAAAGAGTGCAGCGGGAACCACGCTGCAGCCTCACAAAACCAGTCCTGCCCAAACGAATGCTAATAAATTTAAAATAAATGAAGAGCAAAATACAAGGTACATGGGCATACAATGAACCGCAAATATTTGAGCACATAGGAGCAACCAGTAGTCACCGTTGTTGATGTTACCGTCGACCAGATCAAAACCGACGTGGTTCTCCAGCAGCACAGAGCAGATGGCACTGTGGTCCTTGGCTGCTGCCAGGTGCAATGCAGTCTGCTTCTGCAGCGTGAGGTCGTTCACATTGGCCCCAGCCAGGATCTAGCAAAACAAAAAATAAACATAGCAAGTGACAACGCTTCAGTCTTGACGAATCAAAGAAATTCTAACGTGTAATATGAATTCATCATTTCCTTTGGTGTCTGGTGAAAACAGTCCATTAACAGAAACAAATAAATGGCATATAGGGCATATATACAGTACCGTATTTACGCGCACAATGAACACACTTTTTTCGGAAAAATCGATGCAAAGTTGGGGGGGGGGGGGGGCGTTCATTACGCGAAGTAAAGTTTTTGCGTCCGTTTTTATTTGAATAATGAACGGACCTTTTATCCTGAAAAATCGAAGTAACTTCTTATTTCTTTGCGCGCGGCGCTTGCCCCCATAACCAAACTACCGTAATATCCCGAGTCATCGCCCATCCCCGAGCCATCGCCCACCCCACTTTTTGGGCCAATATCGATTTCCGAAAAACACCGAGTCATCGCCCACCCCTTCAAATACAACAGCGCGGACTCAGCGATCCGCGATCACTCATCCTACCCGAATGACGCGGCCGCGGACCTTACAGTTGGAGGACGTCCGTGACAAAGTAAAACGAAGGAGGGAAAGACACTTTTTTGTTTACGCATTTCCTCCGTGAGCGACCCCAAAGTGGTCGTGTATCCGTGCGAAAAGAAAACGATGGAGATAACAAAATAAGAGTTTGTTAATGTAACCGCGGAGTCAAAGTCTGTCTCCGCCGAAGTAAGGTCACCGCGAACCCGCTCCTTCTTCCCGCCCGTCGCGACCGCGGTTGTGCAATATTTTAGGCAAAGCCAACGCGTAAATAAAGCTTTGCTGGAACGCCCTACACAGACGTTTGCAGAGCGTCCCAACCGTGCATTGATAGCCCGCCGTGCAAAAACGCACGTATGTACGCACCAAACAAGAAAATTGCGCTAGAGCTTGCGATTGACAAGGCGCCCGACTTGGCCCGACGCCAAAGTATTTGCCAACGCGACCGCCGGCTTTCCCGCTTTCCCAGGATTGCTCTTGGTCACTTCGTTGGTCCGCTCGCTCGCTCGCTCGCTCGCTCGCAAGTTGCGCCTGGTCGGTTTTTCTATTTTCTTGTGAACTTTTCTTTCTTTTTTTTCTTTTTTTTACTAACTAGGAGAACATAGTGGTGACATTCTTTCACGGAACAAACGTTCGCGCTATATGCAGATCGGCGGTGTTTCTAGCGCGTATGCAAGCAACGGACTTCGCTATAGTAAAATATTCTTTCGTGAGCATTTTTTTCTATAAAACAATGAAACTAAATCGAGTTTTGAGTTTGATGTATCGCTTGTGCATCAGCGCTAGATACGCAAAGAAAAATAGGCGGTTTTTTCCGCTTTTTTTCAAGTGTTTGTGCTCACCCACCGAGACATGGCCCACTCCACTTTTTTAATGAATTTCAGGCGGTAGGGGGGTGGGCGATGACTCGGGATATTACGGTAATCTGCGCAAAAAAAAAAAAAAACACTTTTTTTTCTTTTAGTTCCTTGAATTTTTTTTTTTTTTTTGCCAACTTTCCCAAGCTGTTTTGTTTGCTTAGGCGAGGGCTCTCCGCTTATCTTTCTTATCTCCGAGCGCGCGACGCACGACCCCCGTAACCAAACTGCGCTAAACAAAAAAAAAAAAAAAAACTTTTTTTATTTTTTTTTTATTTGTGGTGTTTTTTTTTTTTCTTCTTTTTGTCGCCTGCGTTTCGCAAGCTGTTTCGTTTGCTTAGGGCTTCTCCGCTCCTCTTTCTTACCTCCTTGCGCGCGGCGCGCGACCCCCGTAACCAAACTGCCCTGTGAGAAAAAAAAAAAGCTCCTATCCATGCTTGTTTGTTTTTTTGCTTCGGTTGGATCTTTGCGAATTTTTTTTAACGCCTTTTGCAAGGCGTTTTGTTCCCCCAGATGCCCATGCATTCGCGACCTCGCTGCAACAGAATAGAAAAGTGCGTTCATTTCGCGCGCGTGGGGGGAGGGGGTAGAAATTTTGACGTCCGAGTTGGGGGTGCGTTTATTACGCAAGTGAAAAAAAATTCGACATTTTGAGAGCCGACGTGGGGGGTGCGTTCATTACGCGAGTGCGTTCATTGTGCGAGTAAATACGGTAATCCTTCGTTACAACGAAATCACTTTTTTCGAAGTATCGCTTTTATCAAAGTTTAACATGGTCCAGACCGAAATGCAAACATTTTGAATCGGATTTTAAGTGTATCGGCAACGGACCATGCTTATTACGAAGGCCGCAGTGCTGAGAGCCCGCGAGCCTACACGGAGGTGCACGAAGACCCTTGCATTCCCTCTCCGTTCTCCACTGAGGCAAGCGGCAAACTGAGAAAATGCCAAACAAGAAAATGGAGGAAACTGATGACTGAGGGCAGAGCGTGCACAGCGCCGCTTCCGATCCCAATGCGCCAACGCTAAAAGAGCAGGGGAGCAGAGTCTATGTTCCGACGCTACTCACGATGCCCGTTACCGGCACTGCCCGACTCCTGTCGAAATCAAGTCAAGGAAGCGATGGAGCCGATAGATCCTACAGGAGATCATCCCTTTAAGAGCCCCCGACGTGCGTGCCTGTGCGGGCGCACTTGCGGGCGTACATAGCGTACCTGCACACGTGCATCGTATGGGAGATAGGGAGTGTATACCAAAAGTTGCATAGATCTGTGGGGTTGAGAAAAGTGGCTAGTTCAAGTCTGAAATCGCCGAAGGATTTGACATTCCGGCATCGGCTGTTTGACACTGTCCACCATTTTGCGGAACAAGCAAGGCATACTTGACGGGTTCAAGAAGATTCTCATGGAAGAGAAAGCACAGCCACGACCCGAAGATGAAAAATCGCCGATGTTTTGCGCATGTCGGATTTTCTTTCGCGAGCACGCTCGCCGAGCCAGTGCACGATTCCCAGAGCTGCAACGATCTCTACAGGAGAGTGTGAGAACATGTTGGCGAAGCCACCAAGGAAAACTTTGATTTGTTTGCGCTTGTTGATGCGTATGTTCCCGTTGTTGCTCCTGCCACGAATGCCGCGATCTTAGACCTTGAGTGCGGCCGGGGTAAACACGAAGCGACGTCGGAGAGGCACCTCGGGGAAACGCCAACGACTGTGGAGACACAACACGTCCTACGGCTGTTTCGAAACAAAGTGAAGTGCGGCGGCAGTGACAGCGTTCTTGCGATGCCTGGAGCAGTTCGAGGAGAACTGATGCCCGGATGAAATTATCGCCAAACTCCACTTAATTATTTTTTTACTCGGTAAAGCTGCTGCTGGTTGTTCATATCCAAGGTTAGTTTGATTATATATACAGTCAGAGTGTTCCGCAGGGTTTTCACCCACCTTCAAAGCTGCTGGTGCTGGTCTTTTTTTGGCTCCATTGCTTTTATCGAATAACCTTTTATACCAAATATTTTTGCTGTCCCGTTGATTTCGTTATAACGAGTGATTATTGCTGTTTTTTTGTTTTTTATCACAAAAATTTTGGGGTGTAGGATATTTAGATGGTGCCAAATTAGACAGCCTTCAAGTTGAGGTAACTTGTCTCTTGCTGTAGATGGGTAATCTCGGCCTGGGGTCTTTCATATGCATCACGCAATAGGGAAGGCGAAAAAAATCTTTAACGCTTGAGCAATTTCTCTTACTATCCACAAATTAATGAACTTATAGGGTCCAATGGCAGTAGCAATGTAGACCATAAGGCAAATACAATTCTCTCAGTTTGAACATGTTATATTATGTTAAGACCAGTCTCCATCCAAATTTGAAAACAATCCCAAGATGACTGCAGGATAATAAGGAGAGTGGAAGGAACTAGTGTGAGGACCCTAACATTTGTGTTCTAGCCCTGCAAGCCATTCAGGGCAACATTCCTTTGCAAACAAAGTTTAGGTATTATTACAATTATCCATATTATTATTACCAGATTACGGACAATGATCTCGGAGCCTGCCTCGACGGCCAGGTGTAGGGGAGTCAGCTGGGAGGAGTCCTGAGTGCGTGAGTGGATGTTCACGTGGATGCTGAGCAGGAAGAGCACGCTCTCAATGTCGCTCTTCTGGATGGCCACGTGCAGGAAGTTGCGGCCCCTGTTGTCGTACTGTAAAAGAAAAAAAGGACGGGAAACGTGGAAAGTGGAACGTTAGACTTGCTGTCAGAAGGAGAACTGACATCAATGTTTCAGGACAGTCGCCAAAACATTACGAAGTTAGCAAGTCAGACTAACCAAAATCGCTGACAAGAGTAATACTACTCTAGAGCAAATGACATTATGAGGAGGAGTAAGAGAAGGAGAGATAGAGGAGAAAAAGAAAGCTACAAGAATAAAAAGAAAGCGACATATAGTAGAACCAAGTTAGCCTGGCATATTTTTCTCGGTTGGCCACTCTGTGGTAAGGATAAAGAAAGAGGGAATTAAAAAAGGAAAAGAAGCAGATAACAAAAAGCATAAAAATGACCAGGTTTCAGCTATGGTGCGACATTATGATGATCTCCAAGGGCTCTCTAAGAACTTGGGACGGCTTGGGAAAAGTTCACACAGTTGTGCCGAGGCGTATAGGATATGGTATGCTGAGCTAGTGGGAGGACAACAAGGTCACCAGTGCAATTTGGGCAGGGTAATGAAAGTCCATTCATATATGTCCTCCGTACCTAAGGATTTATACTGTATATAAAATCAATATGTCCAGACCGTTCCTCGGACAGCTGCAATACATTGGACTCGCCTGTTCGGCCGCAGTGGGCTCCCTGGCAATGATGGTTTCTGCAGCCCGGTTGTTGCGTGTGGTCATGGCCACCGCAAAGGGGGTCAGCCCCTGCTTGTCCCTCAGGCTCAGGTTCATGGAGGGGTGTCCCAGCAGCAGCGAGATTATCACCGAATTCTGGTTGGTGATGGCCACGTGTAGGGGGGTCTTTCCCTCGGAGTCCTGGGCGCATAGTCGGCATTAAGGGAAAAGATTGTGCAAGACAGCCACAGCCATGCTCAGACAAAAAAAAATTAACTAAAAAATTGGGACAAACACAGTTTCTAATATACACAGCTTCAAGTTAAGTTTGACACATTTTACTACTTTTCGGTAAACAAGCTTGTGCCAGCGTTAGAGATGGTGATATCTCTGCATTTCTTTCCTTCTTGTGTACCTTGTCTCGTCTAGATATGATCACAAATCATGAGATAATTCTGAACTCCTTTTACATCTGTTTGGTTTTTTCCAAACTGATGACAAAAGCAGCTGACGAAAAGCACAGAGCAAAACAACCTGGGCTCTATTAAATGGCACTCAGTTTCTTCTCAAGCTGGAAGCCCACCATCGGGCACTGCGTGGCTGTCACCACACTCCTTATGTACAAAGTTGCGGCCACGATTCGGCAAGTCACGTTGTCCGGGGAGCTAGAGCCAGATTGATCCTGTTGCAGAGATTCCAAGCCCGAGTTTGAGTCCGTTCCAAGACAGCACCTTTCAACGTTACTCACTGCCTTCCAGCATTTCTCTCAAACACTGGGGACACAAAAGGCAACAAGTAAAGATCCCGTCATAGAGTCAAAAATGTGTTTTCATAAAGAACCGAACATCCGCAAATACAAACGGCTCACCTGGGCATTGACATTCGCGTTGTGCTCGATGAGGGTCTGCACCACGGACTCGAGACTCCAGGCGCAGGAGAGGTGCAGGGGCGTCTGTCCGTCGTACGCCTCCTCGTCCCCTTCCCCGTGGGGGCCCGGCCGCCGGGGACTGTTCAAGTCGCATCCGCTGTGCAGCACGCAGGCAACAACAACTCGATTTTGCACAAGTCGAGAGATTCTCCAGCTATTTTTAGAACACGGGTTCTCAAGTTAGGTTCCCGGGAACCCTGGGGTTTCCTCAGAGTACGTCCACGGGCTCCCAGAGTCCCCAAATTACTTTCCCTAGGTGAAACATTCTTCGAGTTGAGAACTACTTTTGCAGACCTCGGCAATCCTTCGGCCAAACGCCCCCTGGTGGGTGCATGAATGTTTACCGGGCACAAAGGCTTCTACGCCGTTCTACTGCACCGGAGCCGAGACTGGACAGGTTCCTCGACTGTCAATCGAGAGAGAAAGCGGATCCTCGAGGCCGCAAAATTTGAGAACCCATTTTAAAAGAAAAAAAAAGTGCCCCCAACTTTGGGATGTTCACATGCAATGGCACTGAGGTGGAGATAGGCACCTGCGTATGAGGAACTGGGCAACCGAGTCGTTGTTCTCGTCGATGGCCCTGTGCAGCAGCGTCTGGGAGCAGCCACCAGGTCCTTCCGACCAGCAGTCAGTGTCGCAGCCGTACTGGACCTGCAATCCGTGCACAAATGGTTGTAGGCATCCTACACATTTAAATACATCAGAGTCTCAGTGACCTGTTTTTCGGCAACTTGTAGTTGAGAAAAATATTACCCGAGACAGCATTTCTTAAGATTAAAAACTTAAGATTAAACTTAAAATTAAAAAACGGAAAACAATTCTTTTAAGATCCTCGGTGTATGTTGGTATATTTGGGTGTGGTCAAAGAAGCCCAAATTTGTTGACCGAAATTCGCTCCCTGTAAAAGGTCGGTTGCCATAGAGGTGTACCGTGATGATCAACTTTTAATTTGCCGTCCCCGGCACTTTTGTCAATGGTCGCTTCCGACTGCCCGACACCCAAGTTTGAATGCTGAACCAAAACTAATGAACCTAGTGCGTGCTGCATGCTATGCATCTTGTGCAAATGGCATGGGGAAGGTTAACGAGAGGTGCCGAAGCACAAAGCGATAAAAAAGCAACTTGACTGGTTTTGGTTCTCAGCAACATTACCTTTTTTTCCAGACCCCACAAGCCAGTGGCATAGAAACACAGGGGGCAGTCAATATGCCCCTGCCCCTGACCCTGCCCCGCCCCCCCCCCCCCCCCCCCCTTCCCCAAGACATCTCAAAGTTTACCCCCTTATCTCCTAAATAGTTCAGATAGCTCTGGGGGGTGAAACACTGGCAGGACATTCAGTACATTTACAGCTTTCACCAGCTCCCACGCTACTGCAAACAATACCACCCACTGTCACCCATTTTACGATTTAGACGTGGCTTTGCAACCACTAAATCTTCCTTGTATGGAGTAAATAATCTGCAACATAGTGAATTGGGAGTACCATACACAATTTGAGATACACTAGATGAAAAACTGAAATTTTGTTTATTATAGGCTCGCGACAATTCAAACTCGGATATTTCATACTTCCCGTTAATTCAGACAGATTTGAAAATTGAGGTGGTCCCGCTATGTTTTTAATGTATTTATAAGCCGCTTAATTCGAACGGCGTTTTCGCTTAATTCACTCTTTTGTTCTCGCAGCCCCGTTGAGTGCGCTTCCTTCCGAGCACCAGTGCGCCACAGAGAAGCAATACCCCCTCCGGAGCTTGCTTTGGCGAGTGTTGCTTCTCCGCAGTGCACCGGTGCTCGGAAAGAAGCGCAGTGAACGGGGCTCAGGAGGGCACACGTTAGCGGAAATGGGCGTTCACGTTATGTGCTTCAAGACTAGCAATGACGACCAAGACGACATCAAAGATGAGAAACAGCTCCCTGGCATCATGCTTTCTGGCCTTGAAGCACATAAAGTGAACGCCGAGCTGGCGGAATATGCTAGTCTTGACGACGATATGTGTGTTTGTCGTGATGACTCATTAGAGGACATGGTACAGGAAGTAATGCCAGCACAGTGCACCAGTGAGAGTGAAGACGACGATGAAGAAAGGGATGACCCACTACTAACTGTCACAGCCGCAGAGGCCGGAAGTTTCTGTCTGAAAAGGAAGAGTCCCGTAAAGAGCTACTTGCGTTGGCTGGTATTGAAAATTTTGTTTTGAGATCTCATGTGCTGACTAAACAGTCCACAATCGACAACTCTTTTGCCGGATGGATAAACTAACGTCACAGTTCTTTCACCAATGTGTTATGCCTGTACTTGCTTATAATTAGGCCTATGTAGAGGAAACTGGCAAAAATCTGCTTCGTATGTGTAGCTATCCATGTAACAAATCATAATGTTGTCTAGTATCACATTTAAATGAATTTCTGATAATTCAAACTAAAATCTGTGACTTCCTGGAATTTGAATTAATGAGAGTCTACTGTATATTGATTAATTATGGCAATAACCAAAGGTCGGAGATCAGCAAGAAGACACTCACCCTGGTAAGGAGAGCTCCATTGCCCTGCCATAGTATACTATGAGTAACCACAAAGCTTTTCTAAGATGAAACACTCCAAAAAAAAACGCTGCTGCATTTGCAGGGCAAATGATATTACTATGTAACAGTAGAGGTGAGTAAATGATTTGGTGCTCAAAATCAACAATGCAATCACAGTGTCGGGGCACGGGAGAACAACTGAATTTAATGACTTGTTTTAAATAACTATAAAACAACAACAAAGCAGCAATCATTTGAGCTGCCCCCCAAAAAAATGGGCACCGTGGGGAATGGGGGGAGAATAAAGATAGTTAATGGGGCGTGCGAAAGGCGGGGCACAACTAATTCAATTCAAGCCTGGGCACCTAAAGTTGGCAGTGGTCGTTTTGGGTACCATATTGACGCCCAACGTGGGTGCCAATATGGTACCCGAAATCAATAAAATTACTCCTTCACTTTTTTTGACAGTCGGACCCCCAGTGTTCCCAAAGCCCTCACCAGCACAGAGGCGACGTCCTCCTGACCGCCTTCGAGAGCGAGCCAGAGTGCGCTGCGGCAGTTGCCCTCCTCGACGCTCATGTCCGCACCACGCTCGCACAGGGCCTTCACCACGGCCGGCAAGTGCCTGCACATTATGGTAATGCCCTGCTCTTGACAACCGTGTACGTAAGAACTAGACACGCAAGATTACTGGAATGGCATCATACTCAATATTCGAATACATACACTAAAATTCAAATTCACCTTCAAATAGAACGGCACTATTTGGCCAATTCACACGACGGACTGATCCGCGGACGAATTGATCACGTGACGACATGTCCGCGGTTTGTCCGTCTCCTAAGTGCATCCACACAAAGGAGACAACAAGCAGACGCCAGTGAGGATGGACCGAACCTGTTCACCACCCCACAATGCCGCGAATCTCCAACATAGCACCATGGCAGGGTTGTCCAAGAGAGAAATCGACATTTGCTACCGTGGTAGAGAATTGTATGCCGCTGTGTCGTACAGGGCGAGAGAGACCACCGTAATAGGCTTCGCACAAAGTGCCACTAGCTGTACTAACCCAAGGCATGACAGTGACACAGGCATGGTACTGCTCGAGAAGGCTTCGGCATAGAAGCGACGAAGTCCTGGGCTTGCAAAGAGGCGTTTGGAGATGGCTTCATGCACACCACACTCGTGCCTAACACTTAAGTACACCACAGCCAAAAGAAATGTCCTGCTCGGTGAAAGGCTGATTGGACACGCAAGAATTACCGTGGCGTGCTATACGAGTTTCGACAAAAGCTTCTTAACACGGTACCCGAGGAGTATGTACCGGAACCAGTGTCGCGTCATTCGGGCAAAGTTTCTGCTGTTTATTTCCAGCGTGGAACCAAGAATCGTGCGACAAAACTAACCAACAAACGTGCGAAACACAACAATGCACCAGTTTTGTTTGAGTTGTCTAAATCAAATTTAAACAAAACAAAAAAAACATAGTATAGTTGCCAGACAAAACTTTTCAGTCAATCACCTGCCGAAAATCCGCGAGTGAAAAGGCGCTAGACTTTATCAGTCCACGCATCTGTGGACGAGGCGTGGATCGCAGGAATCGGTGACGTGACGGTCACATGGTACATCGTCTGCAGACGAAACTCGCGATTCGGTCTCTCGTGTGAATCGGCTAATTAAAAGAGTCGATACTAACTTAGAATAATTTTAGAAATAATGCCACAAATGTAGCTTCATGCACCATTATTTTTCTCCAAGCCACGGACGCATCATGGCAAAGCTACATTAGTGGCTGTGCTGTCACAGCAGCAGTCGTTCTGCCGTGCTGCAAAGAAAATTTCTCGATTGTATCTGATTAGACGCGCGAAAAGAGTCATGAATGAGCTGTGCATACGCTGTGTTTGTGACGCCCGAGACACTGTGACATCCGTCGCATGACATCACGGTGTCATGTTGTGTCAGTCACATGACGTAACGGTGTTACGACATAGTAACACATAGTGACATCAAAGTCAATTTGCAAGGTCATGCGACACACTGACTTCAAGGTCACATGAGCAATGTATGAGCTAAATTGCTCAACATGGCCCATAGGGGCTACATGGCTGGCCATCGGTCGGCTTGCCTGCGGATGGCCAGCTGCAAGGGCGTCTCCCCGTCGCGGGTGCACAGGTTAAAGTCTGCCCCCTGGTCGAGCAGGAAGAGAGCGCCCGAGGTATCCTGGTGCAGGATGGCCCGGTGGAGCAGAGAAAGCCCTTCGGCGTCTGCCACGTCCAGGCTGGCTCCCGCATTCAGCAGCTCCCGGGCCACGTCGTGCAGGCCCAGCTCCAGGGCCAGGCTCAAGGCAGTCTCGTCCCTCGAGTTCTTCAGGTTCAGGTTGGGCAGGGACGGGTTGGCCGGGGACTGCTGCGCAAATGCTGAAGGGGGCCAAGGGCAAAACAAAAAGAACTCCAATGCATTTTCAAGAAATTTGGGCATGTATCGATCGTACCTGATAAATGAGGTAATCAAGCACTACCAAAACCACACACAGGAAGGTGACGGCGTTCGTCACCTTCCTGTGCTATGTGGTCGTCGGCTAAACAAATCGAGCACAGTCAATGAGACCTTGCATTTATAGTATGCGTGTTCATGTTTGTACCTCTGCACATCTTCTACCCTTGTGCTCCGACTTACGGTCAAACAGTATAGGAGTGGCCTTCTGTCTCCTGAATTCGGTTATTGTGCTAAAACTGGGCAGAATTTAGGCAAAAGCCGAACTCAAAGCACGTGCTTGAGAGACACAAATACCATATTTATTTAAATAATACCCGCAGGCTTTACAAAAAAGACCTGGATGTCTGCTTTCCTCCACAGCATAGGCCCGTTCACACACTTGCATTTGACTACAACCAACAGCGACAAGACCGGGTTTTAAGTCTCTTGAGATGGCTTGCGACCAGCCCCGCAGCAGCTCATCCGAACGTAAAAGGCTTAAAAACTGGTCTTGCCTCAAACAGTCGTACTGGGTTGCAAGAGTGTGAACGGGCCTTAATATCCAATCATTTCACTCTAAGCAAGAAGCCTAGTGAATAAGGAGGCAAGCATAACATCAATTACAGTAAACTTTCGTTAATTCGACCTTGACGGGACCTTGAAATTTGGTCGAATTATCCGAATGATAGAATTAAAAGAAGGACAGAAAAACGGTTAAAATTAAACTTCCTTTTATTGTCCAAAGTACTCACAGATGGTCTGATGCCCTTTGCACTTAAAACACGTGACCAAAAGCATGCTTCGAAGAGCAGCTTAACTAAACGTCACGTCCCCAAGAAATCGCGCACTACAGAAAAAATTATAAAAAAAAAAACAACTAAAAAAGTAAGTTTTACGAGCAGACTTTGGCGCCAAGCCAAGGTCGGCTCGGCAGCAAAAAAAAAAGGAAAAGAGAATTTGCGGTTTCCGACGCACAAGATGGACCGCACATGATGCTACAGAGAAGTGCTTTGAGAGCGCGCACTGAGAAAGCTTCGAGCCGACTTTGGCGCCGGGCGGCCAGACCGTCGGAGACAAAACAAAGAAACAACAGAAAAAAAAAAAAGGAAAAGAGAATTTACGGTGCTTTTCGATGCGCAAGGTGGAGCGCACACGATGCTACAGAAAACGCTTTGAGTGCGCGCGCTGGCTCGTGCATGCCCGACCACGTGCTATGTCCTCCATGCTACTCCACGCCAGATTGGTTGCGCTGGCTCGTGTCATTCGCTATGGTCCATCTCACCCGCATAGAGGAGCAGACGCATATTTGCGCAAGTTCAGCTTTGCAGCAAAGGGCCCGTGTTTCGCCGTACGTTGGTGGTTTTTCTGCCATGGTGCCGTGCAATGTGAGCCCGCGCGCATTCGCTCGGGACGAATTATCCGATGCGGAGTCTTCCCGAGTTCGAACTATCAAACTTTTCCTCCCATAGAAATGTACGGGCGTTTGCCGGGACTTTTGAACACGATCGAATTAAACGAAAAGTCAAATTAACCGAGGTCAAACTAACGAAAGTTTACTGTATTTGTGGGCTTTTATCCTTAGCTTGGCTCCTTAAAGGGCAACTCCGGTCCATACTTTCGATTTTGGGATTATGACTGTTTTTAGCGCAGTCAGCGTCCGTGAATTGCAAGGTGTAATTGTTTTCTCGTTATTGTGCGTAGTTTTAAAGATATCGACGCCTCAAAGTTTTGTTTGGGGCGCGGCCAACAAAACCGAAACTAGCCGCTCGAGGCCCCGGCAACATTGGAAATCAGCCGCTATGTGAATGTGACGTTGGGATCGTTCTCGTTCAACGAGTACGCAACCCGAGCGGCACCTACCCCTGTTGCGCTAGCCGTCTAAAGATAGGAGGCAAGCTGATTATGTTTTAATTCTGTATACGTGGTAGTTATCCAGCATATGTAGCAAGAGTTAGTGCGTATACCCAAAAGCTAGCGACTGGAAAGCCCGTGAACTTGTTCGGTGCCGTACTCGGCGGCCGCCGCCGTGCGTGCGCTATGCCGTACTCGTCGCTTGTATACCCAAAAGCTAGCGACTGGAAAACGACTGAACTCGTTCGGTGCCGTACCTGGCGGCTGTCGCCGTGCGTGCGGTCTTCCGTACTCGTCGCTAGGCCTAAATTGTCATCGGGGCTCCGTGGATGGAGCTGCATTGCTATATGCCGTGCTGCCAGTGACGTACAGTACTGGGGGCCCTCTCGCTTTGGCGCTGCGGGTCAGTCCCGGACACGAAGCTTTGAGGCTCTCCGGCGTGGGCCGCGGCGCCCGAACACACGTGTCCTGGGCTGTGGATGTCTGTTTTTTTTTTCTTTTTTCCTCGGGCGCGTAAAAGCCGAAGTCCAAAGTCCACTTGTCGAACAGCGCTCACCCACACCTTCTCCCATTTCCGGTCCGTTGGAAACTTGTGAAAAAGCACCTCCGGGTTGCACAGCGGGTTGTTTGAGCAGCCCACAACGCTACAAGTTTTACTCGGCATCTTTCGAGGAACAGCTGGACAGTCTTGGACGTACCGAGTTGCTCACTAAAACGAGTCTTGGAGTCCTCACAAGCAAATAAACAAAAGGCTATACCGAAGCTACACGGGCTACAGATAAAAGCAACGGCTAAACACGCCAATCACAAGCCGAAGTAGCGGTGGTAGTGGCTCAAAGAAGCGCACTCTGCGCAACGCCCGGACTGGAGAAAAAAAAAGAGAACGATACTGACGTCACGGCCCAATGCTGCTTTAACGACCGGCAACCCGTTGGCCGCCCGCTAAGGAGCAGCGACTCGCGGCGGGTCGCATTTTTATTATCGGCATTAGTTGATAATGCGGCGTCCCCTGGACGTAATTTTTTGGCTGGGATTTTGTGTCACTACAGCGATACCAGTAATTTATTTAATTTTGAGTTTTGGCCGGAATTGCCCTTTAAGTAGATTCATTGGCCATCCACGCGCACTGCCGAAAGTACAGGCTTTGTTCATTAACGGTACACCATTAGTACAGCAAATGTGATAGACAGCTTCAGGGACCTTAGCGACCATATTGGCGAAATACAGATGACACTGCATCTCCTAACCTAGACAACTCGAGTCTCCCAAGGTCCGACTCCATGAACAAACTGTGTCACCTCTCATAAACCTCACACTTTGCCTCGACAGATATTTTTTCACTAGGTTCAAAGAGTCGGGTGCCAAAAGCAAGGCGTTGAGGCTCTGGCACGTCCTCTGACCTTTGTACTCTAGGATGCTGCGGACTGCACCGCCATGCTTGTGGAGCACGGCGAGGTGGAGGGGCGTCTGCAGGTAGCGTGCCTCCTCGTCGTCCGCCGCAGAACCCAGGGTCTGTCTGTTGGGATCAGCGCCCCGGTCCAGCAGGGTGCGGACCAGCTTCGCCAGTCCAGCCTGACAGGCCACGTGCAGAGCTCCCTCTCCCTGCGTAAAAAGACAAAGAAAAAAGAAGCAAATTAAATGTTTGTGCTTGGACAGTGTAAGAGGTATGGCAACACTGATTTTAGCCGTAGACAACAAATTTAGCCAGTGCAGTATGTACCACCGCTAGCTTGGGGTTTTTAATGTGCATCACGCAGTAGCGATACACGACCGCACGCTGGTACGACGTTTGTCCAAGTCGAACGGGCGTTAACATGCTCAACCACCGAACCCCCCCCTTCCGCCACCCCCAGCACAGAAAGGCCGAGCGCTTTGTGTGCTATGATGAGGCACGAAAGTCTGATGGGGCAAACGAGTCAAATCGAACTTGGTGGCACAGATTAAACTTGCCTCAACATTCAGTTGGGACTAGTGACCTCATTGATCGAGCGTGAGTTCCAGCCGAATGCCGATGCGGCACGCAAACTCCATATGTGCACCGCACTTGCCTCCAGTAGGCGACGTCAAGAATCAAGTACTACGACCTTGTTATCTAGGAACTGTTGAATAGGTTCGCACAAGGCGAGAGTAGATGATTTGTTAAACAAAGTGTAACGACGCAAACGCAATGTTCGCAGATGTGAAGCGACGCATTTAGGACTTGGCTAACTGTTAAAGAAAGCTATCTGGGCACATGATTGGAGAATGCAGCCTTATGTCGCACTGTATGCTATGCACTACTCGCTTCTTTTACACTCCCAAGGCGTTGCATATTAAGATTTACTGGTTGCAACTTCGAAAGACAGTCTGCAACAGATGTGCTCGACACTAGATGCAAATGGGGCGTGCACCAGGGCACCGCCATTAGGAGCGCGGGTTGCACATTGCAATCGCCCACCTTGTTATTGCTGTGATTAGTTTGGGCTCCGCGGTTGGCCAGGAAGATTCCACCGTCTTCGTTGCCGGCCCGAGCCACTAGGTGGAGCTGAGTGTCTCCTGCAAATCACGCAAAAAACTGTAAACCAAAACCCAACTGGTAAGAGTGTGGTCAATGGTAGACCATATTCATACTTTGTCACCACAGTAGTGTGATTATCTCGAGCTTGCTGTGTCGCCATTTTCTCCAATTCTTTTTAGGGGCGAAGCTCCTTGGGGTCTAGTCTTGTCCATCCGTCCGGCGTCGATGCTCACATCGAATGCACTGCCTCCGGGATCGGCCCACTTTTAAAAAAAAATGTACGCCCTCACGGGGGTTCGAACTCAGGACCGCTCGCTTACGAAGCAGACGTCTTAACCACTACGCTACACTCCAACGTTGCATGTAGCCACTCAACGTCTATACAGGAGAGGGAGGTGCGGTCAAATGCGTATATAATCGCGTTAAACTTTGCATGCATTGGCTCAACGTTTATAGACGAGAGGGCGCTGCGGTCAAATGCTCAAATGCGTATATAACCATGATCCATACCACACATTCTCTTTCTGACATGGACCGTTAACTTAAGCGGTGGGGGTGCGTTCCCACAGCTTCTAGCGGATCCAAGCTGATCCGCTAGAACCAGTGGCTCTGTATTTCACTGACCATAAAGCAGTAATAATGAAGTCGAAACGCAACCCGAAACTCAGCACTACCTATGAGCAATAAAAAAAAAATCAGCACCATCAGCACTACCTATGAACAATAAAATCAGTATCATCAGCACCACTAGAGCTTTGCCCCAATCAACATCATTCACCACGTGGAGATGCGACCTCTTTTTTATTTCATTTGTCCCTGCATCGTTATTAAATAAACGACCAAGATGCCCCTTGATAACTTCCACCCAATGCATCTGACTTTATTTACCGTTGGAGAGAGTAAAATCAATCAACTTTTGCTGCTATTGATATAACAGGAAGTACCGTAAACGACTTAATTTTCGGGAGGTTCCAATTTTTGTGAATTTCGCGACTCAAAGTAGACGCGCAAAAAATTTATCGCGTGAATACATAATTCCACGGTGACTAATGCATGGCATACCACTCCCAATCGCGAAAGTTTGTGCCCGCAAAAAAATTCAAAGAATCCACACTTCGCAAAATTCACAAAACATTGTGCTTGCAAAAATGAAGTTGTTTATGATATTAACTCTTTCCTGACTGCGCCCATAGGTCATCGATCACCTGTGATCGTTGAATTCCACGCGCCGCCAAGAAATTAAATTTGGTGCGGAGAATTATGTTACACAATCTCGTGGATGGCTGAAGAGCTCTAGTTTCGGTTTCAAGGTAGGTTTGAGGTTTAACACAAGCTGGTGGGTTGTCAAAAATAGTCCTGGGAGCGGTGGTTGCACTTGTATAACATGACTAACTGCATGCACCAGTCTTTGCAACAAAAATGGCATTATTTACATAATTCAACTATACTGTGGCATACTTTTTAGACCTCAAGAGCTCTGGACACACTTTAAGTTATGTCATAGGCATCGCTTAACAGATGTTTGTCAATAAGCGTCACTATAATTTTCAGTCCTGTCCTGAGCTGGTGTGCACGTTTTATGTTCCCAACAAAGCAAACAAAAATGCTAAATATGAAAGAATTGCAACCAAGGCTATGACAAAACCAACGTAGAACACAAAAAAAGTATTCTGCTGAAGATGTGAGGTGAACTTATTTGTGTTTCTCCAATATAAGCATACCTTCATTGAAAAGCACACACATACGGGGGATAACTCTCCCACGAACCAAAGATAAACAATGTCAGTTAGACTACATTAACTTTCAGAATTAATAGCCATGCGTGTGAGCCACATTTTGTATATTCTGAATTTTTCTCATTTGTCGTTAATAAGACATAGCTGTAAAAGTTTCGGCCTTTATACACCTTCCGTGCGCATATTGTATTTTCAAGAAATAAAATTTTAACATCTTCCTCCCACATCATTCTAACCTCTGTTTCTTTTAAAAGAAAAACTAATTGGCCATATTTTGATGAGTCATATAGCCCCATATGCAAGTTAGTTAGGAAAAATAAAAGTGTTTGCAGGGATCCCCTGAAAATTGCTACTTTTCCCAGGGTCAGGCGAGAGCTAAGCCGAGCACGCAAGAGGCGAGTGTCTGCCCCATCCAAGGCCTCCCAGCTCGTAGCCTAGTAACTGGGGCGAGATGAAGGTTGCCAGGAAGCCACGACCAAAAGAAACGTACCCGTAATCTTGTTCACGGCGTCGAGACTGGCACCCCGGTCGGCCAGCCGGGCGGCGAAGCTGTCCTCGCCGTACGGCCCTGGAGGGGCGTGCAGCGCAAAGCCGAGCGGGGTCTGCTGGTCGTTGTTTCTCAGCTCCAGGTTCACACCCTTGCTCTCCAGGAGAAGGTGGAACACGTCCACGTTTTGAGCCTCTATGCTTCGGTGCAGAGGGGTGCTGAAAGAGAGGGGGACGTGTTTATGAGCAAAAAATAATGGAATGACACAAAAGCTTGATCTAGACTCGCAATGCAGTGCTGCACATGGCATCTCATACACAACTTGCCACAGGTACACTTTTTTTAATCAACACGAAACAAAAAGTTTGCTTTTCTTTTGGGTATACAGTAATGCCTCGTTAATATGAAGGCCTCTATTACCCAGAAAAACCTTCCATGGTGTGAGTCGTCCATAATAATGAATCAGGGTCAAAACACACACACAGTGATGTGATTGGCCTAAGCCGTTTTGGAGCACGTTTTGGAGCAGCCAAAACGGTGTTTTGGAGCAGCAAAAGTGGCCTTTGGAGCAGGTAAAACAGTGTTTTGGAGCAACAAAAGTTGCTTTTGGAGCAGCCAAAACAGTGTTTCGGAGCTGCAAAAGTGGCTTTTGGAGCAGATATTCTTAGAAAAATGAAAATATTTGTTTTAAGTGCTGGACGAACGAAGGACACTTCGCTCGCCGCAATAAACAAGTTATGGTCAAGTTAGTCCACCTGGGAGTCTTTCAACATGTAACTGAAATGCCAATGAGATGACACATTTTGCGATGCTTCTGTTAAATAATATATATGTAACGTTATAGATAAATAACCAAATTGCACATATTAAAATTTATTTGAAAATGACCAGCTTATTAGTAAATATCACAGCATTAGGTTGAGTACCGTAGTTATATAATATAACAAATGGAAGCTGTCTCCGACTGATGAAACACGTAACTACTGCACTGCAATGCGAAATTCTACACAAGACAAAGGTGCATTAAAGGGGCCCTGCAACAACTTTTTGACTGGTTTTTAATTTGCACCAATCCTGAGCGCACTGAACGTAGTAACTTAATGAAACTTTTCTCAAATTTCGCTTTATTTTACAAGTTATATGCAAATTAGAATTACAAAAACAAGCAAAAAATAACCTCCTTTATGACGTCGCAGGTCCTGGCTTGAGTGGCCGTGAACTAGAGGAGGGGTAGTGGGCTCATCGAGCGTCACGGCTGCCGCACTCCAAGCCGACGGCTCGAGAGGGCGCCACTAAAGCACGTGTTGGATAGGCTGTATGAAGCGGACGGCCAGGGCGGCTCGCATTGCATTTGCTGCACGATTAAAGACTAATTCGGCATTACATTTCATTGGCCACCAACGACAGCAAACACGGGGTTAATATCAGTTCAGAAAGGGAGCCACTTTACGCTGCCATAACGCCAAATGGTAAAATCACCAGTCAAGCCCGCGCCGAAAGCCTTCGGAACGCCCGGAACCGGTCGGATCCTCGTACCGGTATACAACCGCAGCGCCGCCACGTACATCCGGGACCTTTCTACGTTCGCCGTTCGTTGGCGCCTCATCCCACTAGCCCTTTCTAGTATGCGCTTTTTTTCCGCCGCTTGGTGGCGGGTATGTCGACGGGTCATTTCTTGTTTCTGTACTTTATAAACTGCATTTGTTTTTTTTATGATCTAAAAGACTGAACAAAAACTACTTTCATACATAATTGAAACGGTTTGCGACACTTATATTTTTTATCTCGACTAAAAAAAAAAAAAAAAAGATTTTAGCGGTTCTGATTAGTAGCAAGCCCAGGACCAAAGACGTCACATATCGCGCGCTTTTGGCAACGTGGGTCGCCCTCGTAGGTGGAGGAGATTTCCGCGTCGTCCATTTAAAATATGGCGCACTGATATTTAGTTACTCCCTCCGTGCCCACTAGGTTGCTCGGAACCCCAAGAGACCTGGAAACCGCAAAAAAAGGTAGACGCTTAAATATGATCGCAGGGTCCCTTTAAGACTAGCGGGTGCTTTTCTTTTTGCTTTTCGAAACTTTCTACAAGGCTGCTGCAAGCCTCGCTTTGCCTTTGGCTAGTAATGAATTCCCACTTTCAATGTCTCCAAAGAGACATTGAGATATCCCACAAGTGAACAGTGCTGTGGCCGTTGCCGAGCAATTCAGAAAAACCGTTTGCCACCGTTACATGAGGGCAACTTCGGCAGGCTTGCATCTGCACGTGCTTCATCGCGGGAGCGGAGATGGCTGTTCGATCGAAACAGACACCATGCCACTCCGCTCCGTCGCCAACTGGTTCCCAAAATTAAATGCAAAATGTAATAGACCAATCTCACTAAACGGTCGGCGCATGCGTGACGCCGCCATAAGTTTAGTTCACAGGAGGCAGAAGGCCATGCATGCCAGGGCTCGTGCCGTCTCGTGCTTAACACGGGCAGAGCTCCAACAGGATTATCGCACGTGCAGAAAGACTAAAGTTCCCTAGATGCATTGCGGCAGCGGTGGCGTAGTCAAACTGCCGAGTGAGATCAGTCCATTGTCCAGCATACGAAAAAAAAACAGTCCAGCGGCAAGTGCTTGCCAGGCCAGCAGGCGAGGTACAAGCTAAACACACAGAAAAAAAGAACCTGAGCGAGTCAGGTCAAAACAGGACATCGCGAGTCAGGGTCAAATATGTACTTGGAGCGCTTTGCGCAACGACTGAAGCACTAAAGCGTCAACAGACGCCCGCGTCTATCTTTGAAACTTTTTAAAAAGACGCGAGACGCGACACATGAACGAGGAGAGCGTGAAACGAGGGGTGGCGGGAAAAACTATGCAAGACCGGAAGGAAAATTGATACAGGGTACTTTTTGTTGGGCGGCCGCTTGTGCTACCTAGCTCATGCATGCTCAATTACGGTACTCAGTTTAGTTTCGGTCTTGAAAGACGACCAAAATTGGTCTTTTGGCGCAGGCTTGGCGCAGATTACCCATATTTTGGCAAAATGTAGCAGGATGTAGCAGGGTTCGCCCCTTGGCGCAGTTTGGCGCAATTGGCGCAGCAATCACATCACTGCACACATCAACAAGCGTAGAGGGGAGTTGCTTCTCCAACCCAAGCAGTCGGAGGAAAGGTGAAGGAGGAACTCGCATCCGGCCCCCTTTTGAGTGTCCCCGACACAGCTTTGTCACCCGTAGCCTTTGCCGTTTGTCAAGTTATGCTGCAATGGTGTATAAGAGAGCTTTGTGGGTCCAAAGCTCCTCTCCCATTCCCCAAACAGTGACGAGGTCTACAGAGAGGTGACCTAGCTGCTTTAGGATTCATTCTTCTTTGTTCCCAGTTGTAGGTCTCAAGCAACAATACTGGAAGCGGTATGACTCATTTTATGTAAAAGACAAAACAAAAACATTTAGCGCGCACTTATAGGCCCTCAGTGACATGATGTCACGTCACGTTCATGACCAAGTGACGTGACGTGACTTTGTGTCACATGATATGATGGCAGTTTCACATGATGCTAGTGTCACATGATTTCGTGGGGTCACATGACGCGACACTGAGACCTCAGTCATGGTGTCACGTGCTGCCATGTTGTGTGACACCGTGATGTCACAGTCTGATGTGAACACCACGATGTCATCCCGGTGTTCACGCGATGATGTCACGGTGAACATCTAAGAACGCTGACGACGTCACTCGAACACCGCAAGTTCTTAGGCAAAAGTTCTAAAAGCTGGGCCTATAAATGTCACACATTTAAAAGACTTACAACAGGAAACGGCAAGCTTTTCAAGCTTTCCGTACAACAAACAGCAAGCCCAGAACTGCGAGTGGGCTCACTTTCCGTTGCCGTCCTGTGCGTTGACATCAGCACCGTGCTGGAGCAGGCTGCTGGCAACCCTGTCCATTCCTTGGGGCGTGCCCTGGGAGGCCTTGAAGCCGGCCACCATGTGCAGGGCCGTCTCCTTCTCCAGGGGAACCGCCAAATCCACCGACGCCTTGTGCTCCACCAAAAACAGAGCGGAGAACTCGTCCCCTGCGGCGACCACACCAAATTGACAGTCCAAATCTTCCAAAGTTTAAATGCAGAGTGTGTTGTAGGGCTGGTTCACACGAGATGAGAGTAAAACTGTAAAAGAGCGCCACAAAAATCGTTGCACTGCTGTTAAATTTAGTGAACCCCCGAACTCATGAAAGCTCATAAATAAACATCCCCGTCTCCCAACTTTATTCGTATGATTAAGATACATCAAAACTTCTTTTACGCCTTTAAATGGAAGGAGAACATAAACACGTTCCTTTTTAGTAGCCATATATTCCCATTAGTAGCCACACAAGCTGCAAGGGCTAAATAATATAAAACAAACCGGTTTTACGGTTTAATGAGGACAGGCAGATAGGTGGCGTATGGTTTGATCAAAATATAAATGAAAAAACTTGTTTGAGGAAAAAGTTGGAGAAGACATTGTCTTTGGCAATCTACAGGGGCAACTGGCAGATCATGCGCTCGTTTGCTTGGAGAAGCTGTAGATACGCTAGAGACATCGAGGAATTGCACGGTGTGACCAATCAATTGCTTTCTCGTGCCTCAGGCAGGAAAAACGCGGCATAAGAAGCACAGATGCCACGGTCTTCTCAAAACCCATGTGGGACAAAGTGCTGCGTTGCGATCCCGAATCAAAACCAAGGCATGTTTTCGATAATCGCAGGAGCTTGCAGGAGGTCTGGACATTAAATTCCCGAGTGTAGATGAGCCAACATGGCAGGAACGTCACCTCTCTCAATGGCCTTGTGCAGCAACGTGTGACCCTTGTAGTCTGTGGCGTTCACATCCGCCTTGTGGTTGAGCAGGGTGCGGGCAATGCTCTCCTGTCGCGTGGACAGCGCTAGGTCCAGGGGAAGGCTGCCCCCGTCGTCCAACTCGTTCAGCTTGCCCGGAAGCTGCGTTATACCGCACATCGATTTCGAACGCAAAACAACAGTAACCTAGTAAAACGAAACGATGACCTCACCAAATTGTGAAACCGACATTGTGTCATATTGTTGGCAGTGTCATTATTAACAGGCCAGCAACACTGGACATGCATGATCAGAAAACAAAGTTATTTCATTCTTTAAGACTGACGTTGTTGCAAGAAAAAATTCAGAAACAACAATGACCACGAAGGAAGAAATCTAAAATGTAGCTACCGTAATATCCCGAGTCATCGCCCATCCCCGAGCCATCGCCCACCCCATTTTTTGGGCCAATATCGATTTCCGAAAAAACACCGAGTCATCGCCCACCCCTTCAAATACCCAGGCGCGGACTCCGCGATCCGCGAACACTCGTCCTACCCGAATGACGCGGCCGCGGACCTTACAGTTCGAGGACGTCCGTGACAAAGTAAAACAAAGGAGGGAAAGACACTTCTTTTTGTTTACCTCCGTGAGCGACCCCAAAGTGGTCGTGTATTCGTGCGAAAAGTAAACGATGGAGATAACAAAATAAGAGTTTGTTAATGTAACCGCGGAGTGTTAGGTCAAAGTCTGTCTCCGCCGAAGTAAGGTCACTGCGAACCCGCTCCTTCTTCCCGCCAGTCGCGACCGCGGTTGTGCAATAGTTTAGGCAAAGCCAACGCGTAAATAAAGCTTTGCTGGAACGCACTACACAGATGTTTGCAGAGCATCCCAACCGTGCATTGATAGCCCGCCGTGCACGGACGCACGTATGTACGCACCAAACAAGAAAGTTGCGCAAGAGCTTGCAATTGACAAGGCGCCCGACTTGGCCCGATGCCAAAGTATTTGCTTTCCCGCTTTCGCAGCATTGCTCTTGGTCGCTTCTTTGGTCCGCTCGCTCGTTGCGCCTGGTCGGTTTTTCTATTTTCTTGTAGACTTTTCTTTCTTTTTTTTTACTAACTAGGAGAACATAGTGGTGACATTCTTTCACGGAACAAATGTTCGCGCTATATGCAGATCGGCGGTGTTTCTAGCGCGTATGCAAGCAACGGACTTCGCTATAGTAAAATATTCTTTCGTGAGCATTTTTTTCTATAAAACAATGAAACTAAATCGAGTTTTGGGTTTGATGTATCTCTTGTGCATCAGCGCTAGATACGCAGAGAAAAATAGGCGGTTTTTTCCGCTTTTTTTCAAGTGTTTGTGCTCACCCACCGAGACATGGCCCACCCCACTTTTTTAATGAATTTCAGGTGGTAGGGGGGTGGGCGATGACTCGGGATATTACGGTATATTACGTAATCTAGTATATCAAAACATTGACATTACAAAGTTTGGAAACCAATGTTCCAGTCGACGTCAATACGTTGGCACATTATTGTGACCAAACAAGCAATACTGATATTAGATTTATAGCGATCAAATGATCAAACATAGGTAAGGTTGTAAGAAAAGAACCCAGCAATTCTCTCTATTTAGATACAGGCTCATCATGCAAATCAAACCCTTTCCATTCCCCAGCAGCTCAGAGCCCATCACGATAAATACAGCTTTAGCACGCCCAATCGTGAAGCTGACTTTGTCTTCGTACAGGCAGACAAACAGGAGCCCAGTCGTTGATGTTTGTTGTGCTCCTCTACACATAGTTCCAAGAAAATATTGGCATGCACGAAGAACGGCACATCTCAACTACAACAGCCCAGACTGCTTGCAACTCCAGTCTGAGCAGCAATATTTGATAGCAGGAACAGACCTCGGAAACTAGGATGTCCCTGACAAAAGCAGCAGCAAAAATAATCTCAACGTTCCATCTGAGCTATGGAACTCGGGAAATACACGTACAGTAGAAGTTACAAATGAGGATTTGCTGCTATATGTACACCGATGTGATGACAAAAACCCACCTGAACAACTAAATGGCCGATCAAACAAGGGATTCAAAGGAGTGAACGCTGCTAACCTGGGAATCAAACTCTATCAGGTAAAGGAAGACAACGTCCTCCCGCTTGGTACGGATGGCCGTGTGGAGCGGGTAGCGCGTCTTGGCCTTGAACATGCTGTACAGTAGCGGGGCACTCATATGTGCAAAGTCGTCACTCCCAAAGTCATTCTGAAAGGAAGCAGCAATGCAGGGGCTGACAAAACTTTTCAGACTGAACACAACAACTTTATTAGAAACAATGAAACCACAAAGTATCACTACTTCCAGTTCATTTATGCTGCTACACAAAGTTCACACACTATCCTCTGTTCAATATAAGCTAATTCTTGCTGCAAAGAGGCTGTAAGAGTCAAGCAGCAATCTACAAATGACCATAAAACAAACAAAAAAAAAGACCAACACTCTTGCACACTTGGGAAACAGCTTAGTACCACTCTTGCCTAGGTGGTAGGTAGATAAACCTATCCAGTTTGAGAGAAGGTTAACAGTAACAGTGAGGGCAAAATGTAAGTTAAGCATATCTCGAGCTTGTGGAAACTTGGGAATAGTAAACAAGTCAACGATACGAAGAGTATTCTGACTTCTCTGATTTAATTATAACTATGACAGAACCTCATTCATACACTCTTTCAAAAAACTGCAACAATAAGCTTATGATCCGGGAAAATGTAAAAACTGATAACACTTTTGCATAGGTGAGACAGAAATCAACCTTTGCACATCAATTTATTTCACATGGATTTTCATGGCTATAAAGAAGTACCATATTTATTCAAATCCTTGTCTAAATTTGGTTATGATCTACAGTGACGTCTCGTTAATATGAACCCTGTTAATTAATATGGACACCCCGCTATATAGACAAAATTTTCGAGAGCCGATCCATCCCCATACAATTTACCTCATTAATATAGAAGCCCTAAGTCTGGACTATAAACAGTTAGCTAAAAAGGAACAAATTGGGTAAAAGCATGCATTTTTGTCCTGTTTTTATGGACACAAGCATTTAAAAGATGGCCCATAAGCACTAAGAAAGAAAAAAAAAAAAGATTAGGAGAAACCACTCAGTAGAAAATGCACCTGTGAAGTAAAGTGCAGCAAAGTGCCTTGCAAAGCCTTTTATTATGGTTTGCTGTGTTCGATTTCTGAGCTACAATAAAGGGATACTGAACCGAAATATGGATTTCGCAAAATAAGGCCGCAGAAGCGTTGAACGGGATGCTACGAACTCCACAACATCACTCACACATCAATATCTCAAACGGATGGCTGTACTTTTGGAAAGGAAGGGAGCAATCAATAGAGGGCTATGATGTCATTGTCCCCCTGGAAGATTTGAGAATGAGGGGAAGCGGCTTCGCTTCTCTTCTCGCTTCGGTTCACCAGCTCGACGGGACGTAGCGAGGAGAGGGAATGAGAACCGTGACATGACTTGTCTCGTCGGCTGTGTTCAATCACGCACTTCTTTTCCAAAAATACGGCGATCCGTTAGAGATATCACATTATGAGTGATGTGTTGGGTTTTGCAGCGTCCCACCTATCCGTCTAGTCTTGTTTTGAGAGATTGAAATTCGGTTTAGTATCCCTTTAAAGATACATTTTATTTGCAGTCCATCTTGCAGTGGTCAATCTCGATTTTAAACACTTGCAGAGTTGCACGGGTGATGAAACTTAACAGGAGCAATGAGGTTTATTGGAGGCAAATTCGGTACATTACAGAGCTTGAGAAATAAAATGGTTGTGATATTGCACAGCCAAGACAAGACGGACAAGAAAAAGCTTACCCAATGGTTGGATATGAGCTCCGAACAGTGATGCTGCAAGTTCCGGGCGCCTATCTCGTCTGCCATCTGATAGTAGCGCACACAGTTCTTCACATTCACCGAAGACATCAGGGCCTCTTCGCACCTAGTGGAACCAAGCGAGAAACATTTCATTACCGTAAAATCCCGAGAGATAACCCACCTAACATCAAGAGCAATTCAGGTGAAAATATGGAGTGGCCTAACTTTAGGTGTAAAATGAAGAAACTTTTAAAACATTACTATTTTTAGGTCATGTTCCTTCCAAGCTTGTTATGGTGGCGAGGGGCAACGAAGCAAAGATGACTGTACTTCCCAGCTAGCAACGTTCGCTTATATTCCGCCATAGCTAACTAGCTGCATTTACACCGAGGTCATCATTGACCCCAATACTACTTATTACAAGGAGTCGGGTACCTTTCGGTGTTTAAAAAAAAATAGCAAATCAAGTCAAAAATAGGGGTGGGCTATCTTTTGGGAGTGGGGCATCTCTCGGAATTTTACGGTAGTTTGTTCTTTTATTGCATGCTCAAATTATGAGTGCCATACTTCTTCCTTTCCCCGTAAAATGAATGCAATAACTTGAAACTAACTGTTAATACAGCAAGCCTGTTTTATAAAATCTTGGCGAATGTTACTAGAGGTAGTATGTGCAAACAGCTGAACACAGATCCCTTTGCAGAACATACTAAAAGATGGACATAGAAATGAGCATATCTTTGTCCTTTCAGGACAAATATTAGAAGAGAGAAAAAATCTCCAGGAAAATGCAGACACCAGAAGCTGAAGGAAGCCTAAAAATAGTAATAATAAGAAAAAGCCAAACGAGTAGATGGTGATTTTAATCATAAGGCTCGTTGTTAAAATAGCTCAAAAAACATTGGTATCTACATATGACAATCTCAACTATTAATCGAAGATAAAGGTCTAGTGGTGCATTTTATCTCTTGTAATTTCGAGGTGTAGATCCATTTTTGTGAAATTTTGTGAGATTTCAAACGATGGGGTCGACTGAGATGACCGAGCCACACCGAGAGTGATGCGCAGATTGTGAAAAAGAGTCGATGTCACGTCTGCACTGACTACGTTATGTAGTGTACCTAAAGTACTATGTATTCACAGGAAACTTGTACATGAATATTTTTCTCTCGTTTCCCGAGTCAACATCCTTGCTGTGGAAGAATATTAGCAGTTCCCGCTTTCCTCCATTTGGGATGGGATGCAGAGGCTGTTTGTGCATGCCCACAAACTGCCCACCTGTTCATAAGGCTTTCAAGGGAAAACCTCTTGGCTGTCTTCATGAGGTTCAGAAGGAAGGTGTCTTCCAGCCCCAGTTCCATCTGGTCCGTGTACACCCATCGGAGCAGCACAAGACCCACGTCTGGCCGGATGTCTGTACAGAAACAGTCGTTGCATTCACCTTGCTCCGGGAGACGCGTCCGTGAAAACAAAACATGCACCGATAAAATTACATCAGACAATTGTCACCCATTGGGTAGTCCACACTTGGGGACAACTTTCTGTGGCTATAAAGCCGAAGCTATGGGCGGCCATGTGCTTGCATGTCTTAGGTGCTGATCAAAGCTGTGTATGCACATCCGTCATTTCTGAAATGCTACAGCTAGTTGTATCCAAGTATAGCATTACATTTAATCTTAAATGCAATGTGAAACATTAATATATGAATTAATTTCAGATAATGCTTCACTTCACCATAAATACCTCAAGTTGACCGAGTGTTGGTTGGGCTTGCTAACTGAAAACCAAGGTGAGAGAATTAAGGCGAGCATATGGTTTCCAGATGGATTTTTTTCACCCTGAAGTAGACTGGGTTTTATGGCAACTGTTGCTGTGGTAATGGAGTTAGCAAGTGGATGGACAGCAGCAAACTAGGTAGTAGCTATCAACTGTACATGCAACAGCACTTTCAGCAAAGGATTCCAAAAGGTTATCATTCAAATGTTAAATAAGTGGCAACATCAACCACATCAATACAGATTTTTCTTTTTTTGCTGCCTCCGTGGTTTTGAGGCAAAGTGTCGGCTTACGGTTCCCCAGGTGGCGGGTTCAAATCCCGGTTGAGGTGCCCGCATAATGACGGAAGCTTGTTGCGGAGAAAGCGCCGTGTAATTGAGATTTCGGTTGCACGTCAAAAGATCCCCGGGTTGTCGAAATTATTCCTCAGTCCTCCACTGGGGCGTGCCAGATGCCCTTTGTTGGTTTGGCACATAAAACTCACCTGTTTGTTGTTGTTGTCAATACCAATTTTAGATAGCATGCCCAGCAGAAAGAAAAGCTCTTCAAAACCTTTCTGGAACTAGCCCACTAAAATGCATGAATTTCTGCTTGGACCCTTTCTTCCACCACCAAATTATATGTTTCTTGGACATTTCCTTCAACTTTTATATGGGGCTCAAAAAGTGTGGAATGCACAAAACACATAATATATTAGAAAATGGCTTGTTAATTAATGTTACCTGTGAAGTCTAGAGTGTCCACATCAGCCAGGTTGCCCACCCCCCAGGTCTGGCTGCGACAGGACAGGACGAACCGGTGGGCACGGACGGTCCGTCCGTCTAGCTGAACTGTCAGGTCACTGCACAACAAATGTGCGAGACTGACTCAGGCTTGACAAATGAAGGACAGCTGGGGCACTTGTCCTAGCAGGCTCCTCCATGCAAGCCTCCCATGCATAAGACTTTCAGCATAAAGTGAGCATTTCAATAATTCTTAAAATCTTTAATCAGCTTCATATGATTGCTTTTAGCTTACCGAGGTAGAGCAATTTAACAGCTAGCTTCCATATGGTGTGGTCATGGCACTACGTATGACAGAAACTGACAATTCCGCCTCATGAAATGCGTTCCTGCTATTCTGAAGTTGACGAGCAACTGTAGAATAAAAAAACTCTCTCATCTGAACTGTGCACAAGGACACCAAAGCTTCGGAGTGGAAAGACATCACCAAACAGAAGTAAGGCACCTAGGGGGGGGACTGAAATTTAGTTGAAAAACGAATTCATATAAATAGAATAACCAGCTTTTAGCTCGAGGTATGCAATATTCAACAGTCATTTAAAAGTATGATCACCTTATTTCAATTTACAATTTACTCTCAAGTGCCATTCATACTGCACAAGATTCTAAGGCTTGTCAATTTAGTGGTTCCTTCAGCCGGAAACATTCAAACTTATAGATTATTGTCCAAATAGGTGCCTCATAAAAACCGCCTCTCAGCGTGACATTGTGGCGGGCAAGATCAAAACAGGTCAGGGCAGCTTGCCATCTGAAGGCTGCGAGTAATCATCCAGAATCCGGACTCCGCATACCCAATTATTTTCATTTTTGGAAAAATCAAGTGCAACCGAAATTTCACCATTCGTATCCAAGACCAAGATACGTCAGGTTTGACTCAAGAATGTCTTTCCTCTCCCTCTCCCTCTCTCTCTCTCTCTCCCCCCCTTCCCCCCCCCCCCCCCCCCCCCACCCCCGTACAGAAAAAACACAAGCTTCCCAATTGAACTGCAGGACGTATCTCGAGATTGTTTCCATGTCTGAGTTACAGAGATTGGGAGACTCCAACTATCCTTGCTGGCACAACATGGTTGACACCTACAGTCAGTGACAGGCTAAGAATTCGGTAGATGCCTCGGCACAGCATGGCCAGTGCGAGCTTTTGGCCCTTGATAACACTACGGAGTGCGTTCAGTCAAAGTGCGACAAAAGGCAACGAGTGCGTGCCGGAGACGGAGCTTCTACTAAATTCTTAGCCTATAATAAAATCCAGCTTGGGGAAGAACAGCGCGAAGTGTGTCCCCACCTGTAGAGCTCCTGGTCGAAAAGGTTGGCGACCGTCTTGAGCAGCCGGGACACAAAGCTGTCCGCGTCTGCGTTGCCCGAGGCCGCCACGGCCACGTTGTACTTGCGCTCCACCTCGGCATGGCGGGCCTGTAGCTTCACGTACTCTTCCCGCAGCAGAGACAGGTGACGCTGCAACTTGGCCACCTCTGCACATCCACGCACAGGGCAAGGAATTATTTACACTGTAGGATACAGAAGCATTTCAGAGAAGGCAGAAGAGAACAACATGCTTTTTTTGAGGCTAGAAAGGATTCAAAGGCGTTTTTCAAAAAATTTGCGGCGATGCATAAGTTGGATTGCACTCAACCACAAGAATTGAGTCAATTGACTCAATGCTTCACATCATAATCAACAGCACTGCACAAAGTTACCACCGTTTCATGTAACAAAGACAAAAATATAAAAAGACAGTACGAGGCACAAACACCAGCAAAGTATGGGTGCGGGATCAGGAAATCATTGCACTGATGGCCCTACCACAAGCGATAATACTATGTGCCAGCTACCTGTTACACGCCGCACAGCATTTAAACGAAGCTTATGCACAAAATTTCTATATCAAAGAACTGGCTTGAGCACAAAGCACTGGAGGCTGAGGCTGGTAATTATTATTTTTTTTTGCTAGATCCTTACTTATTTTTTTGCTGCGATTGCGTGATATGGAGGTTTAAGCCATTACAACCTAATCCAATCCAACGACTATAGATGGTATAGCACAGACGTACCCGTGGCCATGCTTTGCCAGACTGACTGTTAAAAGGGACCTTGTGTACAACAGCGAGCATAAGCGCACACTTGTGCCAGCACCTTTTTGATGCTTTTTGTGAACTTCAAGATCGGAAAAGGGTAGAAAACTCAGTTAGTTGGCACTGCACCGAATATGTTCAAAAGGCGACAGAAAAATGAGGGCAAGAAAATAAACAAACAAAACCAACAAGCACTTTATTTTGTCATGTATGTTCTTTTTCTCATCTCGTTTTTTTACAGGGGAGCTGTTAAGGGCTAGCTTCCCCAGGATTGCGTCCGTCCTCAAAGAAATGTTGACACAACACTCTGGTTGTCGCCGTAGCTCATAGATGCCGGTAACTGTCCAGAGTGTTGCGTTTGCCGAATATCTGTTTGCCACCGTCGCTCATAGATCGCGTCAACCTTTCCAGCCTCGGCAACCAGACGACTGGTTGCTGCCGTCGCACATAGATGGGCATTTTATGGTACTATAGGGCGTACAGGTTTAACTTGCATAGCTAGAGGCGATAAGGAAATTTAAGGTCTGACCAAAGGATATCAAAAATCGTTTCACCAAAAATCAGGGCGCAGCCGACGCCAAGAGCCGATGGGGCCAGTCCAGGCAGCGCCAAAGATGCAACGTTCAATGTTTGTTCACTTTCTGCCACTATGTTACCACCGACTACTTACACCAATCAAGCACAGTGATTGCACTGTGACCCTGTGCTTTTAGTGCTTTTAGTCTAAGCGTTTGTGCTTGAGTGTGTCCTAGCCTTTGACTGTGCTCAGACATATTGTGAAACAAAGCATGTCTTCTGTTTTTGCACAGCTTGGCAAGCAGGAAAAGCTATGGCCCCGTGAGCCAATTAGAGATACAGAGCAATTATTAAGTGCCCCACTCTGACACACTGAATGGTTTGCTCGTTCGCAGTGTGCATACTTTGTCACACTCTGCTAAAATGAAGTATAGAGCAGTAATGTAGACAGTTGGGTGAGTTGGTATAGATTGAGCATAGTTACAGTTGCGCACAAAAGGACAGGGACAGAGACGACGAACACGCAGACGACAGACAAGCGCACACTCACAACTTGTGGATTGACAAAAGAGGAAAAGAAAGACGTACAAAAAGCAGAATCAGCTCGAGCGTTGGTTACACAGGCCCAAAGGACCACAGGCCCGAGGGCCCGCAAGCTCGAGGGGTACATGTAAAGTTACCCACACGAAAAATATATTTAAAAAAGCCAATTCCTCCTCTGTTAATGAAACAGACAGATAATAGGAAAACACCAAGATAATAGGCAGGTACTAGAAAAAAACACACCAGAGAAAATTTTTAAGCTGTCATTATCCAAATCATGGGCGAGCGATGTGTCAGCTTTCCGTCTGTTTCATTAAAGGGGCCGCCCCGCAATTACTTTTTTGCTGGTTTTTAATTTGCACCGAACCTGAGCGCACTAAACGTAGTAACTTAATGAAAAATTTTTTTCTTGAACTTCGCTTTATTTTAAAAGTTATATTCAAATTAAAATTACAGAAACAAGCAAAAACAACCGCATCTCCACGTGGTGAATGATGTTGATTGGGGCAAAGCTCTGGTGGGGCTTGTCTGCGTAGACGCTGAGCCGCAGCATGCCGAGCCTTTCGTTCGTTTTCATCCATGTCACGCTGCGGTCCAATGCTCAAATGCGTATATAACCACGTTGCATACCACACATTCTCTTTCTGACATGGATGAAAATGAATGAAAGGCTCGGCATACTGCAGCTCAGCGTATGCGCAGACAAGCACCACCAGAGCTTCGCCCCAATCAACATCATTCACCACGTGGAGATGAGGCTGTTTTTTTTTTGTTTTTTTTTTTGTTTTGCCCTACACGAGCACAGGAGCACGTGCTCACGTGCTCGTGAGCACGAGCACCCGACACCGGACATCGGACGGACATACGGACATCGCTAGCTCCTCCCTAAGGAGCTTTGCCCCTAAAAAATAACCTCCTTCATGACGTCCTTGGTTGCTTGAATGGCCGTAAATTATAGGAGGGGTAGTGAGCTCAGCAAGCGCTCACGGCTGCCGCACTCCATGCTGACGGCTCGAGAGGGCGCCACTAAAGGTTGTGCTGGATAGGCTATATAAAGTGGGCAGCCAGGGTGGGTCGCATTGCATTTGCAGCGCGATTAAACACTAATTCGGCAAGACACTTCATTGGCCACAAGCGACAGCAAACACGGGGTAAAGATCAGTACAGAACAAGAGCCACTTCGCACTGCCTTACCGCGAAACGGCCAAACATGCGCCGAAGGCCTTCGGAACGCTCGGAAACCGGTCGGATCCTGGAGTCCGTAAACGACCGCAGCGCCGCCGCGTACATCCAGGACTTTTCTACGCTTGTTGCTCGTCGGAGCCTGATCCCACTATTTTTTTCTGGTATGCGCCACCTTTTTTACCGTTTGGTGGCGGGTATGTCGACGGGTCATTTCTGGTTTCCGGACTTTCTAAACTGCATTTGTTTCTTTTCTGATCTAAAATACTAAACAAAAACTACTTTCATGAAGAATTGAAACGGTTCGTGCCACTTATATTTTGTATTTTGACTAAAAAGAAGCTTTTAGCGGCTCTGACCAGTAGTAAGCCCAGGACCAAAAACCTCACATTTCGCACGCTTTTGGTACCGCAGGTCGCCCCCGTAGGAGGAGGAGATTTCCGCGACGTCCGGTTAAAATATGACGCACTTATATTTAGTTTCTCTTTCCGTGCCCGCTGGCTTGCCCGAACCCCAAGAGACGTGGAAACCGCAAAAAAGGTAGACGCTTAAATAGGATTGCAGGGCCCCTTTAACAAAGGAAGAAATGGCCTTTTTAAAACCTTTTTCGTGTGGGTAATTTTACGTGTCCCCTTCGAGCTAGGTGGGCCCTTGAACCTGTGGTCCCTCGTGTCTGTGTGGAAAATGCTCGAACTAATTCCATGTTCTGAACCTTTCTTTTCTTCTTTCGTCAATACATGAGTTGTGAGTGCACTTGCCTGTCGTCTATGTGTTGCTCTTCTCTGTCCCTGTTCTTTTGTGTGCAACTGTAAGCAGTATAGAGGTCGGCTGTCTAGAAATAAAGCATGGTGAAACGAGATATCTAGGGAAGCTAAGAACATAGCCACCGCTTATTGATCCAGACAGCTGCGACGACAGGAAAGGGGCAAGAAAACAGTCCCCCTTTTTTCACCATGCTCGCCCAGTCTTAGCTAGCTGCAATGAGAAGATACTTGAGGGAGGCTTATGGGGCTTCAGCCCCGACCGAAACCCAGCCGACCCTATAATAATAACATGTATTTTGACTTCCCACGTTCCCCCTTCTTCACCCCTACCCCCTAACCCCCCCGCCCCCCTCCCAAAAAAATTCCTGGCTACGTCACTGCATGGGGTAGTGCCTAATATGAGAAATATGTGCACTGAACAGACAAGGACAAACTGAAAACGGTGGAGCAACATTTTAAGCGGGCACCCTTTGTCGAGCAATTTTCTTTCCACTTGTAGTTGGACGGAAGGCTACAGACAGAAGCAATGTCGTAAATCGACGTCATTTCTGGCAAGCTTAGCAACCACGGAATCTGCATCTGATTAAAAGGGATAGGTGGGCTACATAATAAAGTGCCAAAATATTTAACAAAGACGAAAGGGCATGACACTTTGAAGAGATCTTACATGTTCACTCATATTTCCATATATTGCATTGTCTCAGAACCACCGTGACTGTTGCCAGCAGTTCATTGTTGTGTCTGAAGTTGAGTCAGATTCTGAATTTAACAACAGCTAAAGCTTCCAATTGTGTTTCACATCATCAGAACAGGTGTTTGTCGATTCCATTGTTGCCAACTTGATGGTGAAGTCATTGCCTCGATTCTCTGGTCAGTCACCATGCCAGGTCATAATATAATTATTTATACTGTAGGATATGAACGCATTTCAGAAATGCTCGAAAAAAACATCATGCTTTTCTGGGTAGTGAGGGTCCAAAAGCGTTGCCAGGCGCAATTGCGACGATGCATACAGTTGTATAGTATTCAACCACTCGATTCTTCACCTCATAATCAAATATTAAATCTGTTACACTACATCACACCAAGTTACAGCTGTCTCATACTACAAATCAAAACAGAATAAAGACAGCACGAGTCACAAACGTATTAGCAAAATTTCTTAGTAGGATCAGGAAGTCATCGCATGAACGACTGATGGCTACTGCAGGCGGTTAATAACGTTGGTTAATACCGTGTGTCGGCTACCTGTTATCCTGTTATATGCCTTCGGCATTTACGCGAAGTTTATGCGCAACATTTCCGAAGTCAAAGTACAAGCACGAGATCGCGTGCTACCGTTTCTTCTTTCGTTACTTTCTTCTGCATAACGAGGGTGGTTGTTCGCAGGAAGCGATACAGAAAAAGAGGCGGAGACGACGACCGCCAAAGTCGAGCTTCGTGGACTACGCCCGCTTATCACGCTCTAAAGGGCGGCTTTTGATTTCAAACACCAAAATCTTGACGCGGCAGGAGGTACGCAAGATTCACTAGAGGCGTGTAAACTAGTCACAAGGCTTGCTGGCGCCGGCATTAGCAGCGGATTTTAAAACACTTCGCACCTGTGTGCTATGCTACGAGGGCGAACCGCGTGAAGGAATGCGACTTTAAACGAGAAACCCGTTCGTGATTACCGCAGGTGCTAGCTTGTAACTCTGCCAGGAAGGAACATGTGTGCCGCATATCCTTAATGAGCTGAGAAGCGATGACGCACGAAATTGAATCGAGAAAAACGTTGAGTACTCACCCCCTTCAGCCATCACAACTGTGCGACCACAACCGCCCTTTTCTCTGACAGGTGTCACCAGAGTCGTTCATCATCATCATCATCAAGTCGGGTACTTGTTTCGGTTTCGCTTACGCACAGAAAGAATCAAGGTATCGGTATACACGTATTTATTTCACGATTAGTTAGATAGCTGCACATACGACAGTGATCTTATGTCTTGTGAGTTGCTGGGGTGAGAATGCGCTAGCGCTAGAAAAGCGACAGTGATGCGCGAGGGGCAAGCCTATCCTCAAATACGATATTTGCTATCCTTTCAAGAAGTTCACACGTTGTACAGCTATCAAATCATGTACTTGTCGTTGCTATACGACGGGATGTTGGAGTCTCCGGCTGCAGCGTTGTGGTGAGACACTTCCATCGACGTAACGTGTGTCGAGGCCGCTCTGCTCGCCACAAGACGTCGCGTGCGTTCCCAGCAGATTCCGCTGACGCACACGGCGATGCAGACAATCAGGATGACCAGGAATGAGGTGGCCATGATGAGCGGCATGGACCTCTTGGTAATGCCCTTGGAGTTCTTGTTCTCATGTGGCGGGTCGTCAGACTGCGAACCATAGGTATAGGAAAGGCCGTAAGTGTCACTCCGTGACGGGTGGTAGGTACGGCCAAGGTTGCGAAAGTTTGCTCGGGCTTCGCGCATCCCCCGACACGATATTGATATTTCTTTATTTAACCCTTTAGGAGAGTTTGGGCACCAACCCTAGCAGCACATATGTCCTATTCACATCCACAGGACATCCCTGGAACGTCGGGACATCCTAAGGACATCCGGAGGACCATGTGTGCTCCTTGGGACAGAAGACCAGGGGCCCGTACCCGTAGGTCTGTGGTACCATACAAGACATTATACACACACACTCACACAAATAAAGAAATAAGAATGGAACTGAAATGGGAAGGGAGGGAGGCAAGCGTGGCAGTCTAGTAGGCGCGGTCGCTCGTATGTGTGTAGGTAGGCGTAAAAGAACCAATCGCGGTTGAGGGCCGGGCGGCCTTCTATGTGCGCAAAGGCTCCCGATTGGCTCCCATCACTCCTCCATATCCGCTGATCACCCGCAGATATCCGCTGTAAACTGGCGGATGCGGATAACTCAGAAGCAGACTTGGTGGATTGTGGATCGCATGCGGATGCCAGGGGCTGCGGATGCGGACCGAATGTGAATATCCGCCGGTCTGGATCAACGTTGGATTGGGAACAACCGGGACAACTCTTCTTGGCATTTCAGAGGAGGGGAGACGGCACGCGTACCCTCTCCCATTTTGACTGCATGTTTTGCGGGAGCAAATTACTCGCTTTAGACTTTGGAGCGTTCTATCACGCCTAAAATGCAGTCCATAGGAAAAGTAAAAAATGCAGGGGCATCAATCGTCCTGGAAAAGCGTGTTCTTGTTTTGCAGGCAAAAAGCGGAAAGCGTTCTTCGGGCAAAGACCGAAAATGTGCAAGCCACATGAAAGTAGAAGAAGCCTCATCGACAAGTAAAACTTGGCGTGTGTGCGCACGCGTTTTGCTGTCATCATTGATTATTGTCATATTTTCCCATTGTCTTAGTACAAAGTGTAAGCCCCCCCCCCCCCCCCCCCACACACACACACACATGTAGAAGGTTTTTTTTTTTTCTTTTTAAAGCGCAGCTCTTAGGCGCCCTCTTCCGGCTTGAGCGGCGTCGCCGTCGGCGTAAGCGCGGTGCATTATGGGTGTCACGTGACCTCGGGAGGTCACGTGACACCGGGGGCGGGGATCACGTGACCCTTTTTCCCCGAGGTCCTCCCGAAGGAACCCGAGGTCCTTCGGGAGGACCTCAGGAGAATCTCGGGTTCCTTCGGGAGGACCTCGGGTTCCTTCGGGAAAACCTCGGGAGGACCTCGGGTTCCTTCGGGAGGACCTCGGGAGAACCTCGGGTTCCTTCGGGCGGACCTCGGGAGGACCTCGGGTTCCTTCGAGAGGACCTCGGCGAAAGAGGGTCACGTGATCCCCGCCCCCGGTGTCGCGTGACCCCCCGAGGTCACGTGACCCCTTTCTCAGGTCACGTGACCTTCCCGAGGTCATGTGAGGCCTTAGGGTCACGTGACCCCCCGAGGTCACGTGACCCCTCCCCCCCCCTCTGAGAACACGTGACACTCAGTACCCTTCCCTCCTCTTCCTCAAGAGCTGCGCTCTAATTCGGCGTTACAGGGATTTGTAAATGGCTTTCATTTTTTTAGAGCGCAGCTCTGTGGTGCCCGTTTCCGGCTTGAGCGGCGTCGGCGTCGCCGTCGGCGTAACCGCGGGGTGCATTATGGATAAACCCTGCTAAATCTAGCGGAAAAATTTCCCCGCTAGCGGAAAAATTTTCCCACTAAATTTAGCGGAAAAATTTCCCCCTAAATTTAGCGGGAAAATTTCCCCGCTAAATCTAGTGGAAATATTTCCCCGCTAAATCTAGCGGAAAAATTTTCCCCGCTAAATTTAGCGGAAAAGTTTTCCCACTAAATTTAGCGGAAAAAGCCCCGCTAAATCTAGCGGAAAAATTTCCCCGCTAAATCTAGCGGAAAAATTTCCCCGCTAAATCTAGCGGAAAAATTTCCCCGTTAAATCTAACGGAAACTAGCGGAAAAATTTCTCCGCTAAATCTAGCGGAAAAATTTTCCCGCTAAATCTAGCGGAAATATTTTCCCGCTAAATCTGGCGGAAAATTTTCCCCGCTAAATCTAGCGGAAATATTTCACCCTAAATCTAGCGGAAAAATTTCCCCACTATATTTAGCGGAAAAAGTTCTCCGCTAAATCTAGCGGAAAATATCCCCGCTAAATCTAGCGGAAAAATTTCTCTGGGGGGTCACGTGCCACAACCAGGTCACGTGACCCCCCCCGAGGTCACGTGACCCCACGGGATTTTGGAAAGAGGGTCACGTGACCTTTGTGGCCTTGGCTCCTCCTCCTCAAGAGCTGCGCTCTAATTCGGCGTTACAGGGAGTTGTAAACGACTGTCATTTTTTTTTATCGGAAAAATAAATTATTTATTGTTAAACGCTCATTTTCCACCCCCATGTAGCGCTAGAGGTCCGAACAGGATGCCAAAGTTTCAGCTCTAACCATTATCTTATTCAAAATATAAGTGATTTTCTCACATTTTCAATGGGCAAATGTCCAAAAACGGGCGAAAATGGATTCCCATTGAAAAAACGAAAATAACAACTTTTGAATAAGATATCGGTTCGTGCTAGAACTTCGGCATCAGAGGCCAGATTGACGAACATCTTCTTAGGCTACGACAACTGGTTCGGACCTCTAGCGCTACATTTGGGTGGAGAATGAGCGTTCGGCGATGCATCTGTTATTTTCGCAATTAAAAAGACACTTTTTTTCTTTCTTTTTTTGCGGGGGGGGGGGGGGGGGGGGGCACGTTGTACATTTAGAAAACTTTTACTTGAAGTGCATTCTCTCAGTATAAACTCGTACTTTACCTGACGTATTTTTTCTGATACTTTTTGAGGAAAGTTCAACTTCCGACATCCAAGTACATTCCCCAAATTTGGTCTTGTTAAATATGTGTCAAAAATGACGCTTTGTCAACAAATAAGTGCTGTATAATTTCAATGAGTTAAAAGTTCGTCAAAGAGAGTAAAACATCTACACGGTGGCGACTTGACTTTATCCAATATTCGCCGCCATTTCCGAAAATAACTGATGCACCCCCGATCACCCCCAGGGCAATGCACACCCGTTTAAAAACACTGCATAGCGGAATGAAAGGGCATCATAAAATAATATTCGTAACGAGCGTGTTGATTTAAGAATTCATCTCGCGGAAATAATAAAACGGGAAGAGGACTAAACACAGATTGTGTTAAAGACATACTTGTATTTAGTACTTTGAATTTATAGTACTTTACTTCTAGTACATTGTGCCCGGTGTACTTATCTAGAACATTACTTGAAGTACATAACCTATCATTTACCTTGTGCTTTACTTCAAGTACTTTTAAGATGTACTTTATACGCAACACTATTTTCTCAGCGGTGACTTACCACGTATAAACGATCGTACTCCGGTGCGGTGACCAGTGTCCGCCTTTCCTCTCCCACTTATTTATTGCTTGACCCAGAATAAAATTACAGAATGTTATTTATTTCAATAGTGAGAAAATATCCGTCTGCATTCTCTGGGTAGAGTGTCGCAAACTCTCAGGACGATCTCACAACTGCGCGACAAACTTTCCAGCGTCGCGAAAGTTTCTTTTGAAGGAACGATTGTTTAACATAAATAGAATGAAACCGAATACGATAAAATTACTTACAGCGTATTCTAACTTGAAGAGTTCTTCGTGCAAAAAAGAAAACGGCTTTTAAGGTACCATCCAGACGCTTCTTTTTGACATTCACGTTTAATATCATTTTTACGGTTTTTTTTTTTTTTTTAAGCTAACAGAATTGTTTAGAAAAAGCCACTAAAGCTACACTTATGCGGTTTGTGCGGTTGAGTTATACGGCCAGGGGGACATAGTATAGGGGGGCTAATCGTAACTATCAGTCAGCTAATTAAGTAAAATGTGTTAATTATTTTTTTGAATTTGTGAAAATAGACATATGGTTCTTTTTTAGAAATACTTTGAGCGCGTGGGAAGCGTAGTAGTGCGCTAAAGGTACCACTCGTGCAGCAGGTGCAAGGCTGGGGCCAGATAGAGACGGAAAAATTGCGCGAGCGCGTTATTGCATTGGTATAGCCTTGCTTCGGCCTGCTCTACGAGTGGTAACTTTAGCGCACTATACTGCGCTTCTCACGCGCTCAAATCTCTAAAATACTGATTTGGTGGTTTTCGATGACGCTCAGCAAGTATCTAATTGGAACCATATGTCTCTTTCGACTAATTAAAAAGTTAATTAATTTGTTTACTTAACTAGTCGACTGATCGTTACGATTAGCGCCCAATACTATGTCCCCCCTGGCCGTATAACTCACCATACACAAACCGCATAGGTGTAGCTTTCACGGCGTTTTATAAACAAATATGTTAAACATGAAAAAAAAAAAGTATAATTGATATAACATGAGTGCGCGGATTGCGGGTCGGATGCGGTTCGGATGCAAAGCATGCGGGTGCGGATTGGATGCGGATCGGATTCGGATGCAATAGGGAGTTTCTTCGTGGACCGTTCTCCCACCTCCGCTACGCTCTCCGGAACGATGACTCAACTACTGCGCTCGTGTGGCGCTAGCCTTGCCTGCAGAGTCCCGTATCTAGTAGCGGGTTGCGGAGAACGTTGCGGGACAGCGGAAGACATCTACGAAAAATCCCTAATAACCTAAGAACATTGTGGATGCGGTTCGGGTGCGGATAAAGGTCTGTGGATATGCGGATCGAATCCGGATGATCAAACTGTTATCCGTGCTGGGCTCGATAAAATGGGAAACATTTGCAATGCGATCCGCAAGGAGGTGCCGAAGGCGTTGATCGTCTGCAAACGACTACCCTCTGCTTTCCTCCTCGTTACGCGAAATGCAGCGCATGCTCACTTGTAACCAATCTCCGCAGGAAACGTCCGCCATTAAATTTCAAACACTCCCCGTGGTCTGAGAGTGACCCTTTCATCAATTTGGCTCTCTCTCTACAAGGTGAAACAAGGAGACGCAAGGCTCTTTAAATCGACCGGAAAATTCGGTTTCTTAACCTATCGCGCTACGACTATGTGCAGGGTTGCCCACAGATGGTGCATTTTTTTTTGTGAAATTTGCGAAGAGCGAACTTTCCTGAGGAAAAAGTAAAGAAAGAAAAAGGCTTAGCTCCTATGGAAGCGCAGCGACGGCACCGGTCTGCAAACAACACGGCGCCATTTCGCACGGGAGACAAAAAATGGCGCAAGCGGTCGCGACGCCAACTGCCGCCAACGAACGAGCAGACGACGCCGAGAGCCGGCCCTTTTGCAGACAAGGAACTGCAGTTTCTTGCTGTTACCGCGCCTATCTTTTTTTGTTTGTGCGACTGTCGCCGCCTGCGGAACGCGCGCCGCTTTTGAGTCGAAAAGATCGTCTGCTAAAAAGGCCTGCTCTCGGCGCCGTATGCTCGTTCGTTGGCGGCGTTTGTTGCGCCATCTCTTGTCTCCCGCGCGAAACGGCGCCGTGTTGTTCGCAAACCGGTGGAGTCGCTCCATTTCCATAGGAGCTAAGCCTTTGTCTTTCTTTACTTTTTCCTCAAGTAAATTTTCTGTTTGCAAATTTTACAAAAAAAAAAAAAAAAAAAGCACAATCTGTGGGCAACGCTGCACAAAGTCGTAGCGCGATAGGTTAAGAAACCGAATTTTCCGGTCGATTTGAAGAGCCTGGCGTCTCCTTGTTTCACCCTGTACATCGACCTACATTTACCTCGACCTAGGGAGGCTCAAGTGAGGGTGGGTGCAACTGCTAGATCGGGGATCACGGGATAGGGACGCCATTTAATTGCTAAATTTTCTTTCTTTCTTTCTTTCTTTATTGGTTTTCCATTTCATACAGAATGGAGGAGGCCGAGGAAAAAAGCTACAAACGCAGCTTGTGGGGCCCTCGGCCCCCTTTAAATGATGGCAGCATTGGACTCACAAAACACTCACACACAGTAACAAAACACTTCCTGGTCGATCAGATTCACTCATTCGATACAGCTCCACACATTAGTATACAGTTGCAATTTAACATGATTAGGTCGGGTAAGGAACACAAAACAATTCTAGGAAATAGCTCGTTTAGTTCGGAAATAGCTCGAAATAGTTTGCTGGGAGTGTACGGGACAAAGGGTCGTTCTATTTCCTAACTCAGGTCATAAGAGCCCATTAAAGTGATTGAATAATTTACGTAAGGTATAAATGATTACTTTTCCACAGCAACCAGTTTTGTACCAATAGGTTAAGTATTTGTTTAACGCGAAAAATGGAAAATTCCGCCATCTTGGACGCTGCTGCTCGTCTGGCAACCCTGCTTCCTCCTCTCGACGTACCAGGACTGTCTTTTGTACGATGCAGTACTGTGCATGAAATCAGAGGTTCAATCAGAATTTGAAATTCGACAAAGAAGCGCAGGCAGATTCATACTGGGAGCACACGGAAGAACACCAATCGAGGGAGTACAGGGGGACATGGGATGGTCGTCTTTTGAGACAATTAGTAAGTTGAAATTTGAACAAAGGTTGGACCGAAATGAATGATATGCGGTGGGCACGGCAGGTATTCAAGTATTTATACATGAAAAGTTTAAACACGAAATGGACAAACCGAACCCGAAAGCTTACATTGAAATACCTACACACTGGTGATGGGGCTAAACAGACTACTTCAGTGAAAAAAAAAACAAAACAAAAAGGGGGGGGGGGGGGGGGGGGGAGAGGCAGAGAGGAAAATGTGGGAAAGAAGAATGCAGGACAAATCAGCTCTAACAGTGTACAGGTCACGAAAACAGGACATAATAAAGGAAAATGTGTTTGACAATTCACTGGGAAGCTCTTTGGTGTTCGAGGCGAGAACGGGAGTTTTGAGGGCGAGGACGTATAGGCTTATTTTTTTTATTTAGGAGACACCAGCTGAACAACAAGTTCAGCTGGTGTCTTCTAAATATGTGTAACCAACGTGCTCAACTCTTTCCGGTGACGTATAGGCCTAAATTTCCAGAAACAGACACATTATGTGCTGCCTGCCATAATGATAGCGAGGCACTAGACCACGTGGTTTTGAAGTGCACGAGGCTTCGCCCTGCCCCCCCTGAAGGGGTAACGGATTTGGCCGGGGCCCTGGGTTTTACTGGCGACGATGGAAGGACGGAAGAGAAAAGGATTACAGTGACAAAGAGGCGATCAGAAGATTGGTGGAAATTATCTAGGGAAAATTATATGATGGACAACTAACTAGCACAGCTGGGGACATGCGAGACAGAGTAAAATTGAGACTCCCTCCCGCGTGGCTCCGGCCCAAAGTCTCAACCCTGTCCCCCAGTGGGTCCGGTGCTGGGGTAACGCCGACAAGGTTTGACCAGAGGAAAATTGGCAACTTCCTCGCCGGGGGGAAGAGGCAGGGGGATGGTGTTTTTAGTTCTTTTGCCCGATCCCCCGAAGGTCATCCTAATTATATCCCGCACTGCCTGGTGATAGTTAGGAAGAGAAAATTGGTCTTAGAAGGGCGGGAGGAATTATATAAAGTTTCTGTGTTTTTAGACTTAGGCTAGGTGGCGCAAGCTACCGCCAAAGACAAGGAGAAAACATTCTCTTAGGCGGAAACGCGGAGACAAGGAAAACGACAGGGAGTTAGCAACAGGATTTGGTTGCTCGAAAGAATGTTCACGTTTGCTCGTACCACGCGACGCCCACGCCACTTCACACCGAAAAACTCGGAAAATGGTGTAATGTAAGAAATATATTTAAGATAGTGAGTACAACATACTCGGAATTGTAATTAAAATAGAGTATCAAATACTCTCGATCAAAAGTATCTGCAAGATACCAAGATACTTCAAAAGGTATTTAAAATACAGTATCTTGAATAGAGTATTTGAGATAGGCACAGGTCTGAGTAAAACCCCAGTTTCGGGTAAAGTCACTGTTGTCAACCCTCTGCCGCGCGGTGGCGTCACTACACTCGGCGACAACTTTTCTTGGCAAGGCAGTGGAGAGGAGGAGAGCCAGCGCATAGCTTTAGTCAGCGCTCAAAATGGGAGAGGGAACGCGTGCCTGTAACTCCACTGTATTGCCAAAAAAAGCCCCCCCCCCCCCCCCCCCCCTCCCCTTCTTCTTGTCACGGCACTGCTGCCGCGACTCCCAGCTTATTTTTCTTTTTTTTCAGGGGGTTGAGACATGATGAGATCTTTGAAGCTGTTAATTTGGACGGTAAAAGCACCACGGCGCACTTGTTCAACAGGTTCTACGAAAAAGACATCCCGTGACCATGCAAAGACCACCTTGAAATAGTAGTCGTAGGCTATCTCGAAGCCGGCAGCCTTTCGGACGCGCTTCTCCCCGAAGACGCGGTATGCACCGGTGTCGTTGAGCAGTTGGCCAGCGGTCAGCAGGACGATCCTGCCCGCTTTGCCGGCGGACGCCACGGCCAGGACATCGGACCCGGTGCCCTGCTTGGGTCCCGGCCGAGAACTCGAGACCGCGGCGGAGGCGTCGCTCGCGTTACTGACCGCGTCGAAGGCCAACAGTTGCCGACGCCAGGCCAGCTCAGCCTGCGGGGATGCCGCATCTGGGCCAACAGCGTCTGGAAAGAATCAACAGGCGCCGAAACGCACATGAACAACAACAAAAACTAATGCCGTAAAAAACACACACACACACGCACACGCACACGCACACGCACACACACACACACACACACACACACACACACACACACACATATATATATATATATATATATATATATATATATATTGGTGCGATGCTTGTAATATCGGGAAGCTATCGTACATGACTGAACCTGAACCAGGTAAGGTAAAAGAAGACGCATAGAAAGACAGACAACACTCGTGTTGTTCAACGCGTCTTCCTTTTTCTTCCTTGCCTCAGGTTCAGTTATGTCAAGCACTCACTAACTTGCACGAGCGCGCACCCTCCTTTGAGCTACGGAACATTTTGAGACGCTTGTTTGGCAGTTTTGCCAAACAAGGCAAAACTGCAACCGTTTGCTGGCATGTGTCCATCATAACTGTTGAGAAGCCTGCATCCTCACGCCCAAATTCAATAAGAAAGTTGCGTAATGACAACACACCTCTGATCTCCGGCTGTTTCCCTACATGTAGCAGCCCTGATCAAAAGGGGTAACCCGTCTTCACGAAAATGATGTCACTTGGGGAGATCCCTGCCGTAAACTTTACTGCGCCCCCGCAGCCTCTAACGAATTACTCCGAATGACGAAGTGTATTCGTTTGTCCGTCTGCAAAATATTTTACAAGGATCAGATATGACGCCCATTGAGAATGACGTGATCACCGGGTCATGAACTTACACACAAAAAAAAGAGCAAACGAAAAAGCTCCAGATTTTTCCTTAGAGCATGCGTTTTAAAATCATTTCTCTTTTTTTTTTGCCCTTGTTTTTTAGCGTAGGATGATAATGATGAACAACCAACTTGCCCACCATAGCCATCTTGAAATACACAAAAGCAAAAAAAAAACAAAAAACAAAAAGAAAACGACAGAACATCGTAAAAAAATAAATAAAACGGCATTGGTGATGAGGTTTGAAACAAAACATTTTCGGAGCTTCTAAACACGTAAATAAGCTGTGTCAAGAAAAAAAAAAAAGCATTCAAAATTAAGCATTGTTATCACGAACAAGGAAGGGGGTAACCTAGATAAATTAGTATTGTTACATTTTTAAGAATATATTTTTCAGGTGCGGAGGAAACGACAGGGACAAACACGACTAGCGAGGAACGATACCGAAAACTGCTCAAACATTTTTGCTTTCTGTCTTGTTTCGTTAAAAACGCTGTAGGCACAATATCTGTTTATCAGTGAAGGACATGGAGAGAATATCTTCACATTACTCCTATTTTTTGATATGGCAGAAGCAATCGGTTCGCGTTATCGGCGTAAGAAGATAGCGAAGTCAAGACATGCCGATCGCTGACATCATATGAAATAAAATCAAAAGAAGGAATGGCAAGGACCATTTCAGAACATATCAGCCTATAAAACCCGTCAACGAGCTTGCAAGAGTGTTGCTCTTGAACCCGACAATCCAACAGATGCGGAATTCAAGATATCTATTTCCACGATTTTTCTCCTCGCAACGCAGCCGCGGGAGTTGCACTAGAAACGTTTCCGTCGTTGTCTTTCGAACGAACTTTATCTGTCTCCACTAAAAACTCGATTACAAAAAGGAAGCCATAGATTAATGCGTTCTCTCTACTAATGTGTATATATATATATATATATATATATATATATATATATATTTTTTTTTTTTTTTTTTTTTTTACGGTTGTGTGAGTTGATGTTTGCCATTGTCTGAGAGCCGATGACAACTTCCCAATCCTTTCTTTCCTTCTCTTTACCTCCTGGGCTTGACAATGAACCCCCAGTTTGAAGTTTTTCCAGTTATTAGTTTCATGTTCCAGGTTAAAAGAATATGCAAAACATGTAGATCCAGACAGGAGAGACGTTCTATTGGCCCTTCGTGAACGCCATCTCGGTCACATATCTTGATTTTGATATGGGCGCATGTGAAGAGCTAGTCTCTACTGCGCTCATTTTGCGCGTACAGTCGATGTCGGTACCGGCTACGTGCGAGATTACCACGAATATGCGGCTTGCACAGGACATCATCGGATCATGTTGGCAGTCATTCCCGCTTGTTCTTGTCAAGAAAAATCCTGTAGTGAAAAATGTGCGCTGTAAAAAGTACACTGTTAGTGCGAACACGGCGTTGGCACTTTTTCGTGTCGAAACGATCTTTCCAGTAACCAAACTTTACCGTTAAGGTTAGGGTCCTAAATGAGCACTATATGTCATACTAGTAGGCTTGATGAATATCTTCAAATTCAAAATAAAAATGAAAGCCGTTTACTACTCCCTGTAACGCCGAATTAGAGCGCAGCTCTTTTGGAGGAGGATTGAAGGGTACTGAGGGGAACGTATACCCCTCCTCTCTCCTCCTCACCCACTCATCCTGCCTGCTACTCCGCCGCGGGGGCCACGTGGCCCCCTTTTTCCAACGTCATCTGGTCGGATCCATTAAGAATGACTTCATGCGCAAGCTTTCTATGTGATATTAACAGCACTCCGCATGACTTTCCCTGACGTCACATTCGTGGCCCTTATGGTGGCCTTGCTGGTGATCGCGTGCACTCTCCAGAACACATTTTCAGCCACCGAACCTGTTTCCCTCGGAAAGCGCAAAGTAGGATTGACCACCAGCATGGTGGGGTGACGTCACGTGCAAGCCACGTTTGCAGCATACGCATGTCGAGTCGTCGAATGGAGAACTGTCGCCAAGGGACTCACGGGGCACGGGTCCTGCTGCTGCGTGTGGCCCGAGCAGGGCTCCCAGCAGGAGGAGCGCCCGGGCGACCGCTGCCTGCGACATGGGGAACCAGAGCTGGTGCTGCTGCTGCCACTGCACAGGCCCGTGCTCGCTCGCGAGCCAGCTCGCAGATGACGCCAGGCACAAGCCACGAGGGCAAGTACTGATATTGATAGTCATTCGGGCTCAGTAGACCCGAGACGTGCCCGCGACGGCCTAAGGCCCATGGCGAGAGGCTCACGCTACGCAGACCAGCTTTATATGTGTTAATCTACATATAATCTAGGAAGATAACTTTTAAGTTTATGCTTAGTACCTTAGAATTTTGTAAGAGTTCTCGTGGTATTCACTGGCGGCCGTATTCGAACCTATTGCTCCAGAGCTCGTGCTGACGATCCATCCTCCACCAGTGGCGTTGACGTTGACTTTTCATTTTTTTGGGGGGGGAGGGGGGGGGGGGGCAGGCCGAGAAGTTGTCCGGGGGGGGGGGGGGGGGGGTGCTTTTCCGCGCAATTCTTTTTTTTACACCGGCCATTATCAGTAGTTTATTTTAGGGGGTATATTTTAGAGCGTATGTATATCGCCATCTGTCCGTCGCTGTGTGCGTTATTTTGTTTACACGCCACTACTAGAAGCTCGTTACATGGCACGTAAACAGCGTCTCGGTAAGGAGCCCAAGGGGAGGGGGGGGGGGGCACGAGCCCCAATGCCCCCCCGTAGTCTACGCCTATGTCCTCCACAACGCTTCCGCGACGTGCATTGAACACCATCAAGATTCAGCTCTTCAGAGAAACCGCTGACTCAGCCATAGCTGAGTGCTGTTGCTGAGCACGTGCTGACGGCGAGCTTCCTCAGTTATTTTGAAACGTGTATTTCACACCATCAAGACTGCCGGTTTTGGCAGCCTTTAGATAAGAGCTCGTTCTGAGCATGCGCAGTGAACAGCGCACTGAAATATTGTGTCCACTGTACCTAAATCGTCTGATGTTTTTTTTTTGTTTTTGTTTGCTGAGTGGAGTTTTTTAGAGTATTAGATTCAAATTGATGCCACTTACATCACGTATCATTGCCTGCCAAATGATATAAAGGTAATTTTTTTTGTAGGTTGTTTACAGACAGACGCGCTGTTTACGAACAAGTCCGTGTTTATCCTCACCAGGTATGGGCACTGCACGCGCGCAGAGAACATATTTGCGTAATGTGAAGCTTCTGCTAACGTTCCTGATCCTGTGTTCAATCCCCACCCCTGCCCGTTTCGATAGGGATGGGCATCATGTACCGCGGGGTGCGGTCGTGTACCAATACTGTGTGATGCACGTTAAAGACCCCAGGTTACTGCACTGGCCAAGTTTCTTCTCTACAGCTGAGAGACAAGTAGCCCCTTGAGGCCGACTACGTTCAGGCTGTATAAGCAAACTCAGACTCCAATTTTTTTTTCTAACATTACTATATTAGCTGAGTTACGGAACTGTCCATAAACGCTGCTTGCACGATTGCTCGCCTGACGTCGTTCGACGCACCACCGTTTTCTGGGGACGGCTGCGAGAGTATCTGCGGTATTCTATGGAATACGCATATGTTTTGAAGTTTTATCGTGGGTAGCGCCATTTGGAGAGCGAGACAGAAAAGGGGAAAGGGCTGCCAGCGCTTTCCCCCTCGCTGGGTTGGTAGAAAGAGCGAAAGTCCCGGATGAGAGGCTTCGTCGGTGTTGGGTGTATGCAGTGCCCGAACTTCGTTCGTGCTTTCTACTCTGTTTGACACTCGCAAACTTAATTAAAGCCACGGACTTCGATGGCGACAGTCCCCCGGTCATCGGGATACCATTGCTCGGTGATAGGGTGCACGAATAACGACAGAAAGCGTCGAACACTGTCAGAGGATCTAAGTAGCTTGCATGACATTCGGGAAGGCGGGTGCGGCTGCAATGTTTTTAAGCTCCATCGCTTTCCCCATGACTGTAACTGATGAACCATTTATCAATTTTTGCTCACAATGGGGGCCTATTTCAACGTAGCCGTCTTTCGTAATCAACAAGCGATACACGACACGGGAACCTCAATTAACTTTTGTGAACACCCGGAGCTGCCACAGATAGTTTTGCTGCGCTGCTTTATTCTTGCGTGTCCGTATTCTTATATTTCCTTGTGGATGAACAACGCAGACGTTATAGATGCACTTGTCATTAGCTTTTATTTATTTGGCTCTGGAGAGCCGCGACACCACGGAAAGGAGGCTGCCCGTACAATGGAAGTCCGCGGTGACGCGCTTAGTGAACAAGAGGATGTGATGAGCATATACATGCATAATGACGACTTATACCGAACCGCAGAAAGCCTCAAAGCAGCCACGAAATATTTTACTATTTGATGCAATATTTTGAGTACTCACCTCCAATTTCTATCGCTGGCGCGTTCTCTGCCGCTGTTCCCCCCGTCGCTGCACTGGCGGATGCCATGACTCGAAGAAAGAAACATGCACACTGGGCTCGAAAACGCAGATCGTAACACACGAGACGTACCCTACAGCAACTATCCAGCGCTTCAAAGCGCCCAATCAACCGAAACAACCCACCAGCGGCACGGCAAGGAGCGCTTTTGCGCCTCTGGCATCGCGCGCATGCGCGATACCAGAGGTTTTCCTGAATCTCGATTTCCTGCAGGAAATCGCGATTCAG